AGCTGCCAACTCCAACCCACCGCCCCAAAGAAAAAAAGGTGTGACCAAGTGGGATTTAGCACACCTGTAAGTACTCACCTGACTCATTCCAATCTGAAACTTAATATTTTAGGATAAGGTGCAATGATGAGGCAGTGTTGGTTATGTAAGAGGAGAAGGCCCAAATCTTTACTGGAAATCCATTTTGATTGAATTTGCAGGCGCCGAAGTGCACAGCTACACTGTCAGTACGGAAAAACAGCATATACGGCCAAAATACTTGTGCTCTTTTCTTCCTACTTCCCCTTTTAAAGCTGAGGTCTGTTCACAGCACAGAGGAGACGAGAGCTAAACCAGAGCGGACATTTGGACTTATCACCAAGCAGGCCACACTGTAATTAAGAATAAGAGCTGTTTTTAATATAGTCATGGCATGGGTCAAAACTAAAATATAACACCTTCTTTTACACCAAATTCCTTTTCAGAACATTGGATGAGAACTTTACTTTGAACGATTTTTTTATTTATTTAAAAAAATAACGGAAAGTTGTATTTTGTCATTTGTTTGTCAAAAAGAGTAGAAATTGACACCATAATTACAGGATAATTTGATGTATGGAAGAATAGTGAGTCAAGGGTTCTGTTTTTATGGCAACTATGCATGGTATAAAAAGTTGTGATAGAGCTTATTCTTAAAGCTGGGGTGCCTCATTTTGAAATGTAAAAGATAACTATATAATATGTAACTAGTATATCATGACCATGTAACGAACTCCTATCACTCAAAATAGTTTGGTTCCTGTTGCATGCATGTATTTGTGGCCCTTCTAATTTTGTCGCCTGAATTGTTATTTGAATGAGACTTTCTGTTGGTTTTACGGCCCACGGCCCGTAATTCCCTATTCTGGGGATCACTTTAGTTTCTCCCGTGTGTGTTTGTGTTTCTTCCATTTTTAAGAAGACCACGCTCGTGAGTCCTGGGCTCCAATTGGCCAGTCATTCCCCACCTGGAGCTGATTGGGCAGCAGCTGAGGCACTCCTCCAATCATCCGCGGCTCGCCATTAGTTTTGTCTGTGTTCTGTCACTTGTGCTGGTACTTTAGCTCAGTGACTTGTAGTTTAGAATACACTTTTGGTTTTGTCATTTGCTTACTGTTTAATAGGTTATTTATTTACTCTGTGTGTTATGTAGATATTTAATCCTGTTTTGTTGCCTGTTTTTTTTTAGGGGCGACAGTAGCTCAGTTGGTAGAGCATTGGCCTTTGGGCCTGAAGGTTGTGGGTTCAAGCCCACCATAAGACCTACTTCACGACTCCCACTGATGACTGCTGTCGTTGTGTCCTTGGGCAAGACACTTAACCCCACTTTGCCTGAAGCTCCCACTGAAAGATCTCAGCTCCTGTGGACTCACCACCTGCAGGAGGATCAGTGAGGGGCTGGTGCTAAGTGTACTGGGTGCAGCTCTGACTGCCACCCCCCCGACCCAGAAATGGATTAAGGGGAAGAAGATGGATGGATGGATGGATGTTACCTGTTTTACCTATTTTGTCATTGTAATAAATTATGATTTTAGTTACCATTTAACATCCTGGTTATTTTGTTACTTCCTTTCACCCAAGCTGAGCCGGGTCGTAACAGTCGGGACAAAAAAAAGGTTCCTCAGCTTTAGGCTAAGTAGAGTAATCACAAAGGAAACCAATATTAACTCAAATTAATTTCTGTGTGTTTTTTCTTTTTTTTAAACAAAAGTCAACATACACCCTGGTGTTAAGTTAGCCAACATATATATCCACTTAAGTTATTTCATACAACATTTTTGAAACACAGAAAATGATCCAGATGTCATCCACAGAGCAATACATCAGCTCTGACAACACACTCATTGCAGAGGCTGTACATGGTCTGCGTCATGTGGTCTGTTTGATGCTCCGTTTGTCCCTGTAATTTAAAAACACTGCACGGAGGCGAGCTGCAGAAGGAGATAATGAAAGAAATGAATGAGACAGACTGCCACATGTAAACGGCTGCAGGCACACGCCACATGTGCAAACACAGACTCTGAAACTTTGTGTATCCAAGTTTATGTGAGTGTTTTGACTTATGATTTTCTGCAGAATGTGGATAGGTCTATCATAATAAACTATTTTGATGGACCATATATTGCATCATGAAAAATGAACAATGTGAATCTACTTTTATGGCACTCAAATGGTAATGGTTTGATTGCTCAATTTCATTAGAATATTGAATAATATAAGGAAGTATTATTTCGCCATAAAAGTGACATATTCTTCCTTACAGTTCACATTTGAAAATGTATGGATGATAAACGTTGAACTCCAAAAATTTTTTTTTTAAATGACGCCGCCCCCCCCCCCCCCCCCACTCTCTGTCTTACCCCGACTTTTTTGGACATCGCTGTGTGTGTGTGTGTGTGTGTGTCAAGAGATCTGACAGAGATGGACAGAACCATCATCATTTATAACTTTATCTAAAACATGAGACAATGTCAACACGTCCAGTCCATGTTAAAGACACATTTTAATATAATGAACTGGGCCTCAATTCCCCAGCCATTTTTGACTTGTTTACATTTTTTCAATTGAAAATCTGGTAGCCAGATATAAAGCATGTGAAATATTTTTAATATTTTGACATGTCCTTACATCTTCTAATTATTTCACTTATCTGATCTGGTTTTTCCAACTAAGAAAAAAAAAGAACTGCATACAAAATGCCGTCTGAGGGCAGCTACATGTAACTCCATCTCTCCTAAACAGCGGCTGATGAGAGGCTGGTTTGGGCAATGTTGTAGGTCAAGCATGTGCGGGACGCAAAGTCAACACAGTGGTATTTAAAACCCGATATTCTCTGAAATGGAACTATTTATACCAAATTACAGCATGCACCTCGAGCATCTTCATGCCCTGCTGGTTTTACTGTTGCCAGAAGCATTGATTTGCAAACTTCACCAATCATCGCACGAGTAAGCGAAGCCCTGACTGTGTTTTCAATGCAGTGAAATTATAGGCCTCTCTATATGATTATCTTGTGTACGTGAGTGTGTCATTCATCTCTGAGCTGCAGGGCTAACGACCGCTAATTGAAACGACATGTTGAGGAGATGACAACAGCTGCTAATGTGGCTACACCAAGAGCCACTCACCGCAGGGGCTGTACTCCAGTTTAGGACAGGGCCAGTGGTTTGAATCAGAGAGATTTACGTAGGCCTGTAACTAAATAAAAAGCGAACAAAAATGTCCCTGTTGGACGCATATATCATATACATTTCCAACTGTCAAGGGTGGCAAAAATACCCCTATTTCTTCTAATTCCATGTGAGAATTGCTCTAGTTGTTGTAGTGTAGGTAAATCTTGACGCAATCTCCCTTCTGAAAGCCTCAGCTGAGACTCTTTTTTTTTTAAACATCCTTGCCAAAAATACCTGATGAACTATTCTTAATACATGCACCAAACAAGGGAAATATTTACCCACCATCTGCTGGAGGATACATGATGATGATGATAGTGCCAGTTGTGTATAAAAATGACTGTTACTGCTACATTTTAAGTGGGGATGAGTAACAGATAGATGATGATGAACTCTCAAAGGCAAAGCAGTCAAAAAGTGCACTTACAGTATTTAGGTCAGGTAAAGTTTTCATGCGTTTTACTTATACAGCGCTTTTTGGGACCTCAAAGATGTATGATTCATTCACTCTATATGGTGGTGATTATAACTGTAGCCACCGCTGCCCTGAGGCAGACTGATGAATGTGAGGCAACTAAATCTGTGTCATACTCGACCATGTAGGTGAAATGTCTTGCCAAAGGACATAACAGTTTACCACTTAACAGCCACCCCACAGCGGCACCTGGTTTTCCCAGAGGTCTCCCATCACAGCACTAACCAGGCTCTTCCCTGTCTTGCTTAGCTTCTGAGATATGAGATGTAATTCGCCTCTGTCATTGGTATCTTCAACTGTCAACATATTTTCTTTTATGTCAATTTACTTTAAACAATGATTACAAAGAGGATTTGGTTTTAGAACTTTATCTAAATAAAGTTTCATATGATTAATGAAAGATACTTTACATTGCATTATTTCATCATATAGCAGTTAGCGTCAGAGATCAGACGAGAACGCAAGGCCACATCTTTTACACTTTGTGACAAACTACTAAATATTTACCAAAGGTTCTGTTTCTCCCAACAGTCATGACTAAAGAAATAACTTCACACGCACTTAGAGATAGCTGAGCTGAACGGGGGCTTTGTGCTGCCATCTCTCCTTCCACATACCACACAAGGACACCTGCGTAACACCTACATTAGACCGCATCACGGACCACGGCACACATCTACAGACAGACACTCAAGAAAATGGAAAATACCTCAACCACAGAAGAGACAGAGCATATTTCCACTGTTTAACCTATTCCCAAACAGACCCAAAGCTGCAGTGCCACGACAAAGTCAAAACTATGAGTTGGCTAAATGCAAGAAAGCAAAGATATAGCAAATGATAAATCTTTCGCAAACACATAACAGAAAGGCAAAGACTCAAGTTTTGTCTTGATGTAACTAGAAAGGTGATGCATTCATTCTACATTCAATATTATTATAAGCTGACAAGAAAATTATAGTGTTTTGAATCATGACTGATTTTTATGAACAAAATAGAACATCCTTTTGTTCTTTTGCCTTAGTTTAACTAATTGCAAAGAAGATGGTCCTGATCTACAACAGTAATTATAATACCCCAGGCTTGTCAATTATTGTTACTGAGTTTTCAATAACCTAGAAAATTCAACTTTTTAGACCTAACATAGCTATTGTAAAGGTTATTCCATATCAAATGTGTTGAATCACTGCATCCGTTCTACCTTGCAAAGCAAAAAGAAGCTTACACAAAGATGAGCAGATGTGATTGATTTGAAATATCCACTATGTAACAACTAAAACTTGTCCACAGCTTTGGAGTCAATACAATTATAGTTCTTAAAAGTATGGACTTACTTATATGACTTTTCAGACCATTTGTCCAAAGATAGTTCAGATATTCCAGGAGCAGCGTAGAAGCAGGACGTCCCGATAGTGGCCTTTCCTTTGAGTCCGTCAGCCGCTTTCTGCAAGTAAAAGTCAGTGGGCTGATGTAACCCGCCCCTGCACACAGAAAGAAGAGAGCGACCAGGAGAGATGGAAGGAGAGAGGGAGAAAAGGGGGAGAGAAAAGCCTGCACATTCTGGGGATTCTTGGACCTGTGCCAAAGTCCCAGAGTTCCACATGCCACACATACGGTTTCAATTATAGCCAAATCCAGTTCTCTCCATCACCAAATCTTTTTTCCTCCTCAAAAGAGCCTTTCTCTGACAACACTGTGCTATTATCTTTGCAAATGCATCTGAAGTTAAACTACAAAGTTGACAAGGTGGAGTTTAGAGTTACAAATTACAGCTGAAAAGGCATGACTTGATCAGAAGTGACGACAAACTTGCAAATAACTCAGACATAGAAAAACTTGGTGTGGATAATAGTAAAAGTAGAATCAAGTGAACCCTTGAGGAGTTTTTTGGAGAAATTTGATTTGAAGCAGACAAAAGGTGGAGCCCTGAAATGTTATTTTTATAAATAGAAGACTACTTGTGTAAGAAAAAAGTAGAAGAAACATTTGTGGGAAATTAAGTTGCTGTACAGAAAATGCCCTGGATTCAGGAGCTCATTCAGCATCTCTGCTGTCTATTGTGTGTCTTGTATATAATATAATTTTTATCATGCCTGACGTATCTATTTTTTTACTTTTATAACTAGTTTGAACCATGAGCCAAAGTAAATTCATGTTTGTGACTTTCTGTTCCTCACAATGGCATTAAACAGACTTCTGATTTGGATTCTGACTTTGGCGCCTAAAAGGTTAAACAATGCTAACTGTTATGGACCTGTTTGTTATGTTTTTGTTCTGCATGAAATTATCCACATGGAGTTAAACTTCAATCTCAAAAGAGACAGTTAAGATCTGTGTGTCTGCATAGGGAAATAATGTAAACGCAGTCTAAAAAATACTGATAATAAATAATCGCTTCAAATATATAGTCTACACTAAAACATTGTTGCTCAGCTTTGGTTGTCATACATAAAGCCACTGTCAAGTCATTTCCTGCTGCATCTTAGACATAAACTGGATGCTGGAAAACACACCAGGCTAAACACGAGTCAAACTTTTGCCTTCATCGGCTCCAAAAAGCAGAAACAAAACAACAAAAACATGAGGTGAATTGTCATTGATGAGATGTGTGGACATTTTTCAAAACATTAGTCATGGAATGGAGTTATTCAATGGTGGTGGTGGTGGAAAAAAAATACTGTAATAGTAAGGTACATTAAAGCTGGGGTACCTATTTTCAAACCACAAACAATGTAACTATATAACTCATTCCTCACTTTCCATACAGTCTGGTTCAATCACTAATTTTCACATGTGTGTATTTTTGGCCTAATGTTGAGATCTAATTTGTTTTCAAAATACGACTCAAGACTCACAAAAATGAGCCATCTTGCTCTAATATGGCTAAAATGTACAACATTATAGAAGCAAGAAGGAAACGATACCAAACAGACATTTTTGTTTACCCTTCCATGTACATTTCACTTTTTGATTATGATTTTAACGATTAAACTTTGTAGCCTGTTTGCACTTGTATTTACTGTATATAGATATACTATATTACCATAAGACCATATGCCAAATGCTCCACCCTCACACTTGGAGCTCCACCTACACACACTCCAGCTGGGTGTGTTACCTCCAGGCTCCACCCTTTGGCCTGAACCATAGCTGGCCCATAACAGGAGAAGATAGGGAGGTTTATTTTAGTTTTTGTTGTTTACAGATCTAACATTATTATCATGATTATCATTATTATTGTTAAGGTTATTTAAGCTAATTTAAATAAATGTATGTATTTGTTTTGCGTGGTAGTTCTGTTACCCCTTTGATTGTTAGCTGGTCTGATCACTAAGCTTAAATGTCCCCGTGTGTCGAATGTCAGATCAGTTTGGTCATTTTCAGTTGTTGATTTGATTTAGAATTTTTTTGCTGATTAAAAAAACCTACCCCTTCCAACGGTTTTGTGTGTTTCCTGACACACATTCGGTCCCTTACAAAAAAAGTACAAAAACTTGATTTGCAGCAATGTTTTTATTTAAGAAAGAGGATATAAATCACTACATTTTAAAGCTCGAGTGTCCTTCATTATAACCATTATAACACCATTATTATAAATACCCCCCACAGTACCATGTATCTCGCCTACATGCCTTTAAAAAAATTCCATCTGAGCCCAATGTCGTCTATACAAAGATAAAATCACTCGATGGCGCTGCCCACCTATTAAGCGACAAGCAATACAAAAATAACTTTAGTAAGCAAAATAAATAGATGCACCTGAGGAAGTGCCCCATACGACTGGAAGGAAGAACATAAGAAGACGTCGCGTAAACTTCATTTTACTCGTTCAGATTTGTTCAAAACACATGCATTGCATAATACGGTGTTATTGCACAAAATGTAGATCACAGTTTGTCTCAAATGTAGTGTCGTTTTTTAAAGTCCGTTTACATTCTCCGCGAGTTGGTGCACGCCTCTTTCGTCGATAATCAGCCCCAACGCTGATAACTCTTGTCCTTTCACCAAATCTTCAAGACCCTTCAAAAAGGACATCAAAGTTTCAGAAATGGATTGTCTGTACTTCTGACACAATGGCCTTCATTTATGAATCTTGAGTACGGCCAAATTAGGGTGTAAATGAGGCGTACACAAATAATTTACACTTTTCAGCATTATCCATCTGGACGTGGCGTACAGTACGCACAAAATGTACGCCGAGTCAGAAGGTGGTGTAAATTTTACACCTATTTCAACCTTCATCACAACACGACAAAACACGCATGAAATTCAAGATATGGACAACAATAAACATATTCCCACTCTGGAAAAATTATAAGTTGCGTTTTCATTGAGCCTCACATTTCGAAATTTGAATTTGATATTAACCATATCGTACCATATTAACTTCTTACCACCAATGCTTGCAAGTTAATTATTGTAATGGACAAATATTTTGGAGGCCAGCAAACAAACAAAAAGGGAACACCCAAAAAGGTGTGTACTTCTGCGTAACAGCTTTTCCGTCACTGTCCTTACCTCGCCTCCATAAGACACCAGAGGGGAGATCTCACATTTGATTGGTAGATCAGTGCCGTCCTTCAGGCTGTTTTTTAAAGAGACAAAACCACAGTAGGTTAAAACATTATTACACATAATTTTTGCAGTTAAATTGAGTTTAGAAGAACAGCACCAGCCACATATGATTAGAGAGACTCCAACTTTGATTAGTTCTGTTGTCTAGAGGAAAACAGTTGAATGACCATTTAAGTCACTCTTTGTTTCGATTTCTAGATAGAAATGATACAAAATCACAAAAATGAACAGTTTCCGCCTTGAATCTGCATAATGTGATCAATAAGGGTTCAGCATAGAAGTCTTAAAGCAAGCTTGCAAGCAAGATATACAGATTCTATAAAATGTATTGTATATACACATATATACGTATATACATATATATATATATATACACATATATATACACATATATATACATATATATACATATATATATACATACATACATACATACATACATACATAAATAATTATATCACCGATCAAGTACTAGTCCCCACTACCCAACATGCATCTCATCTGGAAGCTTTCAACAGAGTTCATCTCGACCGTTGGATATGGTTTTCTTCATTGCGTTTTCTTGTTGAGAGGAAACATGAAGAATGAAGTTACTCAAAGTGAAGCAGCAGAGAGGCCAGCACCGTCACCATGCACTAGAGACTACAGCAATAATTACTTTCTGTTGACACCGGGATTGACTCTTTCGTCGTCTCTGAAAAATGTTTATGATGGATATGTGTGAGGGAGGAGGGCTAAATAAATGTAATGCTCACCATATAAACAAAGACTTTTACAAAGACTAAGGATTTCACTTTGCCTTATCAAAGCCAATAGTCAATGCAAATCACAATTGAAAAGTAATGTCTAATTTTTGCATCGTTATCGTTAATGGGAACCAGGAAGACCACCTGATTGAAAACCCTTCAGCTAATTGGACCAGTACAGTACACAAACAAATAATCTTGAATGTCTTATGACTTGTAGACAGTGGAACCTGGAACTGTGTTGAACTTAGAGTAAAAGATCAAGTAATGTATTTACTAATAGGAACAAGGCTGAATAAGTCATGTTCATATTAAGTATTGCTTGAAAAGATAAACCTATAGCCATGCGTGATGAGTGAGTATGTGTATGTGAGCTCATTATGATTGTGTGTATGACGAGAAAGTGAACAAAGAGGGCTGGGCAGTTTTATTATAACTAGTTGAAATCAAATTGTTACCGCTGTCTGATAATATATGTAATGAATGGTCATGTATCCTTCTACTCCTGTTTTACTGTGAAATCAACCTGCTCAGGGACTACAGGTGTAAATTAGCACTCCTGCTTTAACCTGTGACAATGCAGCTCTCCTTTTGGCTCATGTTTGTTGTAAACTGTAAAATAACAATCATACCATACCATACTTCTTTCTGCTATTTATCCTTTTCAGCTCATGTCTTTTAATGTTGAAGACAAATGCAAAATGGGATTATTGTGTCATATTGTAATCCTGTCAGTGGCAATTACAATACAATCTTTAATATAAATTCATGAAACCTGGATTATGGGACCCGGGTGGTATTGGGACAATCGTCATCCTCAATGTTGTCACGGTTACCTGGGGATGGCTGGGAGACGTGTGCCGTTGCCATCGATGAAGTGTCCGCCGGCGGTGAGGACCCAGCGGTGGTGCAGCGACATGAGGGCCTGTCGAGCCGTGGTCGGGTTGTCTTTACCGTCCTGACTGTCCGCGTTCTTCAAGGGAGAGAACTCATCCTCTCTCAGCACCTCAAACACGACGAACGAGCTGTGGAAATACATTCTTTACTAAACTAATCAGACAGAGATCAACTTACGACACATTAGAAAACACTAAAGAACAGAACGTTTATTTAGAGAATGTCAATGTTGCAATGCACAGCTCAAAAACGAATGAAATATAGGTAGCAATCAAAAATAAGATAAATAGGATCAAGAATTAAAAACAAGAAACTCAAAATCTTTAGATACTTCAGATTTTTAAGCAAAGGTTAAAGTTGGTGTTGAGTGATGTTTATGTACAGACGTCAAATCAACAAATATAAATATCTGATATTTAGAGGTGAATGACATATGCACAAAAGTATATATTTATTTTAAATGCAAAATAGTCAAAACAAAACTTGAGTCAATAGTTAGTGGGGATATTTGAATGTTCAAACAAAAACAACAAAAAATATTTACAGTTTTATTTTTTTGTATTTCTTTGTTCCCTTGGGTCCAGCTATACCCAACCTAAGAACATTTATTGTGTTCCCAAAACTACAGGGCAGTGCCTCATCTTCACAGAGTCCAGGTATTTGTAAGTAGGCAAATACCTAAAGATAGAAGCACTGCGCCAAATCCTCACATTGCTACAGAAGCTGTGGTGAGGAACTAGTCAGAATCAAACAGAGCGAATGGAGGGTGAGCTAAACTTTGCGTTATGACACAACTAATCTCGGCTTTCTTCACAAAAAAGTAATTGAACACGTCTCAAAAGAAAACTGGCCACGTCTGGCATTTTCCATTTGACAGTCATGACAGGAATAGTTTCATTAGATGTGAAATTGTATTAGTAATGGTATGACTCAGGGCTGGAGTCACAGTGGAGGAACTTAATGGGACCAGCGCCTCATAAAGCCCAAGTCCCAAGTGCAGATTCTGGCTCTACGACACCAAAGACTTGCCAAATGAACACATAGACTTCAGTATATTCAAGTGTGGTTCAAATATCTCTGCTTTGTTATGCTGCTTATTCTTACTTGGCAAACTGGAAGATATCAAAGACAAACTTCTCCATTTTGATCCCATTAGGTTTGTCTGGTTTGATTATTTGCCCCGTCTCATCCACATAGGGGATCTTCTTCTGTGCTACATGATGCTGCAACTTCGGTTCATACTTCCTGGTTAGAGAAAAGGGAAAATTAAAATGAATAAAACACCCATTCATTATGTCAATTGCCATCTGTTCGATAAATAAATTAAATAGTAATAAGTAAATACTAAAAAGTAATAATAGTGGTACTTGTATATGGCTCCTGCATATGGTTACACGATAATTACTACATGTACTTGCATAAAAATGTAAATCAGCATTTTCCAACCTCTGAGCATACTAGTGTGTGTTGGGATTCTTTTGGGATTCTGTTTTGCCGAATTCAGCAACATTCTGCTACCAATCACAGTATGAATGTTTGCAATCAAAGTAGTATTAGAGTAATGTGTGGCAATAGATGCAGACAAACCATATTCATGGATTGGATTGTATTTGTCCCTTAATTTCTTATTTTATTCTTCTACTAATGGTTTGTTAATTATAATCATCTATTATAGTCACTACTTTAAGATAAGATAGACTTTATTGATCTCACACTGGATACATTTTGATAGGATCACTCAGATTGTGCAAAAGACAGAAGTGTGCAATAAAAGTGGCAATAGCAGTGCAGGTTTTTCCGTCCTAGTGCATGACTTAAAGTGACTTATTGTATAGTCTGCCTTAAGTTCTTACTCGACGACGTCTTTGAGGAAGGAGAAGCTGAAGAAGTGGTTGGCCACGTTTCCAGCATTGAACATGAGTCGTCCGTCTGAGCTGCGTTTTTCTGCCGTGGTCAAAGTGATCTCGCTGTATTCCACCACCTGATAAAGTCCGTCAACTTTACACACCACTCCCACCGCCTCTGTGGGGTTGGTCTTCTCTACCACCTGCAAAACACTCAAGTTACTCCAAGTAGATAATAAGCAGATGGAGAAGCTATGGAAAGAAAAGAAGCATGGATTTAACTTTAAGAAAAAAACGTGCGTATATATTCAGACTGGCTTTTAACACTTTTAACACTTTTAGCACGGTGACGCTGTGCTTTAATGCTTTTTAACTGTTTTTATTGTTTGAATGCAAAAATATTTTCATGGATTTTAGGTAATTTTATTGTGAAGCACTTTGGTCGCCTTGAGTGTTGTAAAAGGCTCTATAATTTTTTTTTATTGATATTGTAGATGCCATGCCATCTCCATAGTCATCCATTGTTGCATTAGTTGTGGCACATCTCTCGTAAATAATCTTGTAAAAGTAAAATGCAGGGGCTTTAATCTTCTAAAAAAAATACTGTCCTATGCCTCTTCCCTTTATCTTACAATAAAACGTTTTATTTTTTGCATAGTTATGAAAAAGAGTCACTATTTGGTACTTGACTGAGAGTGCAGTCATCTCTTCAAATAAAAGTGATCTTAAGATGTGACAGAGGCAAAAATACATGCAATGAGAAAGATGGAGATAAAATGAAACTGTTTTAAGAGCAAGAAAATATAGTTCTATTACATTGTTATTTGTATTTTACTTTGACGTTGAATATTATTAATGAAACTAACCTCCATCTGAGATACCATAATGTTGCAATTTAACGTACACACAAGGGCACATTTACAAATCTCGACCAAACCTTTTGGTTATCTTCTTGCGAATAGATATTCAGTGGTAGTAATTAGGGACATTATGAGTAACAAACTGTTTTCCAGTCTTGCGCAGTAAAAGCCCTCTCCCCATGTGTTAGCTTGTAATGACAGAGCAGAGCTGTGATGAGTGGGGGCTGGGGGAGATCGGGGGAGGGATAAAGCCACATGAACTAAAGCTCCATTGCAGTTTGTAATTTATGACGCAGGGTGGGTCTTTGCTCTCATACAACTCTACTTCACCACAAAACTGAAAATGACAAACAGAAGACAGAAGACCCCCAAACAAACTCCAATTTCACACAATTCAAACAAATCACATGATTGTGAGCAAATATTTCCAATTTTCCAATGAAATGCGATCTTTTAGATTTTGCACATATGACACAAAGGTCACGAACGATATAATAATGCTGATCCTAGATACAGGGCACTATAGATTTGTTTCAATATAATAATATTGTGAGATTTCATAACACTTTGAAGCAACTTTTTTTAAGGTTAAACTCATCATTCTATCAATGTGCAGAAGCCAGTACTTTTCCCTTGTTTTGTCTATCTGAAGGCCAAGCTACATGGCACCGTGGAAGCTGCTGATTGGAGGTCTCCATGCCTCCGCTCTGTATAATACACTTGCATTCTGTTGTTTGTGTTGTTCGTGCTGTCTCTACCATCGACAATAAAACATGTCTTCTGTCGGAATTTAAGACGCGATCCCAGACTATGTCATCTATAAATATATTTGTAACCAATGCCAGGTGTAACTCAGTCAGAATTACGTTACAGTTATTACTTTCAATACTTTGAAAATACTTGTAATTAGATCAGTTACTAAAGAAAACACTCATATTTATTATTTACTTTCAGAACTATCTCACACAAGAGATAGTTCACTTTTTCAAGCAAATGCAGCGTCAATATGGAGCATTTTGAAAATGGCATTTTTGGTTGAAAAATCAATAGTTTATTGAAATGAAATGATATATCCTGTTGTACAGCTCTTCAATTGATTACCTTGTTGGCTCCTTCAGTAACTACTATAACTAGTCCTAATGAAGAAGATAGCACTAGTCATCTGATCATCTAGACAAGGACCGTATTAAAAGATAAGAAGATTAACTACATAAACAGCTAATAGCCAATGTTTTTCTGTGTCTCTTTTGCCTAAATAAACAGACAACTTTCTCTGTGCGTCTGAGATCTCAGGGAGTGTGAGAAAAAGGTCAGTGAAACTTTTATTAAGGAGTTATTTTAAAATTCCAACTCCGGCTTGAATGAATTATGTCCATGTATGAATCTGAAGTTCTATTTTATCTGCCGATTATTGCTGATGGGGCTCCCCCGTGTGGTTAATTTCTGTTACTACAAATTAATGAATCTACCCGACAAACAATAGACTGGCCTGGCAACATTTAAGCCACACACTCAAATAACAATAATCTCATTTCTTCCTGGAACAAAATTCACCAGAAACTTCCTCAAACGTCATCATCATTGCTATTTCAGATGAAAATTGTGAGTAAATCTACAAAACTTACCCCCACTGTGAAAAATTTATTTTAAAACACTGAGCAATGCCCTTTGAATGCCAGGTACATTATTATCCTTTTTACAATGTCATATCAAACCATTATCAATTATTGCTTTCGAGTTTGATCAAAAGTGCAGTAGCTCATTGGCTGATGTGGAATTGTTGGGTTAGGGTTGTTGTCCAATAAAAACAGACTAAGCAAACATATGGCTTAGACTAGTGTAATGTAAACTGTAACCTATTTGCTTGCCAATTGTTGTATGGGTCAGGTTTTGGAAAATGCTGATAGTGTATCAAAATTTAACCTCTAACTGAGAACCTGAGACATTGACGTACAGATTAATCCAGGGGAACAATAGACCAGCTCACTGTTAGGCAGGCTAACATCATGATTATATTACAGGAGTTATGGGCTTACCTTTGCTCCGCAGTCTGCTCCTTTCTCCACACAGAAACCAATAAAGGTGGGATCTGCCACTTTAACGAGGACATTGTCCACACAGTATACATGAATACACTCAATGCCCCTCTCCTGCATGTCCTGTAGGATTCCCTGTCCACCCAGTGCTCGGTAGAGACCACCATTCCCATCTAAAGCAGAGGAATTATTGAAGTCTGATGCAATATCTATACTGTATAAAAAGCCTATTAGAGATGAGTTTACCAGGGGCCATGGAAAGTTTCCCTTTGTTTTCTAGGATGATTTTGCCATTATAGTCCATTGCAGGCAACATGCCCTGTTGAAAGAAGACCACACTTTTCTGGTTCAACCCAAAATAATTATGACGGGAGAAAAAGTTCCTTGTTGATTCCATTGTCCTGCCGCTGGTCATGATATACCTGAGAAGACAACATTTTATTTAAACATTACACATTTTATGTACAATACAAAGAACACGGTTCCTGGTTAGAAGACTGACATCAATATGTATTACTTCCTTATTGAAACTATTTTAGTCCACAGACATGTATCTGACTGAAGGGCTTTTGGGAATTTTTTCTATCATGTTGTGCAGTTTCTAATCTATACTTTAGCACATGTTTATTTAGTACTAGGGTCATCTCATTTCGACTTACATTATGTCATAAGTAAATGTTCAGTTACCATGGTATACAGCACTTTGTCTTGTGCTTTTTCTCTGCCAGCTCCTGAAGCTTCAATATGCGTTCGGCCTGGATCTGAAAGAGTGTTTTGTGTGAGGGCAATCCCACATCGTACATGCCTTTGGGGTAGGAGACCCCCAGCCGGGTCCCCTGGCCTCCAGCCAGTAGCAATGCTGCAACTTTGTTCTGAGAGATGGACAGCAAACCTGAAGAAAGCATGCATGTGTTAGTGAATTTTTGCACAAAAAGGTTTTTACTGCTAATAAAAGTGTCCACCCTGACAATAATTGACCTCGATAGGAGGTCCTTTGAATAGGATGGTCTTTGAATGGTCCTTGAGGATTCTTCATCAAGATTTTACTGATCGTGTGGATTAACATATTTTATTAAGGCACTAAAAGGATTTATGACTTTTTACGATCTCACATGATAAACCCGTTGCCGTTTTTATTGCGTTTGATTAGAAAACAGACACTATGGCTACGTGACTGAGGTCTGAACCAGCGGACAGGCTTGGCCCATAGTCTGTAAACCATGTCAAATATATCAGCACTCCCAAACACAAACCAGACCTATAAACAGTGATTCAGGCTGTCCTGCGTGACCTCATAAGTAAGGGGCAATGAGCTATTCTCTTTTACGTCAGACTTAAACCAGAACCAGATGTTTTCCCCTAGTGTCACTCAGTCCTGGAACAAAACCCAATTCTTACTAAATGAACTTGAGAAATATTGTGGGAAAACAACAGAATAAAACAAAACAGAAGGTTTTGATTAAAGACTCTTTAACATTGAAAAGGTTTCCCTTTGCTGGTGATACATTGTAGTCAGAGTTGTCTACATCATTGTATTATGAGTTATAACACTGTAATAAATATTAAGATAAAAAAACCTTTTAACAAGAGATTTAGAGTAACAGAAAGGGCTCTGAACCTGCTGCCTCCCACTCTCCAAGGCTGCCCTGGTCTCTGGTCACGCTCCCCAGAACATCCCTTGGAACAGGCTCCATCCGCGCATCCATCTTTGCGTGTTTGCTGTTGCTGGACACCTCCATGGCACTTTTAAAGAAGCCATTGATTTCTTTAAAGTCCATTCCTTGCAAGTCAAAGGTCAACTCATCCTTCTCAGCGGGGCTCAGCACATCCCAGAACTGGAGCAGGTGAGCCTGCCCTGCCTCAGCCAACCTCTGAGAAACACTGCTGCTTGGGTCCATGGCGATCTAAAACTCTGTGATCTGAGAAAGAAGACACTTTAAAAACTACGGCTGAAACATAATGAAGTATGACATAAATAAATGGCAGAAAAGGACAGCTTTGAATCAAGCAATCAACAAAGCTTCTAATTATAACATTAGGGCCAAACCCAAAGAATCTTCCGATGAATTATTATGACACACTGCCATTGTTGCTGATATTTCCTGATTCTGATTTAGTGATTCAGTGGCTGAAGGTGCTGCAGTTGAATGACTGATATAAAGTTAAGTATTTGGGGAATACTATCTCTTTAGAGTCTGTTTATAAGTAACCAGATACAACTGATATATACTATACGAATACAAATTGAGCTACAAATTAAGTTCATTTGCACCAGCCCTGAACCCAGACATAACAATCGTACTTCAGCATCACACAGATACGAATTGGAGTAGCACGTCTGTCTACCGAGGCACTGACAGAAATTGGCGCTAGCTAAATTATCGGAAGCTACTTTATGAAGTCGATACATGCATGTAGACATTTAGATTCGTACTCACCTCTCGGAGCGCCTTGTGAGGGTTGTAAATAACATAAATGCAGTAATACTTGTGTGGCTCCGGTTCCACCACCTCTGAGTGACACCGCCTTCCGCGCGTCATCTTTGACGTGGCAGTAGAGGCACGGCGTGAGACATTCAAGACCCTCCGTAAAAAAAATATTATCAATGTAACAACCGCAGCCATGAAGTTATGAATGAACAATAGGTTCGATTCAAATAACCAAATATGCTTAATAGAGCAGTGATATTGGCAGTCAGCTCGGGTTCCGCAAAAAACAATTTCCCATTATAAGTCCGGTTGGGGTTTGACCTTGCCTATGTTCAGAACACAACGTACGCCGTTCTAGTATGATATCACATATTATGATATAATATCATTCCATACAATATAATAGGATATATAATATCATCATCATATATACAAAATTAAAAAAATATATAATATCTTAAATCTTATCTGAAATATTTGTAGTATAATTGTAATATATGTTTTTTTCTTTTTATATGATATTATTACATTTAACCAATCAATTTTGAAGGGTGTATCCTTTTAAATCAAGCTTGATTTAAAAGGATACATCTTTCCTCTTTGGCTCGGGGCATTCACAGGGACTTCGCGGGGGGGCGCTGTAACAACGCGCGAATCGGAAGCAGCTGATAATTTTGTTTTGGTCCTGGCTCTGTAATTTCTTTTCAAGAGCTGTTTATTCTGACATTGCAATGAAGAAATTTTTTGCAGACATTAAAAAGGACATCCAGTTTAAGTCAGCAGGGCCTGGTAAAAAGCTGACAGAGGAAACCAGGTAATATTAGCCGTCATCTCAATTTGTTTAGCGTTAGTATATTTAGCTTAGCTCATACTGCTAATGCTACTGAGATCCTAGCATTGTAGCAGCAGAAACGTAATGAAATATACCGTGGGGACGCCTAACAAGCACTAGCACGACAATACACGTAATTTCATTACTAACAGGTATGTTTGACATTTAGGAAAGTAGTTCGTGGTCAGTGCGTTATTGACCATTCACAATGTGTGTTATGTAACAGAGAAGACATGGAGGTGTCCATTGGAGGCTTGTTCACTTTGAGTTAATCTTAAGCTTATTAGAGCCGCGACTGGGGGCAGGACTTCCGCACTAAATAGTAGTAGATGTGGAAGTATTGATGTGGACCTATGTACAGTAAAGGTGAAATTATAAAGTCAAATTGGACAGCCACTTGCCTTGACAGCCATAACTGCACTTTGACAAAAAGAATTTCATTAGGACAAATCTATAATCTGGGAACATGTTTAATGTCTTATTTGACTTATTCCTCTGCAGTGCCAGATCTGAGCCTGTGCAAAGCAGCACAAACAGACCACGGTATGCACTCACTGAAGGAGCCCAGAGAGCAGGGGCAGCTGCACTTGCACGCATTGAACAGCAGCCCAAGCCCAAGGTTCATACTTCTCATGATGCCATTAGGAACCAAGGTGGGTCAGAGGAAACGTACGCTTACAGTGCGTTCTTTAATAGTAAGTCATGTTTTTTGTTTTAGTAAAAAGAGAATTGGAGGCTGAGGCTGCTGCACAGGCTGAACAAGTAAAGCCAAACACAGCAGAGGTATCTTTTCTAATCTTAACATTTTTATGATATGTGTGCATTATTCTATGATTCTTGTTTTCTATTTTTAGGGATCCCAAGTAAAAGATTCTTCCTGTTTGTCAGTGTCTGGTGTGTATTTCACTTGCCCTTTAACTGGAGCCACTTTAACCAAAAGTGAGAGGGAGGTGCACATAAAAGAAGCCATTTTTATGGTGTGTAGCTTATAAAAGTTAAAAGATTACAACATTTTTGTTGTTGACACTACCACTTTGTTTTTTTAAATGTTCAGCGTTTTGAAGAGGATGCAGTGGAGGCCTCTGTTATGATGATGCACACGTTCAACAAAGACCGCGATAAAGTGAAGGCAGCTGTTGACATCATCAGCAAGTAAGACATACTGAAAAGCCACTGTTATAATACCTCTATTGCTAAACTATATTCAAACTGTTGGCTCAAAGCAGTATTTAATTTAACAGGTACGTAGACAACATTTGTAAAAATCCATCAGAGGAGAAATATAGGAAGATTAAACTTTCTAACAAGGTTTTCCAGGTTTGTATTGAGTATTCTACAGATTATCACTATATTTTCTTTACTCTAAATCAATATTTTGTTCAGGAGAAAGTGCGGTGTGTTGAGGGGAGCAGAGAGTTCCTTGAAGCACTGGGCTTTATAAGCACAATGCTTCCTGTTGAAGGTCAAGGTCAGTCACTCATGCTCTTGTACAGTCATTTTCCCTTCCTCTCTGTAATTAAAAGTACCTTCTCTTTCAGAGGAAGAGGAGGAGTTCTTTGTGTTGCCGGAACAAGGCCCTGAGGCCCTGGAGATAATGAAGGACAGAAGGGACCGTCTGCAGAGAGGAGAGCCGGTCAGAGCCGTGCTGGACCGGCAGCCTCAGGCCCTCAGACCGTCTCCCAACGCCCAGCGCTTTGAGTTACCGCCAGAATTCTACAACCTTTCTGCCGAGGAGCTAAAGAAGGAGCAGCAGCAGCGGTTAGGATCCATTTGCTGCTTACACATTAGGCATGCTTTGCGTCTTGAGGGGTAACAAGCTGTATACTTTTATATATGAAAGATTCATCACTGCTATAGATCATCAAAGAGCACCAACAAAGTGCTCAGAGCACAACTCCTGTAGACCTTTTTGTATTCTAGTAAACTAGTTCAAGATGTTATCATTTTCCCTTCTTTGGCTGTAGCTTTAACCAAAAATAATGGCAGCCATGAAACTAGAGTTCTCCCCTCCAAGACACAAATGCTTATGGTATTACTCAAGTAGAGAATTGAGTTAAGATTTTTTTTGATTGAGTCCATAAAATAGATGAATAATACTTTCAATGTGTTGCAGGAGTGATTTGGTGGAGAAAAACTCAATGTTGCGCACTAAAGTAATGAGGGAGAAAGATGAACAGAGAGAAAGACGAAAATATAATTACACTTTGTTGAGAATACGGCTATGTGATGGAAACTTGTTACAAGGTATATTGTATGTCAAATTGTGAATACATGTCTGCATGTTTTTAATTAAACCAATTATTCCCACTGTAGGCACGTTTTATGCCTGGGACCGCCTCACAGTATTGTATAATTTTGTGAGAGAGTCTCTGGTGGATGGATGGCAGCCTTTTGAATTGATCGCTCCAGGAGGTCAAAAACTACTTGAGTCTGAAGAGGTGGCTCTGGCAGAGTGCAACTTGGTAGGTTAATTTTAATCTGGACTGTATTACAAAGCCTTGTTTGAAGTAACATCAAGATTTCAGATGATTGCAAAAGTGTATTATAGAAGAGATAATACAGCTCATGTCTTCTAATGTGTCTTGTGTCAGATGCAAAGTTTCACTGACCAGAGAACAATTCTTACAAGTTTGAAAAAAAAAAATTCTGACAAGCTGAAGACAACATGTTAGACTATTATCGTTCTGTGGCAATAAATGTTTATTTCTTACATAAACGCTAGCTTTACAGATCACATATTTGCTTTTGGGTCCAGGTGCCTGCTGCACTGCTCACCTTCAACTGGGACTCGGCTGTACAGGCAGATATCGCAGCTGCAAGAGGAAACAGCCCAGCTCTTCTCAAACCAGAGCTGCTTGAAAACATTCAAACCTTGAGCTGAACACTACTAAGTTTAAACCATGTCCACAAGTGTTAATTACAAATACAGAAAGCAACTGACTGACTGAGCTTAGTTGATCCTGCATTTGAGTTTCTGAGCAAACTAATTTAGCAGTACATACTTTTTCAAGAGTGTCTGAGGCAAGAAGGATGAGTATGTGTTAAATTAAAGACAATACACTAGCTTTATAGGGTGTAAATGTTAAAATTCTGATCATTCAAGTATCTTTGACAGGGTGATTCAGGTCGAAAAACTGATCCTTCTTAATGTGTTGTATCGATCCGCCTCGGATGAGTGTAGCTCAGATACACACTCCAGACTGCGGTGACTTTACCGTTAATTTTGCACTACTGAACTTGGCCGTGTGAGACTTACCTCATGTAGACCACATTAACAAGTCACGAAAATGAATGGCTTCATTGTTTATTACCTGTTGTATATTTCTGTAACTTATAATTTAGTGTTGATATTATGGTCACCCATTGCCTTTTTCAACAGACTACACATGTGCAGTAAATGTACAGAATTCCACACAATGAAGTCTCATTATAAATGAATCCCATTGCATGCATGTAAACCTTGTCAGATGTTTGAATCCTTTTAAGTCTTGTTTAAGATGCAGTTTCATTTAAATTTGCTTATTCCCAACTCTGTATGCCGTTACACATTTTGATCCAATGGCTTACTTATAAAAGTGCAGTTTAATGTTTAATGAATTTCTTGTTCAAGTATTCTTGAAAAGCAAAGACAATACATCTTTATAAAATGTGACACTGGACATTTCTGTACATGCTCTGAGTAACACATCTGAGCTCGATGTACAGCAATAATAAATGCATCTATTAAAAACAAATTACTTATTCACTTTCAGACTCAATCTCCCCTTGGATTACCATTTAACAGTGAAATTAAAGTAATCCCATAATGCCTTAGCATTTAACCAGTTCATTTTCACCAGATCATTTCAATGTGACAAACCTCAGCAAAATTGAAACATTCCTTTGTTCAATAATCACTGATTATAGGCAAAGTGATCTAGGCATTGTGATTGGGATGAAGAGATGAAAGTACCTTGTTGGAAGTCTTTTTGCCTTTGAGAAGTTCAACAAAAGTTCAGACTCAACCAAAACAAAATGTACAGATTCAAACAGACTGGTAAAGGTGAGGTGGACATGTTAGCAGTGCTGTGGTCAGGTAGAAGTGAGGGCAGAAGTGCTGGACACTGGGGCCAGGTCAGAGAAAGACACGTCCATTGCTGAACCCTCAGAATTCACTCTTGTCGAGCCTGGACAGGGGAAGAAATCAAGGTTCATATTAGGGATGTAAATCGGCGACCGTTTAACCGGTGGTTGACCGTCACAGCGTTAACCGGTCAAAGCTGTCGGTTAAAAAAAGAGAAAAAGGGGAGAGGGGAGGTCTCTTAATAACGCTATTTTAAGCCCTATTTGCACGGTGTGACGAGCGGGTCTGTATCTAGCTGTGTGCGCCCATGTATTATAAACTCCGGGACAACTCTCACGCGCCACCCACCCACCCACCCACCCACCCGGTGGTCGGTCATGAAAATTCATAGTTTTTTACATCCCTAGTTCATATGAGACCTGCTTTATTGACAATCCTCTTGTCTTAAATTCTCCACTTGTGCCTGTATAACAATGTACTCCTACAATTCTACAAAATACCACCAGTCATTTTAGCTAATAGTACGTGGGTAGAGAATTCTTTTTTTTTTTTAGAATACCGGTAAAAGAACATTGCTGCTTAAAAGGTATTTCAAACAATTTTGCCAGAGTAACTGACCACAGCAGGAGTCTACTGCAACTATTTTTGATTTTAAAACCGGTTAGTGAGTATTTTACTTACTATTATCTTTATCTATTGAGACAATAACACAGTCATCTTCATCATCCTCTTCTGTATCTGCTTGGAACCCGTCTGCTTCCATGGCCTCAGGCTGAAGAAATAAAAAACAAATTTTTAAATGAGTTGAGAGATTGATGCAACCATAAGACACACATTTATTCTCTACTATTCTTTATATCTCTATAAGCGTATAATGAGAAAGAATAATGTAAAGTAAGTAATAATAAATAATGTAAAGTGGGATATTATCAAACTGGCAAAAAATATAAAGCAACAATATGAAAATCCAGTTGAAACCGTTTACACTTGATGATAATAGAACTATACCGTTTCTGTCTCGTTGCACCTCTTCATGAACTTGGTGATGGACATGCTGCCGGTGCTCCTCCTCTTGTGAGCAGCAGAGGTAGAGGTCTGTGGAGTGGTGGGGGAGTTGCCCACTGATCCTGTCGCCGCCTGACTCTCTTCACGGAGCTCTTCTCTGGCTCCTGTGGTGAGGTACGTCCACTGACACGGCACTGGCAGCACCTCCTGACCGAACTGGGACAGGACCTCACTGTGGACGTACCAGCAGCGCCGCTTACACGCAGAGCGCTTCTCATACACAGCACTGTTTTTGATGAGTCTTCTCAACTTTAACCTGATCAGGGAGAAATAAATTAGTATCATGTTTATTAAAGCTGGGTTTGCCTTTTGAAAATTGGCCATCCCAGCTTTAACTCTTGAAAAGATCGTATCAATGAATTATGTCTTTACCTGGATGGAATATTATCTGTTGCGTTTTGAGGACTGGACATTTGAGGCGGTGAGGATGGTGATGACTGTTGACGGCAAAACTCCTGAAACTCTGTAATGATCGTTTTGCTGCTGTTTGCATTTCCGTGGAGTAAAGGAAGCAGCTGCCCAAGTACTGGAGAAAGAGTACATGCGGATTTAGACAAGAATTCAGCCGGTTAAGTTAGTTAGTAGAGATACTCACACTGAGTCTCTTGCTGCTTCTTCAGACTCTGCTCCTCAGGACTCGGGCTGTTGTCGATTTTGGCCAAAGGTTCAATCGAACACAGAGCATACACCTTGAACATCTCTGAACCAGCCCCATCCCACACACAGCCCTTCACAACAGGCTCCAGCAGCTTCATCTTCTTCTTTGTCGACATCAGCTCATCCCATTCCTTTGCTTTTAGTTTTTGTTGAAGTTTCTGTTTTTCCAGATCGCCACCGTCCTGTAAAAACACACAAATGTATCACAAAAAAGATTTTAGATAATTTTCAAATCAAGTTGGTAAGTCAAAGCAATTTATAAAATCCAGGGATCCAGAATGCAATGCATTTGGAGAGCAACTGAAAAATAATGAAATAAAGGTTGCACTGGTGGACCTGACATTGACGGAGCGAAAAATGAATACATTTATTTTACATTTTAGTTTAAGCACGGCATCTCCGGTGTTCTAATCTGGTTATTCCTAATAGTACCATGGTGTTAGCCTGGCCTTAGCCATCCGTACACTCCGCTCAATCATAATTTCACTGCATGTAACGTCTGGGTCTAGTCTCTGGGTTAGCGATTACAAATCGGGTGAATTTCGACCAACCAACCAGCGAGCGCGGAAGGAGAGTGTTGTATTTAGTTGTGGGTGACATCAAGAGTTTGTGTCGACGGGGAGGTCGTGGTTTGGCAATGGCAAAAAATGCAATAGTAAAGTATTCCGGTCTAGTTCTATCAAGAAATTTAAGCCGGAGCAAGAGGAATGTTTAGCAAATGTAATTGCTGGAAAGAATTGTGGCGCTACTCCCCTCGGGCTCCGTTAGCATCAAAGGAGATGGCTAGGCTAAATGCTAACGACTCACTCAGGCGCACTACATACGTCACAGTAAAACTCAGAACCAATCGTTTCAATCTGCAAAAGGAGTTAACCCCTCCCACCTGTAAACGGAGCTCAATGGAGCAAATCCAGACCTTAGTACGAAATGTAATTTGTACTATGGTGTGGTACGGCCAGGCTACCATGGTGTAAACCAAGAGACAGAGCTTTGGTGAGCTTTTGCCTCCGATTGACCGAGGTCCAATTCACTTCTCTAAAAATGTGACCGCCCAGAGTAGGGAACAGGAACACAAGAGAAACACCAAAAAACACAGGAAAATAAAGAGCAATAAACAATATTTTTTTAAAAAAAATACTCCCGGGATTGAGCTCTGCCTCTGTCACTGTTCGAAGGGAGGATACCAAGCCCCAGTAGGTCACTATCAAAAGGTCAGGTCTCTGGTCTAGTTTCTGGTTCAGCTCATTAGCTGTGTGGGTTTATTTTATTTATTGCTTAAATATTCATGCACTACAGTGAATTACATTTTGAATGTGATTAGTACCTCTTCCTCCAAAGCCACCTCGTCATCAGAGAGATATCCATGAGGCACAAAGAATCCATCATCGTCATCATCATCCTCCTCACCGGGTTCTTCATCTTCCTGTGGGACAGACACAATTTCATTATAGTTTCATGAAACAGACGGGTGACATGTCTCTACGTACAACATTTAATGTTGCTTCCATTATCCTCCCATGTTGTAACATAATCCTAAACTGGGCCGCATCATTGACAACACATGATTTCAACACGTTTCCTTACCCCTTCGCTGTGTGACAGAGACTCCCCTGGTTCTTCTTCCTCCCACTCCTCATCACTGTCCACTTCATAGTCCAACAAATCCTAACAAGATATTGAAACTTTTGAAATTTTGTGCTGCTTGTTTAAAATTAGGCCCATTCCAACAGAACAAGGTGAAAAGGCATTACCTTGTCTTGTCTCAAAGGGCAGCGAGGTGAAATGTGCGAGCTCTTCTTGCTCCAGGTGCCCCAGTAAGCGGGACGGTAGTTTTCATGAAACAGTAGCAGCTTCATTGGACCGTGTCGAGAGCGGTCAGGGACACCATCAGGTTTAGGGTCTTCTGTTGCTATGCAGTCACTGAGTAAAGAAACATGTTCAATCCTATGTATTTCAAACAGCATTTATATGTCAAAACATAAGCAAACAGAGCCTAACCTAAGCGAATTTGTAATCCTGGTTTTGGTGGGACTTGAACACCGTGGTTTTTGCTGAAGCCAGTCTTTGATTCCATTACTTTTCTGATAAGGTTTTAATAAATACTCGTCCAGTTTCTCCAGAACCGAATCGTCACAGGTGACTCGAGTCAGAGGGGCCAAAAACATATTCTCTTTAATTTCAAAAGGGGCAAACTTTCCACAGGCAGCCGATAGCTTCTACAAGAAAAGATACATATCAAGAATGACGAAGGAGCAATTATTAAATTCCAAAATAACAGCTATAAAAGAACAAACCTTTGGTGCCTGTTGGGTCTTAGGCTTCTGTAGAAATCGAGTAATTTCTGCTTTTTCAGCTTTGAGGCGCTAGAATCACATGTCAGATGTGTCAGTTATGTCAGAGTTTGTTTGCAATAGGTTTTTATTCCCACAGCTTTTGACCATGTTAGTTGTTTACTTGTCATTTACACAGGCTGTAGAGTGATGCATGCTTGAATAATTAATATTCTATTTTACACCAGAAGCCATAGTCACGAGCCCTCCCCATTTTTTTTCTTCTTTACCATTTCCGTGATATGCTGATGATTCCAAGCATGGTCATATTTGAATTCCAATGAAGGATATAAATATGCTTGCACAGCTACATATGCTGTTCATTGAGAGGCTGAGCAGAAGTGCGCAAACATGTCTTTTATAACAGTTTTGACTGAATATGGAGATTTTATATGAAATAAATAGTTAATAATGAGCCACTGGTTTCATCGATGATCATATATGTGCTTTTCTTTTAAAACAATGATAAACTCACATCTTTCTCTTCTTTTAATCTTTTTTCATCTTCTTTAATGCGCTTTTCTTCATCCTTCTTGCGTTTCTCCTCGAGTTTAGCCCTGAAGAGTGACATCAAAGTTGATCTCATTCTGTAATTGATTTGGTGACAAATGGACACAGAACACTTACTCAAGCTTCGACTTGCGCTGCTCCTCTTTAGCCTTTAACCGCTCAGCCTTTTCCTTCTCCTCGTTGTCTTTTTTCTCTTTCCGTTCACGCTCTTCTCGCTCTTTCTTCTCACGTTTCTCTCGCTCACGCTCCTCTCTTTGTTTGCGAGCATCTTCTTTCTTTTTCTCTTTTTCTGCTTTAGCTTCTTCTTTTAGCCGCTCCTTTTCCTGTCGGAGACGGAGCTTCTCTTCTTGTTCTTGTGGACCCTTTGGAAATAAACAGCAATGGTTTAGATCGAGTCAAGAGATGACGGATCAATGCAAGGAAAATAAGTTTGTGTTTTCATAAATACATCTAAAGTACCTTGAGGGAGCGTCTTTGTGTCTTTTTCTCTACAGGAATTTTTGGCGTGGTCTTTGGCTCCTGGGAATGTTTAATTAAACACATTAAAACACGTTGAGTATATTGAGTAGAACTTTAAACGAATGGTGACCATCTTACTGTGGGTGTGCAACTAGGAGTCGGGGTCTCAGTCTTGGACTTTTCTGGAGAGCTCTCAGACATGGAGCTGTTCAGGGAATTTGAAAGCAGGGATTGGTTTCCCAAACTTGAAACATCTTGAGGTTCATTCTGAGGTTCTTCCTCACTTTCAGATTCTTGCGTTGTGTCAAGAATAGACGTTGAGAGGTTCTGATCTTGTTTCTGGTCTTCATCTTGTACCACCACAATAGGGTCCACAGTTAGTTTTTTAGGAGCATCAGAGACAGAAGACGACTTTGTGCCATTTGATTTTCCAGAGGAGACTCTTTTTTTCTGCTGCTTGTCATTTGATGATAGTCGACTTTTTACAGGAGATTCTTTCTCTTCAGTTAGATCTATGATCATATTTTCATCAGTGGACACTGGTCGTCTGGAGGTTAGAAAACCATCCAAAGGCCCACGGCCATTGACCAGTGGTGGGCCAGTGCACAGAGGAAGAGGAGAGGACTCAGTCTCGTTTTCCCTTTCTGATACTCCAGAACCTGGACAAGCGTGGCCACAGGGACGTTTGGGTGGCTGATTTTCTTTTGGTTCTGGATTCAGCCGCTTGAAAGGTAAACGAGCTATAAACACAACAAAATTAGATGTGCTTCAGCCAACAATAATGAAAAAATAAAATGTGAGACAAATCCATGATGGTTGATAATACAAATAAAAACACAGCTCTGTCCAAACAATATGCTTGTGTTAACAAAACTCACCTTGGACAAGTTTTTTGTTTGCATTGTCGCGTGATTTACAATCCATACCTTAAACAGAATAACACACGGATTATTACATTTCATTAAGACACCAATACATACACTATTTTAACGGTGTAGTTACTCTTAGGACAATAGATAGATAGATAGATATTATTTATTTCAAAACCTGCACAAACATCATCTCAAAAATCAACATAACAGTCAAATATACAGGTGCATGGTTTGAAAAGGAGGTGGATGAAGCAAATGCTTATTGAATTCCAACCCCCTCACACATTCAACACAAAGTACAGTACAAGAACCTTATACATACAGGATCATTCGTAAACAGCTGGAAACTTATACCGTACATAGAATGAACTAATACATGACATGACTACGGAGACAGGACAAAACAAGACAACACACACACACACAACACACCACAGATACACACAACACCTCACAGACACAGGCCCAAACACTCTCTGACCCTACACCCTCACCCCTTTACTTCATGTTGAGGGCATCACTCTCCTTCCTCTTTATATTTTTTTAAAACATTTTTTTTAAACAACTGTTTGAAATGAATTATGCTTGAGCAGTTTTTTAATTCATTCGGCAAGTTATTCCAAAGTTTCACTCCCCGCACTGAGATACACATTGACTTTAGAGTAGTTCTAAATGTAGGTAGATATTTAATTTGGTTTCCTCTAAGTTTGTAACTATGACAATCGTGTCTATCGTGGAATAAGTTTTGAACTTTAGGAGGCAGAGAGTTTTGAGATGCCCTGAACATAGTTTGAGCAGTTTTAAAGTTGATCACATCCAGCAGTTTGAGTTCTTCCAACTCTACAAACAGTGGATTAGAATGATGTCTGTAGTGTACACCAGAGACAATCCTAATGGCCTTTTTCTGTAGGGTAATCAAAGGCTTTAGATGGGATGCATAGCAATTTCCCCAAACTTCAACACAATAATATAGATGTGACATTATGAATGAATGATACAGTAGGAGTCGAGCTTTGGTGTACAGTAAATTACATGTTTTGTTCATCATTCCGACACATTTGGCAACTTTTGTTCTCAGGTAACAAATGTGTGGTTTCCAGGAGATTTTTTCATCAATGATAACACCCAGGAATGTGTTTTGTTGGACTTGTTCTATTGGTGTGTCATCAATAACAATTCTAATAGGTATATTATGTTTACGATTACTAAAGAGCATGATTTTTGTCTTTTTCAGGTTCAGTGACAGTTTGTTAATATTAAACCAGTGTTTTAACTTATTCATTTCCACTGTTATCGAGGCCAAAAGTTGCTCAAGGTTTTCATCGGCATAAATAATGTTGGTATCATCAGCAAAGAGGATGAATTTCATTTTGGTAGACACTTTACATATTTCATTAATATACATCAGGAATAGTGTAGGTCCAAGTATGGACCCTTGCGGTACTCCACAAGTTATGTCCAGAAAGCCTGACTTATATTGATCAATCTCAACAATCTGTCTCCTCTCGCATAGATAGCTCACCAACCATTTATTTGCTACTCCCCTTATGCCATAGTCCTCCATCTTTTTTATTAGAATCTGATGATCTATGGTATCAAAGGCTTTTTGAAGATCTATAAAGATTCCGACAACAAATTTATTTTTTTCAATACCATTTGTAATTTGTTCTAGTAAGTCAATCAATGCATGTGAAGTACACCTGTTTTCCCTGAAACCATACTGACAATCAGAAAATAGTTTATGCTTTTCGATGAAGCTCCGGAGTCTTTTGTCATATAGTTTTTCTAAAATTTTTGAAAACTGTGGCAGAAGGGAAATAGGCCGATAGTTATTGAAATGATGTTTGTCCCCAGATTTGAAAATAGGTATGACTCTATAGACTCAATAGACAAAAACAATGGGAGAACAATAAATTAGTGCATTTAATTAAATATAACAGCATGACATTAATGACATATTAAACGCATTCTCACAGTAAATGTATGAACAGTAGTGTGGCCATTCCGCAGACTGATGACAAGAAGACTTCAAAGACCTGTGTTAGCACATTAGCTCCCCACATCTCCCCTGCACTGTTTGGTTAGCTCTCTCCCGCCAACCAGAGGTCCACACAGCTCTGTTACACTGCCATCTCAAGAAATAAGTTTGTTCGCTACATGACAAGTTACTTTTAGACTATTGGCGACAAACAAGATAAATGTATGACGGTTTAGACAAGTCCGTAAATAATAAAGTTGAATTAGGGAAGTCTTCTCTTTGATGTATGGATAGTTAGCATGCATTGGACTAGCCAAACCAAACCATTCAAGTTAGCACAATAAAGCACCTGGCCCAAATGTTGACAATAATCATGTTTAATTCCAGATATCAAATTAGCAATAAAACCTTAAATATGTAACAACAACAAAGTATTACATGAAGTAAGATTGGTTCCTTTCTCGCCGCAGCTTTATACTTCCAACACAGAGGCAAACTTTGGGCCTAACATTACAATCCAACCAACCAGAGTAAGTATAAAGCCACTCTGGGATAATCACTCTTTAACCATAAAGGATTTATTTAGCTTATGCGTTATAAGTTACACGTGTATGACAAATGACAGCGTGATCCAGAATACAAAGACAGAGGTGACATTTGTGAGATTGGTAAAGAATCCACGAATGATGGATTAAAGTAATTACCTTTTCTACGAGGGGTTGAGGCCAAATGTCCGCCGTCCACAGCTGGGTTTTCGGCCGCTAACATGTTTCAGTCCAGCCTCAACCGGGAATACACTGTAATTGACCACGTCTGTGTTTAATCCACCTTTAAATCGTGTCAGCTGCAAAAATGGGCAAAATGAGGGCACTGTGGGGCTGTACGTGGATAAAAAGTCTGTAAATGCTGAGATTTTGGACACTAAATATTGCACATCATGTCTCCGTGTCTCCCTCGGTGTCCCTCGTCTTCCTCCAGTGAGACTCCGCGCTCCGCTGTCGGAATTGGCGGGATTGTGTCACTTCCACCAAGAAGCAGCGCTCATTGGTCCAGACAGCAAAAGCGAAGGAAACAGACTGTATTCATAGCACACCCTGTGGCATTGGACGACGAGATTTGTGATAATTGTAAAATATATTGGACACTTTATACATTTGTAGTTCCATGGTGCTTATTTTCCCACTTTAAATTAATATTCAAGTAGTCACATAAACTTTCCAAATCCCTTTCCAAACCCAAAGCAAAGTCTCAAACAGGGCCGGTCCAACCAAATTAGCTGACCAAGAAGCTATAGGGCCCCCGAGAATTCCCAACAAAACAAGGAATCAATCAATCAAACAAAATGTAACTACAAAAACAATCCCATATACACAAGCAAAATTACTAGCCAATTGAATCTATTTGATCCAATTAAAAAGGATTCTTAATATATTCAGAATGTATATTTTAAAAATGTGTTTTTCTTTGGTCAAGAAACACACACTTACAATGGCAGGGCCAGTAATTTTCAAATTTGGAAAAAGTCAAAACAAATTCTACCCCTCCCTCTGGTGGTAACACAGAGAGTGGCAGGCTGCTTGCCATTGATTGCTCTTAATACTAATTTTACCCTATGGTTTCACCATATCTACTTGAGATATTATTTCACATTCTCAAGTCAATAGAAGATAAGATAAGATGAGATAAGAGATCCTTTTTTCGTCCCCAGAGTGGGGCAATTTCAGTTGCAGGGCACATACAGGACAGTAGTAAGAGCACACAGAGAGCACACAAAATGTACAAAATTAGTAGCTGCTATGTTTCTTACCTAGCTGTAAATGCTTCAATCAAGGTATCATTATTATTTAAAAAAAAACATAATGCATATTATTTATCCATCCATCCATTTTCTACCCTTTAATCCATTTCTGGGTCAGGGGGGTGGCAGTCAGAGATGCCACCCAAGTCTCATAGCACCAGCCCCTCACTGATCCTCTGCAGGTGGTGAGTCCACAGGAGGACAGCTGCTCTAAGTGTGAGTATAGCCTTGATCTTTCTGTTGGGGCTTTGGGCAAAGTGGGGTTAAGTGTCTTGCCCAAGGACACAACGACAGCAGTCATCAGTGGGAGTCGGTGGAGAAGGTGTAGAGGTGGGAATTGAACCTTCAGGCCTGAAGGCCAATGCTCTACCAACTGAGCTACTGTATTATTTATTCTTTAAGGTATTATGTTTACGTTAAAGGAAAAGAACATGTAACACCTTTTTACACTTTGACAGGAATAGGCAAAGAAATTACATATTTATAGCATAAGCAGGTAATGGACCTCTTCAGAAAAGTTGTGCAATGTGTTATAAATTAAGAATAGAAAAATGTCATGTTTCGAAGAAGCAAAATTACTCATGGCTGTGGTGTCTTTTATCTGGGTGGAACAATTTTCACCACAATTAAATGTGTGTCATGTTGTTGTCACGCGTTTCCCGTTTACTGCGCGTGACATTCTGGGGCTTGTAGTTTTCTTATCTTCTATCCCCGTAACGAAGAATACAACACATCATACATAAAAACTACAACAGCTACTGTTGTGCACATGCGCACAACTTGTTTCGACAAAAGGCGCATCCTGCAGGATTCCCGGACCCCTGCAGAAGAAGCGTTTGCCTTTGGATTTCGCCGGAAACTCACAGAAAAGGGTAACGTCAACTTGACTTAACTTTAACGAGTTAGCTACTTGCTATTTGATTTAACTGAACTCCACCTAAACAGTAGATTCGCACGCTAACTATAAGTTACAAAACAAATGTAGTTTTATCTGAGCGAGCGTTTGGAACTCGGCCCTGACTGCTAACTAATGCTAAAACTGTCTCTTTCATTCACCATAAAGCCATCTCATTTTCGTCAGCTCTGTGATTGTATTAATATATGTTACCTATCCGAATAAACATATACAGGCAAGGTGACAGATGACATTCTAATAACCCAGATACATGAAATATATTATATATAATATATATATATATATATATATATAATATATCCTTTAGCTTGTTATTATTTTCTAACTTTGTTTTTTAAAGAGGATACCTGCTATGTAAAGATAGTTTACGTCAATTTATCAACAAACACATGACTAAATGCACCGTTTCAACTGTATGTTTAATCTGATGGAGTTTTTATTATCTCTGTGTTTCAGACTTCATTACAAAGAAAGATGGGAGGTTTGTTTTTTACTTTTTTTATGAGAAATGTCTATATACTGTTGTGTTTGGAAGTTTACACAACCAGCCAGAGATGTTACTGTTTTGGACATATTCTCAAACTATTACTTCATTGAGTCGTTCTGGGGACAATGCAAGGTGCTTTATCATCAGAGAGGATAAAGAATAATTAGCACAAAAGACTAAATGTTATTGATGTTATAGGCAATACACGCTTTTGAGAGGTGGGGTGTAAACTACTCATCTTAATTTTAGTAGTCCCTTTTGTCATTATAGCTCGGAACTAAAAAATAAAAGTTTATTTGACACCAAATGGCTCCACAGAACTACACATTTTTCAGTAATGAGTGAAAAAGTTGTTTTTTGTGTGTTATCTTTCATAATCTCTAAAATATCGGCCTGTGTGTAAACGCACAACTGTATAATGAAACATCAGCATAGTTGTAGAGTTGTAATGGTTACACAATTTCCTCTTTTCTAGAGCGCGTGAATAACTTTCCTCCCATTCCCAAGATTCTGAAAATCAAACCATGCTTTTATCACAATATTGAAGAAGAGATCCCTGCACCTCATCAGCAGCTTGTACGCAGAGTCTACACACTATGGATGAGTATGTTGCAATGCACTGTTGTATATGTTTTGTAGGTATCTAATGCACCCAACATATTCTCAAATCCATTCCCTTGCAGTGTATTCAGCCACTCTCTGCCTCAATGTAATTTCATGTATTGCGTGGTGGGCTGGCGGTGGAAGTGCCATCAACTTTGGTTTCTCCTTACTTTGGCTCCTTCTGTTCAGCCCTTGCAGTTATACTTGTTGGTTCAGACCGCTGTACAAAGCCTTCAGGTTAGTACACACAGGTTAATGTTTACAAAATACTGCAGCTTCCCTTTTCAGCTTATTAGACTGCGTCTTTTTCAAAGCTTAATGCTCATGAACTTGTCTCTGTTTTTCCAGGGCAGATAGCTCTTTCAACTTCATGGCCTTCTTTTTCATCTTCTTCCTTCAGTGTGTGTTGGCTCTTATTCAGACTATAGGCATTTCTGGCTGGGGAACATGGTGAGTTTCAAAACACAATAGTTTAGCTATTTTTCTAACTGGCTCCTATGCAATCCTCTGATCTAGCTGAGTAAGTGTACTCTAATTAGACTAATGTTTAAACACCAGATTCTATTACATTAGATCATTATGTTGTATAACATTTTGATATTTAACAAAAATGATTATCTAACTTTCGTCTATCAATTGAAAGAGATTGTGCAAGATATTCATCTTGAATTAAATGTAACTTGATTTCACACAACTGAAATGTACTTTGCATGCTTTGATTCACGCATTTGCATGATATCAAGATGAAATAATAAAAAAAACGCTGTGTTTTAACTTTGACTAACCTGTTCACTCCATTTCACATGTTTCTACCTCAAATAAAGCGGCTGGATTGCAACAGTGATGTTTTTTAGTACCAATGTGGGTGCTGCTATTGTGATGTTCATCACCACACTGCTCTTCACACTGGTAACTGCTCTAATGGCACTGGTGCTCATCAAGGTGAGTGAACCAGCCTGGGAAGAACGTTTTGCATCTGATCTTTTCAGCTTCCCTGAATTGTTTTTGCACTATAATACTTTTCTGTATGCTAAGCACACAAATATGGCTTAACTGTCTGTGTTATGTGTGCAATTTTTGAAAAGGAAGAGTAGAAATTGGTGCTGTCCAAAATACCTTTAAGAATATGATGTAGAAGTCTCTACTCCGAAAAGCAAGAAGGAAACAGGTTTGAGGATATTATGGAAGCGTTAGTTTGTATAGACCTTTTAGTTAGTAAGTTTACTTACTGAAGGTCTTGTCTAAATTAGGTTCCTTACCTTTGACATGGACTTGGGGTGTCACCAGCTTGCTTCATGGTTTTGGTTTTTGTGTATATGTACTTAAAGTATGTCACGTGATTTTGTTTTTCACTTGTCCTTTGGTCTTTGTTGTCCTGGATACTCAGGTGCACAGGATGTACCGCGGTGGAGGAGGGAGCATGCAGCGTGCCCAGGAAGAGTGGGCTACTGGGTTGTGGAAGAGTGCCCCAGTGAGAGAAGCTGGCTTTAATGCTGTTGCCCAAACTGCACAGGGCCCCAGTCTGCCCCAGTACCCAGCTGCTGTACCCAGCTACCCAGACAACAGCCAGTGGTGATGGTCCAGAGTGTCCTCCAGAGGGAGACAGACTGTTAAGTGTGCCAAACAGCATAGAAACGGGCGTTATGAATATAGTACATAGGTTCTATCTGAGTTTTGTTAGTAGAGAATGCAAAGGGTTACAGCAAATATGTCATTCCATATCTTATTTGTTTACATACAATATTGAATACATTGTGAATAATGTACTTAAATCTCTAACGGAGTGGTTTGAGTTTAAGGGAGTTTATTGGGGGCTTGTGCCTTACATTTATATTATAATATAAAGCTCTGGCAGCCATGCATGCTGGAAATTCTGAAATACAAAGAACAGGTTTTAACTAAAACTGCACGACAATGACCTTGTTATGTGTATTTTTGCCAGGACAGTTTATTTTTGATACTGTGCTTACTTTAGCTTAGCTTGAAGGCCTTAATATTGCAACTTTTGCATGAGATAACTATTGTTTGAATGTAACTTTGTTTAAGTTAACTAACCACATGCTTCAATGAAGCAATTGTTAACATTTGTTGGTAATACTGCATTTTGGTGCCATATTCTGCGGGCTGGGGGTGAGTGCAGATTGACCCCTGCCGCAGTATTTCTCATGCTTGTGTGGTCAGGGCTTTGCAGTGACCACTCTTATCGGGGCCTCTTTCCACACATAAATAAGCTGCACGTGGGGCTGAATACAATTAAAATCTGTCAACACAAACAACTGAATTAATCCAGTTGTTAATATAAATCCCATCACAGACACAACACAATTCTTCAACTAATAATAGTTTTGTTTTTAAAGTGTGTGATGTTATTTTCACTACATTAGCCACCAGCCAACATTACAATGTTGCTGCACCAAACTGCCTGTATTTAGTATAACTTTTGAGTAAAATGTTAAAATAATTGGTCAACATTTCAATAAAGATTCAGAAATTATTCTATCGTCATCATTTATTGTATTCAAACATTTATATACAATGTACAAAAATAAAAGTCTTTCCTACATGAGTCGAGTTGTAGTTTAGTGTTTGATGTTTAACCTGACCTCATCTTTATCATTGGACAAGACAATGTCAACAGCTCTTAACTTTGTGGTGATCTCTATAGATTGCATATCTGTTTCATAAAGCTGGTTTGTGGTACCTTCCGTAGGCTTTGTGTTTATTATGATTACAGGGACAAATTGTTCTTTTATGTTTTAGAAAACCCTGCCCACATCTATTTGGACATCATACTTGAGAGGAAAACCAATAATTGTAATACTATTTCCAACAGTTAAATTGACTTACAGATATCTCAATGATTCAGTAGTCTGAAGATTTGTGTGTGTGCCCCTTGCAATCGTTCTCATAGGATTCTGCAAATCATTAATTGCAAACTTAACATGAGGTCTATCCCATGGATCTCCCCCATATGTGGTGGACTGATGATTCATTCGTTTGATACTTTGCTACTGCTACTTTTGGCCTGCTCTTCACAGCAGACCAGATTCAGTAGTCTCAGATTAACTAAGCTTACACTTTACTAGACAGTAATTACATTTATTCAAATCTGACATCAGGTCTAGAGCTGCTTTAGGGAATTGACTACAAATTTAGACTTCAAGTTTAGTCTTGATTTAGTCCATAAAACGTAATCAGGAGAGCCCTGATCTATTCCATTGTTACAAAACTGCATTGAAAAAATAAATAGTTAAAAATGTAGTGGACTGTACATACTATTTACAAGAAATGTATTCACAATTCATCAGTAGGTTACTGCAAATAAAGACAATTATATAAAACATAAAAATAATCATCAGATTGACTGAAGCGAAGTTGCAAAATGAATAGCCAATTCACTATCAGTGCTGGTAATATCTCTTTAGCTTTATGGACACATAATATGAGAAACCATATCATTTCCATGCAATGTGGAAATATCAAATTATCTTCAGACGCCTATTATTTTATACTTGACATAAATGGATAATTGATTGTTTTAAGGGCATCTAACTGTAGCCAATGTACTTTTAGCTCATCATATCAACATTCAATTTCTTTTGACCATTAAAAGATAGGCTGATAAAGCTCTGAAAAAGTAGCTTGGCTGAGGAAAATGGGAAAGAGACCTGTTCATTAGATGCACTTCATTCAAGCCAATAAGATATTGAACGGATCATTTCTTAAGTTCTTTTCTTTTTTTTAAGTTGTGATCGATTATCAAACACTGGAGGTACCCTGTAAATGTGTGATAGCTTATGCGTCAGATTTCCGACTCATCATTGATATATCCCAGGCCGTTCAATCTTGAAATGCTGGCGAGAGACGTGGTGTGCACCCCGTTCTGTTTGAAGTCCACCGTGCAGTGATTATTATTGGAAATGCATGGTGTTCCTGGCATTGGCCCAAGAAGCTTTGCCTCTGAATCCCTGTTTTGGATGTGGACGTACTCCATGGGCTGCCTCTTCACCTCGTTTTCACTCGAAGCCCGTGCAAATTTGAGGCACTTCAAATGTCCTCGAAACCACAAATACAAGATAACGCCCATCAGGGAAAGACAAAGCAAAGACAGCAGCGTCACAGCCACCTCCAAACTAGACATTTTTCCTTTTTCCTTTTGATTCCCTGGAGTTAATGGCTCTGAAATCCCAATTTCTGGTGTAGTAGTACTTAAAAATGCATTCAAAATTGTAGTCTTTTTATTAGCAGGAGTAGTTGCCTGTCCAATATCCACACTTCTTTGTAGATTATAAACTGCCATTGTTCGGTTATACGTCCTGCCGTCGATAAGCTCCACAGAGTCACAAATGTAAAGACCAGTATCCAGTAGCGAGGTATCCAAAATGAGTAGGCGTCCACTGTAAATGTAGTATTTCTCATTGGAGTGAAGTGGTTGATGGTTGAATTGCCAGCGGACTTGTGCCAAATTTGAGTGAAGCTCACAAGGCAGTTGAACATTGTTTCCTGGTGTAAGAACAACATCTGTGGCTGCAACAGGATCTAAAACATATTCAAATATAGTATGAGTACAATAGAATCATAAAAAGACTTTACTTTAAAAAATTTTCTTTATTTTGTGTTTTCAAACTTTTGCCATTTAGAGACAATCTGAAAGATACATTACAGTCATAAACAGTTGATAGAAATCCATAATTCAGTTGCAGTAAGTGAAGTGTCTTGCTCAACGCCCTAAACACATCACTATGAAATGTAGAGCAGCTCGGCAGCTACAAGAGAAAAAGTTGGTCTTCACTGGCCAACTCCTTAATAAGTGTTTAGGGTTTAGACACTACAGTTTGCCATAGAGTCGAACTGTAATTCCACTCAGCGGGCCCTCAACAAGGCCCCAGCTTCACTTCTGCAGTCGGTTTCACCACAGAATCCATCTTGTAGCCTTTTTCTATTACATATTTCAGAATATTCTTTCTGTACTTTGTCATAAAGAAAAGACACAAAAACATCATAATAACTGACCTGGCCTCGGACACTGCGACACGTTGCCCTCCTTCAGACTTTGAGTCATTGGTTTAGAGAAAGACAGAGGATTTCTGACAGAAGAGCAGTGTTCAGTGGAGAAGTCCCAGGCGCAGTAAGGGTCTCGTGCCAGGACACAGTCCACACATGAACTGTAGCGGCTGCAGTTACTGAGCGGAATCTGCACCACGCTGAACTCTGAGCCGGCGTACAACTGACCCTTTGATGCAAAATATGCAATTACTCAATCTATCTAAAACCAACATAGGTATAGTGCAAAGCTTAAATCAAAAACAGTGGGCCTCATCAGTCCTTTGTCATAAACTATCATTAAGTTGAAGATATTATTTATAAACATTTCTTACAGAGCTTGTTGAGAGTCGCAGGATGTTGATGGAATCAAGGTTTTCAAACACTTGAATCTCTTCAATAATGAACATCTCGCCATTATAGTTTGCAGCCTTCTGAATGTAACCATTTTCTGAGAAAAAAATAGAGAATTTAGATGTATAATGAAACAAAGGGAATGTCATTGAACACAGACAGCAATTACACACTGTGTTCTACTCTAGGGTGTGATAAAATATTGACAGTTTGTTGAGACATATTGTTAGCTAAAGATTTCAATACTTTATAAAATACTTACCAGTGCCAATAAACATGACATCATATGTTTGTCCGTCCAGGGCCAGTACTCGATCCACAACAATCCGGCTGAGCAGAGCTCCCCTCTTCACAAGCAGAGGCTGTCCACCGATGGGAAGAACCGCTTCATCCATGAGGGGGCGATCTCTGATGAACTGGAGAGTTTTATCAGGAAGGTCCAAGGAGCGGTTCAAGCCCATTTTACGGGCTTCATTATTGATGCACTACGGCAAACAGAATATAATTGTATCAGCTAGTTTGAATATGTCATTTTACAAACAAAAGCATTTATAAAATACATATATGTGTTTCACTGACTCACCCCTCCTGGTCTGGGAACAGGTACCTCCCCAGTGTACATCACCCACTTCACATGGGATGTCTCCACGGCAACAGGCGTCTTGAACTTCCCCTCAGTGAAAATGTGCCTGATGTCGGAAACCTTGTATGCACAAACAGCTGAGACTTGGGATAAGCCCCTAGGAAAAGAAACATGGTTTTGGTGTAATTTCATAGATATATTTCATGTTAAATCTGTGTCATATGTTGGACTTACGATTGTGGGGTGAAGACTGTGTAGAACAGGCTCTCTCTCCAGTCTTTGTGTTTAAGCAAAAACACATCCTGGACAATGGGTGGCAGACTGGGCTCTGGGAGCGGACAGTCCAGACGTGCCTTAAGAAAGGATGTCCACTTCCTCTGCAGGGTTCTTTGGCCGCCCATATCACCCTGAAATTATTAAAAAATGATTTAATATTGTATGTTGCCATTATGGCTAATGTCTACTACACTAGGGGTTACTTTGCAAACTCTGGCGACACGGGACACTGCCACTTTGCTGTAGAAATCGTACTCCATGGCATTTTCACTGAAGAACAAATATACTTTATCATCATCGCCATTGGCACTATCCTCACTCTCCTCTACAAGGTCTGTGTAGATAAAGTTTGGTTCTGTGGAGACAAAATCAAGGCAAGATGAGGTTCAAAGAAAGAGTGGCCGAGCAAGACTTTACAAAATAATACTATAGTTTAAAATGGACCAATATTGAACATTTAAAATTACAATCTTGTTCAAACAAGTCCTTGTTTAAACAAGATGTCACTGTTACTGTGGCACAACTGTTTAAGACATAATGAACATATCCAGAGCGACTGAGGCAAACAGAGACTAAAGTGGAGCGAAGCCAAGATGCAGCAAACCCACAACACCAATGTGGAAGCCTAGGAAATGCTTTCATCAATTCATGATGTATTGTATACATCTCAACAACAGTCGTCTGGAGGAGCATCACATGTCTGCATCTGTAAACCATACCACCTTACACCTTACACAGCAGCTTAGACAGGACCCCCCTGTGCATCACACTCACCACTCAGCCAGGAGCTCTTGAACTCAGTGCGGAGAGCCAGATTTGAGCTGCGCAGGACCACTGGCTCGGAGCCCAAAAAGTTGATGGATGTGGCAGAATACAGATCACTTCCTGTTGAAAAGGAACAGAGGGTAAGAGTACATTCTTGGAAATCCACTTTTCATATTGTGTTGGAGGAACATCAAATGACTGCACTTGGTTAGCATGCAATATATTTATTTAAAATGTAGCTCTGAGACAAACAGCATAAAGCTGTCCAGCCGAGTGATATGTGGTTGTTGTCTTCACAACTTTCTCCAGTGTTCACAATAGTGTCAGCAGATCCTGGCTCAGACTCACCGACCATGAGGGAGGAGTATCTCTGAAAGGGATCAAAAGGACACTTCCCCTTCCCCTCCTCCTGCATCCCCTGCAGCCTCAGCTGTCCGTGCTCAAATGACTGTCGGAAACACAGGAAACAAAAGCTTTAAAACAGAGAGACGTGAGGCGGGCAGGAGACGTGGACTAAACTGAAGTCGAAGCCAAAGGCCTGTTTGAGCCATTTCACTTCAAACGTAAAAACTCTACAGCGTTTGTGTGGATCTGATGTCAGCATTATCTTTACCCACAGAATATTCATGGGTTAGGGTTGATGTTATTCCAACATCAAGTTGATGTTGGAATAATTCACTTAATATAACCTATAATTATTATAACTATGGGTTATAGTCTACTTCAGTTCTGTGGAGAGGCAAGCTTGCAGAGAACTCATTATTTTTAAGTTAATCTTAAACAAATAGTTACATCTAATCCCTGAAAAAGCTGTTGGTAGCACAACATTCTGCTGTATGCTATTTTAAACTTTAACATTATTTGCCTGAATGTCTCAACATCTTTTGAAGAATAACATAATTATTTATTATGTTATTATTATTTACTTAAACTGATTGAATGCACATTAATTCCATTAATGAAAACATGATTATTCATTCTAAATTCAGCATAAAGCTGACAAAGATAATCATTACAATATGTTTAGTTTTATTTGAACAAGGATAGCGTTTTCTGCTCACCATGAAGTCACAGATGGGGCTGAATGCATTGGTCCCACACACGTACATAGTGGTGGAGTTCATTCGGTGCAGGGTTCGAATGTAGTTGCGACATTCCACCTGCAACAAAACCCAGCCCAGAAAATGCCAAGGTCAACGCTGTGTTAGTTCAGCCACAAAAACATGAACACATGGAGATGCATATGGCTGTCAGGGCCGGAGGTCAGTTATGAGAGCCGCTTCTTATGCCTTTATTTGGCCTCAGACTCAGGACAGAGCAGTCAGCGAGGAACTTCAAAGAGAATTGATTTGGATGGAGAAACAGCATGATATAAATGATTCAAAACAGTGCGGATTCAAGCAGAAGTGGAAAGAGGTGGAACAAATGTACTTTTGAAATGAATCCTCCATCATTTGCAACATTGCTTGAGTGAACGCAGTAACACAAATTGACAAAAGCTCTGTCTGATAGTATCAGCGAGGAAACCTCAGAACATTTGAAGGTTGTTCACCATGTCTTCATGTGAGAACGTGCTCTTCTGCTTATCATAGTTGTTCTTATAGATGATCAACAATCAGAACTGCTTAGAATTATCTAACCATACACCCACTCGCTGTGTGGCTGCGAGTGGATCATGCATTGCTACAAACCTGACCTGCACTGATGATCTTCATTGAGGATGTTCCAAATTATAGTTTTTATTTTTATTTCTACATAACGTGCAGGTGATGTGCCACCCCCGGATAATTACAGTGTTGCTTTAATTTAACTTGGCTCCAGACTGTGAGATCTGATTACATGAGAGAGTGAGCGTTCTGGAGTTATCCTATCCCTGTAAGTAAAAGTAACGCGTGTGATAGTCTTAAGCTTTTGAAAACAAACCTCAGCTTGTTTTCCCTTGTAAGTGCACTCCCTCTGCTTCTCCTCTGTCACTCGCCAATACACCTGTAACAACAGAGTCGTGTCACAACACGCAGGGACAGTGTCGCAACCAGCGGTACACATCCACACCACTCTCCACATGCACAGATGAAAACAGGTGTAAATGACACATGCACATTTATAGATGAATATGGCTTTATGTTAATCATACTCTAGGATTATGTGTTTTAAAGCTCCCAAAACAACCCCCACCCAAATTAATGCATATATGCATTGAATAAATAAAGTAAAATATTATGTAACCATCCTCCTAAACACCCTGGATTGACGAGGAATTCTACTTATTCTACTATTTATAGTATTTCAATTATTTAGAGACCTCTTCCCATACTTGAATGTGAAGAAGCCCTATTGGTAGAGCACTATTTTGTATTCAACCAGGAAAATCCCATTTAGATTCACAGATCTCTTTTCCAGAAAGGTTCTGGCAGAAAGGCACTTACAATACAACCCTCACATAAAGCATTCAGTTACAGTTATCAAAAGATACAATCATTACGAGGGACATAGCTTTAAATCATAAGAGAACTTTGTTTGTCTTTACGTACTGATGACTTCTTGACAGAGATGTCGCTCATGTCCAGAGCATAAATGGCTTCTCGGGCTCCCAGCAGCATCACGCCCAAGTCCTCCTGGATCAGCATTGTGGAGTAGTTAAAAACACCGGACTCTTTGAACAACTTGAGCTCACCTGAAGCCAAAAAAACACCATATTATTATTCAAATACATAAATTATGTATCTCAAAATTCTGGGGATGCCGTATAAAAGAAATGTGCAAGTGTCAGTGAAGAGTGACTGAAATACTATAACCTAAATTCTATTATTTATTCTCTGTACAATTGTTTTTTTGAGGAAGAGACGTAAATAGAAGCGCTCTCTGTGAATTTATAATGACATGACATCAACAGCTTGACTTCCTCGTCATTTGATCTGTTTTACATTATTTAAGTGTACGTTTTCCTGGATGTCTTTGAATTTTCTTAATCAATTATGTATTTAAGAGGGGCGACAGTGGCTCAGTTGGTAGAGCATTGGCCTTTGAGCCTGAAGGTTGTGGGTTCGAGCCCACCTACTTCACGACTCTCACAAATGACTGCGGTCGTTGTGTCCTTGGGCAAGACACTTAACCCCACTTTGCCTGAAGCCCCCACCGAAAGATCAAGGCTCCTGTGGACTCACCACCTGCAGGAGGATCAGTGAGGGGCTGGTGCTAAGTGTACTGGGTGCAGCTCTGACTGCCACCCCCCGACCCAGAAATGGATTAAGGGGAAGAAAATGGATGGATGGATGGAATTATGGACTTAAATCACATACACTACTCAGTTAAGCTAGATAAGATGCATACCTATAATACAGTTTTCGGATGTGCAGAGCCGTACCCAAAATATCAAAAATACCAAGGTCCAACGTATTTCTTTTTCCTCATGAGAGGACAGTAAGGCCCTTTATACTATGATGCTCACAAAAAAAGATGCCATTTTGTGTAAGCATTTTAAAAAATCACCAAGAAAAGTGTTTGAAACAGCTTATTGCTGAAAATAACTTGAAAATATGACTTGAGTGAGAAGAGGAAAAAAATGACAAACAAAATATGAGAACATTTGAGTTAATCTCCTGCATTATGGCCATGATGGGGCGTGCTTGTGACTTACTGCTGTAGGGGACTGTCTTTCGTGGAGTGCAGTATTGTTGAGTGGGGGAACACAGAGACAGATGAAGCAGTAATCCACAAAGAGAGACCAGAGCTGAGAGAAGAGACATGTTCACTCCAGAGAGCACTCCAGCTCCTCCGCAATGGGGCCCAGGCGCTATAAGTTCATGGTCCAAGGTCCAAATGCTACAATAGTGTCTTTGTGTTTCATCTTGGTTTATGAACAGTTGTAAATCCAAAATGGGTTATGTTGGTGTTAGTCGCCAGTGCAGTGCTATGGGGCAATTGATGTCCGCTGGTGCAGGTACAGAAGCCATCTCTCAGCTAAAGAGGCGAGGTGAGGGAGGAGGCAGTCTTCATGGTGGCCCTCTTCTGTCAAAGGGAAGATGGAAGATAAGCGATCGAGACAGTGTAGGCAGATAAAAAGATTTCCTTTCTGGCACTGAATTCAGACATACTGTAGCTGGTTTCACAAAAACAATTCCAAGCTGCACCAACCCTCTTTGATAACTGATAATAACAAGATTAAGTTTGATTTTAAAACATGTTATGGTACAAACTGAAGACAAATTCAATTTTTAATCTGTAAAGTTGGGCTGATTCATTCCAATGTGTTTGTTCTTGCTCCAACCTGAGCAATTATTACCATGCATCAGGGATGTCAAGATAATTAAGTTAATCATTAATTGTGGTTTTCGAGGTTACAATATGATCTTTTTGAAAGTTGGTAGTTTCTAGTCATTTATTTCTGTACTTGGAGGTACACATTGGTGTTGTCCATTTGATGTTCAATTATTATTTACTTGCATACATTTGTCGTGTATAGAAACCATGACATTATACAGAATTCCAAAAGAACAACTATATTATTTATCTAATCAAAGACATTGAACCCAGATTGCAATTGATTAATATTGGTCTATCATGTGTCAGCAACAACAACCTTTCAGTCCAGTTTTGGTTCAGTTCATGTATGTAATGTGGTGGTAAAGCTCAAGTTAAATAAAACAAGCATTTGGTCAAATTGCCTCCATAAAGTAGAAAATAAAATCATTTCAAAACATAAAATAACCAGAGGCAAAAGATGCGCTTTAAACAAACTTTACACAAACAAATTAATGGAGACCTTGGTAAAACAGCAGAACACCAATAAGTCCCCTGTGTACCTCCATAACTACAGAAAGTACACAGGGCAATGGAGGTTGGGAACCACTGTTATAGTTCACAATTATTAAGTGAGGGAAATGTAATCCATTCACATTCATTACCTCTAAAACTACTTTCTTCGAACTTGATTGTAACACAATAGTCTCAGGCAGTTCGCATACAGGAAACTGATACAAGTGAATGTGTGCAGGCCACTCTCTCTCTCTCTTCCTGCCCTCCTCCCTGATGCTGCCTGCTTCCTTTGCAGGTTCACAGCTCGGGTTTGGGTGTGCAAATCACAACACAACACCAATTCACAGCTGTAGTGCGATACCTCTGGGACTCCTTTTGAATACAAACCTTCCTTGCACTTGTTTGGCAAGTTTGTTGACTAACCGAACAGCAAGGCCTCATTCAAAATGCATCAAAATTGTCCCAGAATAAACAACAGTGATAAACTCCTATCCTTTGAAAACGTTCCAACAACACTCTAAATAGTAAGGGCTTTTCTGGGATTGCTAGGGGAAAAAAAATAAAGATAAAAGAAAGTCTGTTTGAAATGTACTACAAAGTCTACGCAGGTGGATTGAAAATGACAGACTACAAGTTCCTAGAGACTTGGGAGACTCCAACTCTCCAGTGTTGTCTTTTCATTTTTTTTACTTCAAACTTGCACCTTGTAGTTACTCGACGCAGCGGGCGAGTTTCAGCATGCGTAGGGACACCTCATTTATGTGTTGTCAAAAAAATACGTTTTTCCCGATAGCTGTGACGGAGAGGGAGAGCCCAGTATACCACAGCTTTGCACGCTGCACTTGGACTTGTTTTGTTTTTGCCACTTTGACAGATGCCTTGAATTGCGCAGACAGAGAGGTATGACTACAATAATAGCAGAAGACACAAGAGTCCTCTTTGTTTACCCAGAGTGACGCTCTGTGACACGAGGCAGAGCTGTTTGTCCAATGCTTTCTTTACATATAGCACATTGTTTATACTTCTGTTCAGGCCTTATCTCATCAGAGCAATATTCAATGTGCAATAGCAGTTATCAAATGTATACTTTCATAAACAACATTTACCAATAACAATGTGTTTTCGGTTCTATTTTGTAACTGTTAGATTCTCTAATCTGTGTAATCTGTGCAAATTCAATGGTTGTGTAAAGTCCCCCTAGATAACTACTGTTGTGATTTAGGGCTATAAAAGAATATGTTTAAGGCGGAACAGAATAACTTGATCCTTGCTCTCAGGTTCTATGACTAGTTTTCACATGAATGTATGTTGGCCTTTCACATCTGAAGAGCAGCTTTTTCAGACAGAAAAGTGAAAAAAGACCGGATCAACCTCACTTAGCCGATCAGCTCTCTGCCCAAACAATCCAATAGTAATGTAATCTTTATTTTATATAGCACATTTTTACAGGCCAAGGTCACCCATAGCACTTTACAATGTTCAGAGTTTAGACATTGTTTAATTCACTCCACACGGTGATGACAGACGTGAGACGCCGAACACACTGGAGCATCAAAGCCTCTGACCTATTCATACCTATTGTGCATGTTTATAGTGGTCGAGGAAACCGAAGCACCAATGCAGACATGGGGAGAACATGCAAACTCCACTCAGAAAGGCTCTGTTCCAACTGGGATTCGAACCCAGGAACTTCTAGTGACTCACAGGACTCAAGTAGGCCTTTCTAATAAGATGAAGATAGGAGGCTGAGGTCTGTTTTGTTCACAACATTTCCCTTTTACATGGGACTTTCTGTAAAAAAATATTGTTATATATTAGTTTATGTTTAGGTGTTCCAGCTTTTTAGGTGTTCTTGCTTTTTGCAGTGTTATTGTGTAACTCACAAAGTTATGTCACTACTTCTTCAGAACTGGAGATGTGTTGCATCAATATTTTGGTTTCTGTGATAAGAAAAAAAAAAACTCCCATCTTTCCTGGTTTCTTTGTCTTATTGATTTATCAGGAAGGGCCCTCCCATGGACTGCATGACCCCTAATCTTTTGAAACAGCCCTGTTGCCAATTAATTTAACGAAACGCTTAAATCAATCACTAATAGTAAGCCATAACTCAGTGAAGAGGTTTAAAATAGTTCAAGTATGTTATTACAGGCCTTTTCTCTCTCCTTCATAGTATCTTTGTTCCTTTGGCATCTGGCACAGTGGCCATGTTGATAACAAAGACTATTTAAAAGGGTGTGTGATGACTAGTAGTTTTCTAAAAAGGATCAATGTTTTTCACAAAGCCAGCAAAACCTGCTCCCAGCGCTGTAGAGAAAGACGTGATATAAAAGATGACGTCACCCGTAGTCATTACTGTTCCACCTGGTGCTCATGATGATGTGGCCTTTACTCATTCAAACACATTGATTAAAGAGTGTATATCTTTCAAAAGTAGAGTGACCACACACGGATGAGAAATGACATGTTGAGATTGAAGCCAAATTACAATGGAAACAACTAACAATTCTCAACATAGTATTTTGATCTAAAAGCAGAAATGTCATGTATCTATAAGCAAACAACACAGATCTCTTCAGGCCGGCTGCAGGAGTGATCGTCCAAAAGATACAAATATGAATAAGTTACGACAAGACACATTAGATGGGCAGCACATTAACAGTAAGTGTTTGTGTTTACAAGCTCAAAGGTCATGTGTTCTACAAAAGACCTGTATCTCCAACTACGTCAAGTACTCCACTATTTTTAGACATGTTAAACTTGGCTGCGCTTCTATGGACTTAAGAGTACTACTAAAACAACAAGAGCAACTGTATCCTTACTTCTGTCACATCCACATTTAAAAGCTTCCAACTTATACAGTTTTCTATTTGATTCCATTTTGTTTTATACCTGCATTTTTAAAGTGGGGGTCCTCGACTTTCAAACTACAAAACAATTGAACGAGCTTAAAACAAAGTTAGTGTTAGTAGTAGTAGTTTGATAGCACTTCTGTCACATCTTTAGATCAGATTATGCAGACAGAAAAGTGAGAAAGCGAGAACCACCAAAGAGACAAATAATGACTCACAGGGCTCTTTCTTATAAGTGTGCAAAAGATAACGTGTTCTCTCGAGGAACATGACATCTTCTGGTCTGATTTGTTAACAAAATGTTACTTTTAAAGAACTGTTTTGTGTTGGTAAATTCAGTGACCCATCTTTAAGTAATTCTTTAATCTCCATTTAAGACTTGAGTGCTCAGAGAACTTCCTTTCACCTAACCCCTATTCCCCCCACTGCACCACAGTGTCATGTGTCTGGTACAAAGCTACTGTTCAAAGGCAAAATGACATCAATGAAACTTCTACATGTTTTTATTAAATGTCTCTCCGTTTAGCGAGATAGGGGGAAGTTATATCAAATATTTATCATTTCTACTACTAATATAGACATAATAGCACAAAACTTATTGTCAAAGTCTCATCACAATTTAAATCTCCCAAAGACAGCGCCCAATACAAGTTTGTTCATGTAGACTTCATTGTCTGCTCTGAGTCACAATAAATCACATCCAAAAGGTGTGTAACAAGTCAGCTGGGTGTGTGATTGTGTATGAGTGTTATCTTGTGCGCATGTGTGTGTGTGGGTGTGCATGCATGTGCGTATATTGTGTGACTGTGTGTTGTATGTGCATGTGTGTATGTATGCATGTATGTGTGGGTGCATGCACGCATGTGTGTGTGGGCGTGTTTTTGTCCTGTAACTGATTAGCCCTGAGGCCTGACCGACAGTTGTAAACGTATAAAACAGGTTGAATAACTGCCTCGCTGCTGGCGTTGTGTCCTGTCTGTAAACCGAGCTGTCATTTGAGTTAAAGATGAAAAATCAAACGCAGACACTGTTAAAATGTGTGTAATTAAAACTCTGCAACACATTCACCACTTTACCACTGGCTTGTGGCCCTCTCGCTTGGTCTTTGTTTCAAAAAAAAAAAACACACACACAAAACATGTGTCCTGTGGCAGGAAGGGGGCCACCTCCTGCTCGCTTCCATGGAATTAGTCTTCCTTAGTCTTCCACAGACCGGCATTTAATCATTTTATATCCACAGAGAATATCCTGAAGTTTGGTTTTAATACTACAGGGAACATTCACGCTCCAGAAAGTTACACTGTATTGTTTTCAGTGACCATTAGTATGATATTCACAGACACAATACTTGAATCGGTTGAGGTTGATTGGGCCTTTCAATCGATACAATTACATAATTTACAGACTGATATTAATAGAACATGATATTACAGTTTTATCTTTTACTCAAAACACAATTGGATCGTTTTTTAATACGTTTTATCTTTTCAGTCCCTTCATTGTTATCGGTTCATATCAGGTAATACATCAATGCCATATTACCAAATTGGAAAATTAATTGAGATGGTTGAACCCTTGTATCTGAAATGTGAGCAGATCATTGGGACTGCAGCTCTGATCTATTGCTCCACAGTTTAGGCCCAAACAGGAAAGTGCAGACAGTGGGAGGGCCTCACCTCTCACACTCCTGTTGTGTTCAGTGGAAAACAAAGCCCAGTTCAGCAGCAGGTTACAGTCTCTGTCCGTGATTAAAAATGTCAGCTCCTACAAACCACCATTCTGAAAAGCTGTTTGGGCCTGTCATTAGCATTATGACGTTAAATGCAATTATCTGAAAACAATACTTGGAACATGCAAACTGTGCACTTTGCGAGCCAAGGTTACGAAATCAGATGCACTTTGAAAACGGCTTTCATCTACAGCTCTGTCCTCTGCTTTACTGCAGCTTAAATGACTGCTTTAGTTCTCCGTGTCTGCAGCTTTACTCTCTGCGTAAGGGAAAATGATCAAAAAACAATTCATATTATTGGGAAAGCTTTTGAAAATGAATATGCAACATTTCCACATCTAGTACAGATAGTAAAATACATAGCAAACAACGACGTATAATCACTTATGATGGGGGAAGAATATATTTGTTTTGACAATATCATCTATACTTCTATACTATCATGTGAATAATTTTGTTTACTGTATAGATCCAAACCATTTTTTTGTTTTGTTTTTTAACTAAATTCTGACTTTTTGCACCAACACAAAGGGCCTGTTTATTCAATTCTATTCATCTCATATTTTTTATGATGATAATATTACATCAAGTATATATGGGCTTTTTTGGATACTCAAAGGGGCTTTTCAGTATTAAAAGCCCCTTTATTTTTTCAAATAAAATTGCAAAGAGGTTTCAGGAACTATTAGAAATATCTGTCCCTCTAGAGCAACCTGAACCATCTGATTGTACTGAACAATCAATATCATCAAGATATTTTCTTAATCATTCCACATAACAGGAGTATATTGTCGTAAAAGATATGCAGCATTTACAGTCTTTATCTCTTTTATTCATCATAAACAATTTCTCCCTATTTCCCAATAGAATAACGGCTGAAACTGTTTTATAGCCCAACTCGTCTGACTACTCACAGCTCATATCAATAGGACCACTTCACTGCTTGATTGATGACACTGTAGTTCAGAGTAAACTTGGACAAACCCAGGACAGTGACACACACGCACAGGCAAGCTCAAGCAGGAACCTCCAGAAAATACACAACATAATACACCCACCTTCAGTCTGTAGCAGTACGTGTTGAGATGTGTATATATATATATGAATATATATATATACAGTATATACCTCACAGTTCCTCCCACACAGTTCCTCCACCTCGATGAGCTGGAGGAACTGTGAGTGGATGGGGAAGTCTGGGCATCAAAATTGGTATCACACATAAAGTTGTTTTCTTAGTATCGGATCTGAGTTTATAACTTTACTTTCACTAAATATACTTTATATACATCCATCCATCATTTTCTGGAGTCTAAGCTGCTTAGACTCCGGCAACAGATGAAGCGGAAGAAAATGGATGGATGAATGCATAGTATATTTAGTGAAAGTTAAGTTATAAACTTATTATTATTGTTGTGTGTTGAACAATGTGTGACTGAATGTTTTACTGTCTTGTCCTTGTAAATATTGTAAATATCTCACATTATTTTAACTGTGTAGCAAACATGTTTTTATCTTTTCAGGAGACATGGGACTACGGATGAAAAATAGCCGTTTGGCTAATTCTGGCATTATTACAGAAATGTTTTTTATAAATTAATATTAAATTAATATGCACTGTCCCAGTAATAAATAAATAAATAAATAAATAAACTCAGATCCGATACTAAGAAAACAACTTTATGTGTGATACCAATTTTGATACCTTTGTAAAAAGCAGAAACAATATTTTCTTGAAAATTGAGCTGGATTATTTCACATAAATAACAATATACATTACTGTACTACATTATGGTATGTTTAATAGTGCCACAATAGTTGTTGTAGTTCTGATATAGACCAAAATAATAAAAAAGAACATATTTTGTCTCATTTTTCCTTCTCCAGAATCTATACATTTTCAAATGAGTATCTTGTTTCAATAGTTTTATTGATTTGATTTGATTTATATCTGATTTAAAACTTTTGTCAACCCTAAAATAAATCATCCACTTTTTATGCTCCCTTTTCTAGTCCTGAAATGATACACTCTGTAATCTAATTTTACATGATGGCCAACATTACCAAGTTACAATACAATACATACTGTCCTCTTCGACTGGCATGACGCCATAATGAAGTAATTCTAAAGGGTGATTGTTTGGATGATTCATTTCTTGTTTTGCCATCTGAGCCCCTCATAACAAATCATCTGCCTCCTAGTGTGCAGAGATTTGCATATTTAATTTGGCATAGGATTTTTGCCAGATGGGGCCAGCACCAAATGTAGGCCACACCTTTTGTCAACATTGTTTTCGATATAGCCATGTGACATTGCTAGATAACATATAGTGGAGCTGTCTTTATGGCTGAAATGGGAAAGACACATGGTATGGAAATAGTTGACATTGAAATAAACATATAAAGTAAATGGATTATTAACGCTTTGGGATTTTTGCTTTCAATTTGAGGTGAAACAGACAATATATAGCCCTAAAACTACATGAAAGATAAAGGACAAGAATAATCAAACACAATTTAGGGATTTGTTTTACAGAAAGTATCTTTGATTCAGGCTCTTGTATATCACAATTCTGCTACTTTGGTGTCTAAGTGGTTGATAGACAAAGTATAATGTTTTAGAATATTGAGTCAGTAACATTATCTGTCTAGAAAGAAAACCCAATAAAAACAACAAAAAATAAAAAAAGCTGCTTATGAAGATTCAGGGATTTTAAAGTTTGTATGAATTTCCACTGATGCTCGAAGTATATCTGCAGTGAATAAGGAAATGATGTCTCCACCAGCTCTCACCCCATGCCCCTATAACCTCATAACCCTGGAGTATGTGAGGCATGTCGGCTGGTGTGACCCTCGTGTGAGCAGTGACAGTTTAGAGAGCCGTCCACATGCGAGCACTTACACATCTCCTTACACTGCTGCTGCTCTGGACCAGCTCCTGTCATGAGCTTGAATTCTCCTCATTCACCGCACTTAAATCCATGAGTATCACGTTTACAGTGTAACCTCCGGGTTCAACTGAAGCTCTCCCTGGTCTTAAAATACACCACTGCCCGCTACATATACACATGTTTTGTTATAGTGATATAGGTTTAGGTTATGGTTTATAACCAGCTATGAGGAAAAGGACACAGAGACTTGAACCTAATATGTGTGAATATGTACAGCAACATTCAAATGACATGTCCATTTGAGATTATTGTCTGACTATTATTCCTTTTTTTCAAGTGTCTGGCATTGATTTGGGCAGGTGACACTAGAACAGGTCTGCTTGCAGTACAATACATACATACAGGTACATACACAAATTTTCCAAGGTAAACGAATACATACAACAGACAGATATGATTAATAGCATTGCATTATACACTGAAATTATATTCCTAACCAGAGCATAAGAAGGGTCCTCTATGAAAAGTTACACCCACAAAAAGTGAGCTATTATTAATGAATGGAATGATTTCAAATTTAAATATCAATAGCCATGTTTCCAGATATACAACCGATTTAGAAAAGCTCTGCCTACAAAAAAAGCATTTGTTTTTTTGGATTCTCCTGGGTGTCGTTTCTTCCCAGACTGATGCAAACAGACTCATAGCTCGATCTTGGAGTTGAAGTTGGACCATGTTAGTTGTTGTCCTTTCCCAAACAGTCCTAGCGGTGCTCAGTCTCGCTCTAAGCTGCTATTATTAGTTGAGGATTTCCCATAATCTATGCAGAGAATTCACAGCGCACTTCATGTGACGCGCCTCTGCCCCTCCATTTACGCACAAGGTCCCCGAGTCTCACAAAGCGACAATGAAACCACACAGCAAATATTTCACCTCTTGGAGTCTTGACCATGTTAATAATTGACAATCAAAGTGAGTCAGTTGCAGATTTAAAACTCACCAGCAAGTTTTGTTCGTGGTTCCACACTGAAAGCTTGTCTCCACCTGCGCCTCGGTGAACGGTGCACTCTGAACCAGGAGCGACTGTGCAACAACGGGAGCAGCGCCGCCCACGTGACTCGAGCTGCACCTAATCACACTATGAGCCAATCAGAAAGCAGCAGGAAGCTTTGTCTCGTTACCTTTCTTTTGGGACGGCAGAAGAAAGGGCCGCTTTATCTGTGGCGCGTCTGACCTGCTTTTTGTAGGTTGGACTGTCCCTAGAGATTGTACTGACTCGTCCGGAAACTTTAGGCCTATCTATTCTGTTATTAGCAAATCTCCAACATGCAGCCTTTCACAATTCGCATATATATATTTTTAAGCGTGTTTGAAGCTTGGGGACCTAGCTTTCAAATCACACAAGATCCAAGATATAGTGTACATAATTGAATTATGTTTAAGCGATTGTTGTTGTTGTTATTATTATTATTATTATTTGTATTGTCTTTAGTAGTATTGTTATTATTATTATTATGTTTAACTTTTTTTTTTTTTTTAAATCTCTTTCTTTTTCATTCAAAAAAGTGAAAAAAGTAACTAAACCAAACAGCATTTCACCCTAAGCGTCAAATAGAGACTCACGTGGCACTTTCTCAACTTTCACAAGACTCTTTCGGTTGAGGAAAACAAATGATTAGCTTTTATATGGACGTACAAATAAAAATATTGACAAAATATGATATTTTATTTGTATTTTTTATCGGAATATATTAAAATTACAAGATGCTGCGCCTCAGGATCTCCATCTAGTGGCGGATTGGAGAAGTGTTGCTGAACAGTCAATCGTCATCCCTCGCTTCAAAGTAGAAACTAGAGAGTATGAATGTAATGTTGAAACGCCTTCATGTTCGTGGTGAGAGTCTGCGGCTGTGCTCATATCTCCAGGCCGGGTGCTGCAGGTTCTCGTAGGGTGATTCTGTCTTCGGTGGGCTGTCCGTGGGCCTGGATCGTGGAGAGGGCTGCCCGCTGCCCCCAGTGTTGGCATAGATTGGCCACCCCTCTGCAACATAACATGAGGACAAATCGGTTAATTTATTCTATGGTTATTAATCAAATCAATGTTATTCATCTTTAATGCAGACACACAAAAAGTCTTAATTAAAAGTAGACAAACAACATACAATATTTACAAAATACACTTCCACAAAGCCTCCATATTTTGGGAGTTTTACTCAATCATCGCATCGTGTCTTACACTAAACAATGATGATGCACACATGTAAATAAACTAAATGTTTAATAACGCTTGGTTTAAAATATTTGCATCGCCGTATTTGTATGGTTTTTATTATATTTTTTAAATGTTGAAAGTTCAGTGAATGAAAACACCAAAGATGTCTCATTTATAATGATAAGAAGGCGTTGTGGAATGCCCTGATGATATTTGTGTTCTCAACAACGACCGTATTTATTGCTGGATAATCAATTATCAAAATAACTGTTAGTTACTGCCTACGGTCTATGGTTACAGCCCTATAAACATGATTCTGGTGAGCACCCTGTGCATGTGGGCTCATAAACTCAATTTCACATCACCGTGACGTTTTTGACTGAACCACATTATGCCCTCATCGCTTTTGTACCATAGCCACTATGATCTCTCTCACTTCACACAGACAGTACATGTGTAAAACAAAAGGCCTGTAGGACAATTCTAGTCCCTTAATTTTATTTTCAATTATTATGATTAACTTGCAGCATTGATGATGATATGTTTTTATTTATTTATTGTTTATTTGGTTGGGACAGTACATCCCAGTTTGTATGACATGTTGTGCTCATAAATATTGTTAAATAGATAAGTAGCCTCAGTTTTACAAATGCCTTCTTCAACTTAGGTCCAGTTTTGGTTTAATCTAAACAAACAGGAACTTTTTCTTCAATATTAAAGCTCTTTACTTATAAAGAAGATCCTCTTGTCAAAATATCTTTATAATGTAAAAAATATATCCAACTTTCCACTAAGAAAACCACTTCCAGCCTCCGGCCAGCTGTTACGATTTGGCTCTCAACCAAAATGAGTTTGACATTCGTATGTGCAGTTAATGTAATAAATGTACATTATTAAACTGATATGTCTACATATCACATATAATTTATTATGTAACATATAAATAATTATTTATATGTTACATTGCTAGTGTAATACCCAATTCACAGAACTCACCAAATCATGTATTGGGTTTTTTTTTTAAATTGTATTTTAGTTTTAGTGGATGGCTCAATTATTGTGTGAATTATGAATATGATGATACCAGAAAAGATATTGTTCAATTTTTTATGCTACATCAATCACAACCGAAACGGAATTTGCAAATTGACATGATTCTCTACTGCATTTGTAGTACTGTATTTGTAATTACATTGATCTCCTGTGGCATTAAAAGGATAATAGCTCAAAACAGAGGATTTTAATCACTATTGGTCAACATTTGTGAACGATAAATTTGTGCAGATCTGGTCTCGTGTTTGTGTAATCTTTATGGCGACCACACTTGTTCTTTTCCTGAGCTGTCTAACCACAAAGCACCATTTTATTGTGACCTGAGCTCCTGCAACTATACTGCTTTGAGCTAGATCTATAGAGTCATACTAATTATTATATGCATATATAAACGTGGGGACTATTACCTCTTTTTTTGAGCTGTCTCCTCCGCACAAAATACACACACATCAATAAAATCAATAAAACAAGTCCTGAAGAGCCCACCGCAATCCACAGCCACCAGTCCCTCAGCTCAAAAAAAGGCTTTTTAGTCTCTGGAACACAACAAACATACACACATGATGGGATTTTACTTTGCATAACATTTTAAACACAGAAACACAAAGTTCTGCCCTTTAGTCTTTTGCGTCATTGTCTTATAACCCATTATGTGATTTCCATGGGCTGCAGAGACGCACCTTGTTCAGTAACCCCTGTTTGTGACGTGATCTCCAATACATTTATGTCTGTCTCAAACAAAGCAAAATAAACCTTACGTTAAAATGTCTGTAGCGGCCAAATGAGTAAACAACACTTACCAACTTTTAGCTCTGTCCAGTTACTGTTTTTGCCCGGGACAAAGTCAATTTCATCTCTGGCATGGCAACAGTACCATCCGCTGTTATTCTGGCTAACATTGTAGAGAATCAGAACTGACAATTGAATAGAAGAGGATTTGTGGATTTTGGTGGAGAGGTTTCTAGAGCCCGGCTTTGATGGTTCTCTTGGATTGAAGTACCAATTAACACGACTGCGCTCTGAGCTTTTGTTCCACACACGACAAAGCAGAGACACTGAAGAACCTTCAGAGACAGTTTGGCTTTTTTGTTCTTGATCCAGTGAGATTTCGATGGAGGAGACCACTGCTGCTGCTGTAAATGAATAGTAATGAAAGTATTAAATAAAATGAAAAGCCATGGAATATAACTAAATATCACAATTCATCTTCATAGATTATCTAAAAAAGGGTTTATATTACAGCTGGGGTACATAGCAATCCATTTAGTTCCTCGCTCTCAAAATGGTCTGGAATAGCAGTTCTCACAAGCATGTATTTTGGTCACTGTCACATCTTTAGATCAGCTTTTTCAAACCAAAAAGTGAAAAATAGAGAACCAGCCTCAGTCAACGAATCAGCTTTAAGCTTAAAATGTCAAATAGTGGAGTTCCTTCTTACAAGTCCTTTTTCACTCAAACAATGTTGGTAAAAATCTATATTTTAAACCATTATCTTATGGTTTCATGAGGAAGTAATTATGGCTCAATTGTTTTTCTAAACTATTCTTTTAGCTCACAATTCACTCAGCAATAAAGTAAACATTTGGATTGATTGCAATGGATGAGTTTTGCTGTTCAGTTTTACGGTCTGATATATTTCACATGAAAGGAAGTCACCTACCTGTCAAGAGCAGCCAAATTTCCATTGTATTTCATGAGACCGTCTTCCTCCCAGACTGTGACTATGTGACCTGCATTCTGCACGCAAAGAGTTATGTAGGAGGGAGGAGGGGCTTTCTCAAATTATGTTCGAGATAAAGAATATGTTTAGTAATGGTTATGTAAGCAATATGAGAGAGGCTGCATCTCAAATTCATGCATCTAAAATACAATAGTCTCCCTGAAAATGTGAGACAGGCTTTTTTTCTGACAATGTTTAAATCCAGGTTTAAAAAAGTTATTTTATGCTATGCATAAAATTGAGGGATTTTTTTACTTTTTCATTATTTATGATTTTAATGCCTTGTGTGACTGACTCTACACTGTAACAAATTTCTGTAAAATTACAATGAAATTTCAACATTAAACAAATGTTATTTTGAAAAACAATTCAAACATGGAAATTTAAGTATAAATTGGTTAAAAAACATCCAGTGGCATTTTATTACCACAATTATAATGTGATTACAAAAAACGTTACAATACCATAAAATCACATTGTGATTTTATGGTATTGTTAAATTACGGTATTATTACCGTAATTTAACATAAACTTGTTGTATTTTTGGAATGCTGGGAATTTTTTGCTAGATGTTAAAAAATAATTGAAAAGTTGTGTTCATTAAAGTAAAACAAATTAAACTGTGTAGTTTTTTGTTCAATTAAACTATTTAGAAACAGAAACAGTCACATGGTGTAATAATACTACATTATCATTATAATGCTGTTTTTGTTGTTTGTGAATGAACAGGAACATACAGTTAAATCCTGAAATCACAAAGGCATAATGTGACTCAGTGAAACAGAATTTAACCGTTAAAATTAGCAACGGTAATGCCATGTTGAGAAAACGGTAAATTCCTGGAACCATATTTGCCAGCTTTTTACCGTTTTTCTACAAGGACATTTTTTACAGTGATCTTGTTTTGTTCAGCACTTTCAGTTGCCTTTCGTATGAATGGAGTTATAGAAATAAACTTGCCTTGGTCTCACATCAAGACAAGGGCAAGTATGATAATAATAATGATGATAAGTGGGACTAAGCTAAGAACTCAGCGCAGGATAAATCTTAAAATTGTTTGCCCAAGATCAGTGTTTCATTGGGTTAGGGCTCGAGTAGGCCTAGGGTCAGAGGTTAGGGCTAGGGGTCAGAGGTTAGGGCTAGGGGTTACTCTGGTTAGGGTTAGGTGTACTGTAGGTTCAACAATCACTGAGTTCCAAATGTCTTGTTAAAAACTACAAATTATGAAAAAGATTAATTGCTTCAGTTGAACAATAATAGTTTACTCAAAATCTTGCTGTGGTTTTTGGTTCCCAGGTGCTAAACACAGTGTAGCTCATCAGCAGCACCAGACAAGACCATGGTTTCCTGTGACAAGACCAATTTAAATAATGGTTTCGATTACGTTCCTGACAGTGCGCTTAATTTGGAATATTACAGAATGACATAAATGGTTTTGTTGTTGCTTGAAGGTTGCTTTTATCCATATGCTGCTAATATATGCACAGTTGTAGCCATTATTGTGAATATGGGTCTGGAAACCCTATCATGGCCAAATTACACAGTGAACTATTTTTGTTTTTAATAGTTTTACACTTCAGCTGAAAAATAGTGATTTTTTTTTAAAAGTTAAACAAGCATGTACTATTCTTGTATCTATTTACTTATGTGATATGAAAATGTGAGCTGCAAATACTGACATTTTGCCACATGGAACAAATAATGGTTATCTTATTTATTATTATTTACTAAATGCAATTTATATCTATGGACTATATAGGGCCTGGAATGTGCCACTTTCTCAAAAGATTCTGGGAAATGCTGTAGTTATCTGTAGAATATCTATAGGCCAAGAAATTGACCATTAGAGCCAGATTAGTAAATGTTGCTGTGTTATAAATTTGGGTTTGTTGTAAATCCTCTCTCATATCTAGATTTCATGATGCTATCATAATGAAAACTGTCAAACAGGAACAATGCACTTGTTAGTTTCTGTTGAAGGGTCCGTGCACATGTTTTGGATGTTGATGCCTTGACTACTTTTTCACATTATGGCATTAAACTTATGTGCATCGTATCATTGCAGCGTGTTATAGGTTTAATACTTGTAGTTTTACTTTATTTGACATAATCACACAAATGCACTCAAGAGGAAGTGAGGGTTGGCTTTGAGTCTCTGCAGATGAGGTGATAAGGCCCTCAACCTTTTGTTTGGTGCATTTTTGTTTTGCTTATGTTTAGAAGCACATATTTGCTCGCCTAATAACCTAGGTAGGAATTATAACCTAAGTAGAACTATCAACCTAAGTAGGACTCACCATTTAATCCTTATGTGAACCATTCATGGTCAAGCAAATTCACATTACTGATACATAGATTCTTTTATTAGTCCTTCTTTACAAAGAGACATAAACCCGTACTATAGTCAAACGAGATTCCTTTATTTTCAGATAGTTAAAAGGGAGTTTCTTTTCTTCCCCGTTCCTGACAATATAAGATACACTTTATTAATCATCACAATGGAGAAATTCAGTTAGATGAAAAAGCATCATGAAGACATGCAGCGTACTATTACTTCCACGCTCCTTTATGACAATTATTCTAGAAACAGCAAGGAGCAGTTAGTTCTGACCATGGATCTATTATAATAACGGTTTTGACGCGGTCTTGTTACCATCAGAGGCAGGACGATAGCGCCATCTGCAGTCCAACTTCTTGAATCCAAGGTGTGTGAGATAAAAAGCCCCCTAGTATTTAAAACACTTGGCCTCCAGGACTATAAACCCTTAGCCCTGATTGAGGAGAAATATGGAAAAGATGCTGTAACAACAACAAAAAAATATTTGAATGGGAAGTCCTCAACATTTTGCAGAGATAGCCGTAACACATGTATATCTCTAAATATTACTAATATCAAATATTATAATTAACGCAACACTGAGTCTTTATTTTGCACGATTCCGCGGATAGAGAAAGGAAATACAAAAACGGTGGCAGATTAGAACCACGGAAGAAAGCAGGAAAATGTTCTTCTCCAGGATGAGTCAGGTGGATATGCTCTCAATCACGACACATCTGTATCCAATATGCATATACACTGAACGAAAATATATGTTTTATCTTGAAGCAAAATAACTAAATTTCTCTGCACATTGAAAACACCATTTCCCAGCAGCCTCCTCTGACGCATGCGCAGAGTCCACTTCGGCCCAAGGCGTTGGTGGTTCGTCCGAAGATGCGTTGCGCTCGCTCCGGCAGCATCAGTACCAGCTCTCCGGGGGAAATAGCGCTAAAATAAGCCACGGGGAGACGCAGCGGCTTGGTTTGCGGCCGTTCCGTGGTCGGAGCAGTGCATAGACGACATGGGCGACCAGAAGGTAAGCCGAAGCCCCGGAACAGGTGTCTGGGATGGGGTAAAGACGGGCTGAGCCTGGGCGTAGCGTACAAAGGAAGGAGGAGGAGGAGAAGCCAGCTTGTCCCACAGAACCGTGCCAAAACGCTGTCATTTATATGAAAAAGATTGCACATATTTAATACCCGTCTGTCAGATAGTGCTGTAGTGTTGTAAGACCGAGAATCTCGTTACATTGGTCCTGAATTGTGCAGTTCATCGTAGGAGAACAAGAATGAAAGATCATAAGTGTGTAATCACAAAGATTGCACTGAATATCATTTGCAGTGAAAGTCGCATTGTCTGGACTGGTTTGTCATTTGAAGACAGCTGTACTCTACTGAAGCCCAGCGCATTATTAAATTATACATGCGCGTCCTTCCGTCCGTGAAGTGTCCTCCTCTGTAGGGTCCTTCACAGCCCCTCTGTGATCCGATCTCACCAAACATCATAAGAGTCCTTTGTACATGGTACCTCGATCATCTACATGTTATTGATATGGCTTATTTGTTAGTAAGATTAGCTGTCCTGTAATAGTAAGTAAAGACTCTTTGTTTTTTTCTGAAGCCCTCTTTAAAAGTGATGTAAAACAAGATGAGGAACAGTCCTCTGAATGTTGAATTACACGCATTCACTTAAAGGATGCATGTTTAAGAGTTCGTGTTAGCCAGGATAATGGGATACATAAACTCTAATTATTTTTTTTACTTTAGGAATCACTACGTAAGATCACGCACACACTGGCAGTGAAGAATGAAGAACTTTCTAACTTTGCCTGCTCTCTCAAGCAAAACCTTGAGAACCTTGAGGTAAAGTAACCCAGTATTATCAATTAATTACACATGTTCAGACCCTAATGTATCTACTCGCATTATTGTAAACATATTTGTGTCATCAGGCAAACTCAAACCGGGTCCAGGAGGACCTTGAGTCAGAGTTTAATGCACTTCATGCAGTTCTAGATGAAATGAAAGAAAATATGCTGACGCGCATCAAGCAGGAACGGGCCAGTCGCACATATGAACTGCAGGTGAATGAATCACCCTTTAATTACATGTATTTTCCATGTAGACATTTGTTTGCGATATCTGCATATGCATTATCTAAGCTAAATTATTTTAGTTATAGGCCAATCCTAAGGTAGCATAATATTACTGCATGCAGATATGAACATGTAATTGAGTATGTTTGTCATTATTTTATTGATGTTGTTTGATATCTGAAATTATGGCACATATCTTTGTTTACAGCTGTAATATTTAGTTGCATGGATAACTGCGACAGCTTCAGGGCTCGTCCATGACGCTCAAATGATTCAGCTGCTTTCTCCAGTGCAGCAAACAGAAGACTTATTCTAATAAAACAATCTTTGGTTTAACTCCTTCTCTTCTGTCTGCTAGAGCCAGCTCAGTGCCTGCTCTAAAGCGCTGGAGAGTTCAGAGGAGCTGCTTGAAGTGGCCAATCAGACACTGTGCTCCTCTGAGACTGACGGCTTCGCTCAGGTATCTCAAGGCCAACAAAGTTCTCTTGAAATGGTCTTGTTTTCTGACAATTTCCATGTGTAATGTATGTTGAGCTGAGGCATTATTTCCATGTCATATATGAAATACAATGTAAAAAAAAAAACTGTCAACACAACAAACTTTAAGAGCACTGGTCCAAAGATATAATCACAATATAAATAAACAAAACAACATGTGTACTACTATTCCCATCAAGACTTGCACATTACTGTATAATTATAATAACTTAATATTTCATTCTATCTCTTATGTGTTGCAAAACAGTAATTTTACCAACTGCAAACTATTTATCCTGCGTTCTATTCCAACAACTGATATTCTCTGCTTCGTATCTCTGTTTTTCCTTTCCCTTCTGCTTCCTCTGCAGGCGGCCAAAGAGATTAAGGATAGGTATAGTACTAAGTTATTAATTGCTTGTGCTTTTGTCACCACAGTTTCTTATATAACGTTAACAATCCTAAAACCATGGTAGTCTGCATGTTTAAATAGTCCATCCATCCATTTCATAAGGGCATTGTGAAAAGCTTGGTTTTGAGTTTCTTGCTCTGTCCTCTTTAGACTATACACCCCTGTGTGCTCCCCTGAGTGTCTTTCTCCTAAATGTGTGTTCGATGTAGGATGTTCTGTTGAGTGGTAGTTGTAATAGTCCAGTGGTTCTCAAACTGTGGTCCATGGGTTTGTTATGTAATTTTCTGCATGTTTGGTTCAGAGTTTGCTTTCATTTGATCTAGGTAAAGATTCTAAATGCTTTGAATGTAAAGATATATAGTACACATGTTGTACATTTAGTATATATCTATACATTTATACATGTATATTTACACTCCGGCTTTAGTTCTTCTGGGATCTGTCTTAGAGCTATCTTGGATTAATTACTGGATTTTGACTGGATTTTGACTTGGACTGAATTAGTCCTTGTTAATGGCTGAGTTTGCTTTTTGCTCTTGGTGAGAGCTGTATATTTACGCTACAATAATAAATCCAGGCTCATTTAACAAGAACATGTACACGTCAGATTTACTGGGGTCAATTGTTTCTGTGGTGTTTCTTGAGTTTGAGAACCTCTGTCAAATGTAGATAGTTTCCTTTTAGAGGCATTGTATTAGTTGGTTTACCCTAAAACCCTGCAAAATAATGGACAGTGCTTGTATCTGCTGTGTTTGTCTCTGTGTCCCTCTTTGTTACAGTGTGACAATGGCCCCAGCCTTTCGACTTTCCCTCAAGGCAAAGACTAGTGACAACATGAGTCACCTGATGGTGGATTTCAGCCAGGAACGAGAGCTGCTGCAGGGCCTCAAGTTTCTACCAGGTCTTTAAAAAGCACACAATATTCGCATAATATTGAAATGCTTTCTTCTTGTAGATCTGCTACAAAACGGGTCCATGTTATTGAAATGTAGTATTGTGAATGTGAAGTTATAGTAATATTAAACACTGTATGACGGAATATTGATGACAGGCAAAAGATTTCTGTCTTTGAAGAATATAAGTGCAATGAGGATGTTGCTGCTTTTGTCATTTGTTAAGTTTTATAGCCCACGTGTTTACGCCTGCAGGCGCCTGCAGCAGTGTGCACAGAGTATCACAGACAAACAAACTCTAAGTTCACAGGACGTGGAGCCTGCTGCGGTTCATACATTTAGTGAGTGGGGCAGGAGGCGGTGTTTCTATTACAATTGTTCCTTTTTTATTTTCCTTGTGAAACATAATGGGTTTAGATGTCTTGTGATTACCAGCAAATAGCATTTTGAATTTACAAATTATAAATATAATCATTATATAATATAATTAAAGGGTTAAGTGACATTTGAAGGCACTGATAGATGATTAACTGCTACCTACAGGCGTGAATACTGCTTAATAGTAAATTTATTGCAAAATGACTAATACACTTGTTTGTTCTGGTTTTAGTTCCTGCGACTCCAGAGATCCAGGTGTCTGAGTGTCAGGTGTGTGATAACACAGTGACGGTGGTGTGGACCATGTTGGAGCCAGACAGCAAGATCGACCACTACATCCTGGAGCACAGACGCACAAACCACGAGGGTCCGCCCCGCGTCCGCGAGGACTACCCCTGGATGGTGGTGGAGGGCATAAAAGAGACGGAGTACACTATCACAGGTAAGTGGCAAAAAATAAGATTCAATCAGGAAATAAATGACTGTTTGATTTTACTGTAGTCTAGATCGTTCAAATGTACGTTTTTATTATTATTAAAAGCTTTAATGCTGGCCTGTACTTATTTCATTTTTTCATCGTCAAAAACAAAATGTATTTTTTTCCTTTGTTTTCATATCTCAAGTTACTAAGTAAAATGTTCAGAGCTCAAATGCTATGCTAACAGTATGCTAACAAGGTAAGTGATACACTTCATTTATCTGTCCAGGCAAAACGAATTGTTCTCATCTCCATTGTAATAAAGCATATGCTCTTTAAACTATTGAGCTTTATTTTCTGCTTTTCTTTTGAATTAACAAGTGTTTTCAAAATGTGCAGGTGTTCGTTTTGAAACCAGGTTCATGACGTTCAGAGTGAAGGCGTGCAACAAGGCCGTGGCAGGAGAGTTCTCAGAGTCCATCACATTAGAAACCCCAGGTCTGTTTTAGTGTCATTATTGTTCTTTACAGCTGCACAGACTTGATGTTCGGCTGATCCTTATTTTGTGTATCGACAGCTTTCACATTCAAACTGGACTCGGGGTCGTCGCATCAGAATCTAAAAGTGGAGGACCTGAGTGTGGAGTGGGACAGCAGTGGAGGAAAAATTCAGGACATTCGAAAAGACAAGAATAAAAACTCTCCTATGCACTCTCCTGCCAGGTCAGGGCTCTCAAAGGAGACTTAGAATTATTACATTTACAGGTTTAAAACTGATATAACTGTCCAGAACGTACTTTGTTTCTTATCCATGGATTCTTTAGCCTAGCTAACATCACTCCAATTATCAAAAGTGAATAAGTCTGGAAAATGCTACAGAAGTCATTTGCCAATTATATCAATTCAAACTGAAAATATATGTTGCACAACAGAAGTACAACAAGAAGGGAAGAAACAAAAAGACGGAATGATGTCGAACAATTACTGCAGTTTGTGGAAGTTAAATTTGAAGGAAGATGGCTTTGCGTCTGCTGCTGTCATGTTGCATCTGTAAACAAACTACAAGCTAATAGTGTGTCATTGTCCCGCCACGCTCTGTGATAGATCCCCAATTTCAAGACATTTCGACAAGAGGCTGTTGATTTGAGCGCACACAGCAGCATGGGGAATCTCAGGCTAATATTCTTTGTTATATTCTTTCTTTCTACATTTGTCTGCTCTGAACTGTTTGTTTCTCCTACAACCTATCCTTTTCCCATTTCTTTTTCAGCTCAAACATTTTGGGTTTCAAAGTGTTACAACTACTAGGCTGACTAGGCTGTTAGGTTAATATTTATAAGATAAGATGCAATACGATACATTTGATTGATCTCACATTCTGCCAAATGTCACATTTGGCATAAATAGGATCACTCAGGGTGTGCACAAAGACAAGAAATGTGCAAACATGTAAAAAATTGAATATAGATCTAGGTTCTTTAAATTCTTACAATTATGTTATATATATTGCCCAAATAATGCTTCACATTTGTATCATTCATGTTGGTAAACCATATACTGGGTGGCACGGTGGCTGAGTGGACAGCACTCTCGCTTCTCAGCTAGAAGGTCCTGGGTTTAAATCCCGGTTGGGGACCAGGGCCTTTCTGAGTGGAGTTTGCATGTTCTCCCCGTGTCTACGTAGGTTTCTTTTGGGTACTCCGATTTCCCTACCCCTAAAAAACATGCACTATAGGTCTGGCATGCGCCTCCTGTACTGGCCCCGCTCCCATCTCTGTGTGGAGTGAGAGACAAATGCCCACAATTGTAAACCGCTTTTTGACACTGGTCTGTGAAAGGCGGTATATAAATGAAGATTACTTACTTATTTACTTACTTCAAAACGAGTGGATCGATTTTCCACCAATATATTGTCAGAGGCTTGTGATAAGCTTCCGTAAAATGTTTGGCCAGTTTAAAAGGAAGTTCTACATTCCACTATACATTTCTGACTGATGTGTGATGTTCTAAATAAAAGCTAAAATAAATCATAATTTCAGATTATGATCCTTTACCGAGCACAGAAACTTTTATTGATATTGATGAATTGTGGAAATCCAGGATGAACGGTGTAGAGATAAACAAGTTTCAACTGTATTCACTGAAACTATGTATGATGAGCTGGGAATCGCTTTTTTGCAGATTCCTCGGTGCATCCCTATCACTGTTGTTATTTCTTTAATAATAACCATGATATTTTGTTATGAACACAGATCAGCTTTGATGTCGCCAAAGAGAGCCCCGTCAGCCCGTCCCGGCAGAGACCGGTTCACTGCTGAGTCCTACACAGTTCTAGGTAAAATACATGCTTCTCAAACTGGGGCCAAATCCTTAGTTTTGGCTGATTGGCCCTTGCTGGTTTAGTGCTGGACAAGTTGACTGTTGTTCCGACCTTAAACTGCATATGACCAGTTATAATTTGACCAAATAACACGGTTTGTGAACTGATGACATAACTAGACACTTAGAATACCTCAATATTTGGCACAATTTACAACAAAAGTATTATGACACTTTATGCTGAACACAACTATAAATTATTAAAGTACTTGTAAATAAAATATAATTAAGTTTCCATTTAAGTAGTACATTACATAAGTGAAAATACATGGAAACAGTTTTTGATCAAGTTGGATCATTTTAATCATGGCTCCATTGTGTTTTCTTCTCCAGCTGATACACTGATAGACTCCGGGCAGCACTACTGGGAGGTGCGCTTCGATAAGGAGAGTAAGACGTTTGCGGTGGGAGTGGCTCTGCGGAGTTTGGGGAAGTTTGACCAGTTGGGTAAAACTGGAGCGTCGTGGTGCATCCATCTGAACAATTGGCTGCAGCAGAGTCTGACGGCAAAGCACAACAACAAGGCCCGGACGCTGGACTGCATCATCCCCAACAGCATTGGAGTCTACTGCAACTATGAAGAAGGTATTCACGGGACTCTGCTGACTGTTTCCTTTAACAGTTTGTTGGGGTTATGTGTGACATCATAATTCATTAATCAAAAGTTGTTTTATGTAATAGAACTACATCTTGTTCCTCACTCTCAAAACACATCACACATGTACAATATTTTGGCCTCTGTCACATCCTCAGATCCAATGCTCAGTTGGTTGAGCATTGGCCTTTGGGCCTGAAGGTTGTGGGTTCGAGCCCACCTCAAGACCTACTTCACGACTCCCACTGATGTCTGCTCTCGTTGTGTCCTTGGGCAAGACACTTGGGCGGCACGGTGGCTGAGTGGATAGCACTCTCGCCTCTCAGCAAGAAGGTCCTGGGTTCAAATCCCGGTTGGACCAGGGCCTTTCTGAGTGGAGTTTGCATGTTCTCCCCGTGTCTGCGTAGGTTTCCTCCGGGTGCTCCGGTTTCCTCCGGGTGCTCCGGTTTCCCCTACGACTAAAAATATGTACTGTACTGGCACCCCCACTCCCAAAAATCACAATTGTAAACCGCTTTGAGACTCCGATGTGCAGTGAAAAGGCGGTATATAAATAAAGATTACTTACTACTTACTTACTTACTTACTTACACTTAACCCCACTTTGCCTGAAGCCCCCGCTGAAAGATCTCAGCTCCTGTGGGCTCACCACCTGCAGGAGGATCAGTGAGGGGCTGGTGCTCTGAGCACTGGGTGCAGCTCTGACTGCCACCCCCCCCGACCCAGAAATGGATTAACGGGAAGAAGATGGATGGATGGATGGACCGCCCTCTTAACCAATTAGCTCCCAGCTCAAATAGTCAAATAGTGACTCAAGAAATAACATGGACAAACAGATAACTGTTTGCTCTGCTTAGCTAAACTTCGCATACCTCTCGCATAAACCTATATTCAAAATAATTAAAATTCTGTTTTATTTCTTTGTTCTCTTTAGTCTCTAATGTAATGTGTTATATGCTATGTCTCTATAATATTCTATGCAGCTATGACAACAGCATTCCCCACACACTTTATGTTATTGAACTATCTTTTTATTTACAAAAATGCATTTTAAAGCTAAAGTCTTACTTTGTTTTTGACTTTGTGCCAGAATTTGGTTTTACACTGTTGTTTATTTGATTATTCTGCCCCGTAGGTGTCCTGTCTTTCTACAATGCTAAAGCAAAGCAGTTGATGCACTCTTTTAAAACCAAGTTCCCGCAGCCTGTTGTACCAGCTTTCATGGTGAGAACCCACTTACATTATTGAGACTGTGTAGGCCTGAAAAATGCTAATAAATGTAAACTCTAATTGATTTAAGAAATTACATGGACATATAACCCCTGGGTATTTTAACCAAGCCTGACAGGACCACGAACAGACTACTGTCTTCCAGAACTGAGTAGACCCCACAGGCACCCTCTCCTCCGAGCCCCTGGTCTCAAAAATGTCTTCCATTTTAAATCAATGGCCTGTGCTCACTGGCGCATGCTTGCACCATGGACATCCCAAACATTAGTGGAAGTGACTCATTTTGACCAGCTCTGGTTCTCCTGGTCATGTGCAGTAGATGCAAAGTGGTTCTACTTCCTCAGGACCAGAATAACAAGTGAACGTTCTGACCAATCAGCACTCCATAGATCAGAACGGGGCTCAACTGGGACGAGCTGAGATTGTTGCATTAAAGTTTGGTTTTATAGAAAACTGATGGATTTCACAAGAAAAAAAACTTCAGGATGTCAAGGGACACTAAAATTCCCACAAAACCCAACCTTTGTGAAATCTGTAGGTTCCTTGTCAGCTGAGGATAAGCCGATATAGTTAATGTTGAGATCTATATATTCCATATGAATTTAAGCTGCAGTGCCCTCTTGTCTATGCTGGAGACAGGTTTAAACCTAAGCTAGCAATACCCTATCCAGATAATATAATCTCTTACATCACAGAGCGGGCGATTTTCTTAATTCACCACAGAAGTGCAAAATACTTGTGTAGTTTATCCCCATGACACACTCAGATGTCAGACCGCTGAAAATAGTGTTTCTTGACCTTTTCCACAAAGCCTTTCTTTGTTTTCCTCGCCTCATTTGTTGCTTTTGTCTCTGTCAGGTTTGGAACGGGAGCTTCTCGGTGGTGACCGGTCTGCAGGTGCCCTCTGTGGTACTAAGTGGGCAGAGAAAGAACAGTAACACGAGCAGCTCCAATGCCAGCCTCACATAGGACCCCCCACACCCACCTTTCACGAGGACACAGAAGACCCCCAGAGCCATATCATAGAGTTAGATCACTGACACTGAATGTCCAGCCAAGCACAGCGTTTGCGTGAGTGCAAAATACAGGGTAACATTTTAGAATAACTCTCAGTATAAACAATTCATCCAGTCCAGTTATTATCATTTGTTAACAATCTCTGCAAAGAGTTTGTTCGGTTCTTTGTTTTTGTGTTTTTTCCGTCCAAAGGTTTGTGTTGCCTGAATGATTTTAGAATGAAATTGAGATGTTTGTTTTATAATTGCGGTTTTATTTGTGATTTTTAAATTCACGGTTCATGTAAACATAATTTATGGTGATAATATCTCATTGTTCATATCTACCTTTTAAAATTAATTTAATATTTGACTATAATTTGTCATATCATTTGCTATTTCTAGTGAGTATGTTTACAAAGCACGAGAATACAGAGTTTGCAAACGAATCAAACTCTATTCTGCATTACTTCCAAACTGTGCCTCGCTGAGCAAATCCAGCCTTAGACACCTTATTACTCAAACTTTGGAACAGTAATAGTAAATGAAATGCCTGACTGCAAATGTAGTAATCCACATCTTGTTTACTTTGAACATTTGATTTTCACACATGCCCAACTGTTCAATATCTAAACAAAACAATTAAAACAATGTGCAGCCAGGGACAGTGTATTCATCGCAGTTATCAAGATGAGTGAGTAGCTTATACATTCAAATACATGCATTTCTTATATACGCATGTCTTTCCTTTGTACTCCAGTTATGCCAAATAGACTGCAATTTCACACCTCAATCGCATTGCATATGTTTACATGCGTCTTGCTCAATCGCGATAAATTGAAGTGAGTGATCCGCTTTTGACTAGTGCTTTGTAAACGTACTCCCTGTTGGGTGAACTCACTGCTCAGTGCCCTTACGACTGAATGAACAGGGGTTGTTGCCGCTGTCCTGGTGGCAGCCTGTTCACACATTTATTTGTTGTTTATGGTGTTTATAGTGGTCTGAGTTATTCTAAAGTGGTATCAGAAACAGCAGGAGTTATCTCGGGGGTTCTCGTATGACTGACAGTTTGCTTGGAGCACATTAGTTCTAGTCTTGCACATATTTGACATCGTCAGACTTAGCGCTGGCCGCTTCTTCCATACTTGTCATCAGCCGTATTGTCCTGAAAGAGGAAAGGTCGTCCCTTCCTGGTCCTGTCTAACGCTCTTACCCGTGCCTTCCTTATCATCTCCAAACCGAGGCCAAATCAGGTGTTTAAATATTTTGCACTGCTAGGTGTGGATTCCAATCATTATCATGTGAAAATCCTTGTGCTTGTGGCAGTATATCACAATGTTGTCTGCCTAGTAATTAAATTGTAACTCCATGAATTGCAATTACACAACTATATTGCATAACTGTGTCTATAATAATCATTTAAAGAAAGCAGAAACATACAGGAAACTTTACCATCAGTGTTCCCTTAGTATGCCCCATTTATTTTCTAGGGACCATTGAAATTCTAACCTAATTCAAGTTTTCTATAGTTTGCTTTAATTTAATATAGAATGAGGGCTGAAAATCTAACAGTGCGAGATACTACACTATACAAAACCAAATAAAGAAAATCTATTAAATGCAAGTGTACAGTGTTACGATTATAACATAGGTCTGAAAGGAGAAATGATACTGTAGTTGTGATAGACCTGTAGTTTTAAACAGCAAAAATGAGAAAAATTGTGTTATAACTTGCACCTTTTGAGATTCTCAGCTCTAACATCCCCAAAGCCAATGTGACCTGCCGTTCTTTACCACTACATATTGTGGTACCATATGAACAATATGAAACACCTCATAGATAAAGTATCAAATGTTTTACTTTTGTGTTTGACTTTATGTTCCTGAATGCTTCGTGTTGTATGGTACACTTGGTGAATCTTTGCTTGGCCGTGGTGCTCCGTCTGTTTGCACCTCTTCAGTCCTTACACTAAAATACCTGTAGCCTGTAATGCTTTAATGAAATATCCAGCTAAGACTTGTGTTGGCTTTATTTTACACGGACAGAATTTTATGATTTATTGTAAATAGTTTAATTTTCCACAATATTGTATCTGACATTGAGGTAATAAAGGAGTGAGAGCATTGTGTGTATTTCATAATGTATAAAAAACAAAGTTCAAAAACACTGATATCCTTCACAATTGAAAATCTCAAAAGTAGCACAAACTCGGAAGCCTCAAATTTCTTGAAAGAATCTGGCATAGTCATATCACAAATAAAAACAATACTGTATGTACACAATCCAACATTAATGACTGAAGTATATTCAAATAGTTACCTGATGGAGTTGTGGATTAACAGATGTTATGCTTAAAACTGTCTGGTGTGTTAATAGAACAAACCTATAAACCTGAGAACTCCCAGAGCAGTCAATTTGGCAGAATTTAGTTTTTCAAGTCTCATTTCATGTACCTTTTAAGGGGATTTCTTTTATAAATCTATTGGTTTGAATGGGAGTAGTCGAAATGACGGCTCTGGGAGTTCTTGTTTCATATTTCTGGGTGTTTAGTGGTAAATACAGTAGCATTATTCAATAAACGTAAAAATATTTGTGCATTTAATTTGGGCTGTACTAAACATATCAGTGCAAAATTACTATTAAAAATGGTGCAGAGAATGTCCTGCACTAGAAGCACAATTTTTCATCATACTTCAATTCACTTGACGACCTGAATGCGCACACAAGCTGGCTGCAATTTTAAAACAGCAACCCCTTCCTTATCCTAAATTACACAAACATTTTATAGTAGAAGGAAGGAATGTATCTGAATCTGAATATGATTTCAGACGCAGGCGCACTCTTGAGCAGCAGTGAACACAAGGTCACGTGGCACAGTCCTCATCAGCCGTTAATATAATACATCCATGTCATCAGCCCATAGCGATGTGGTGAAGTACAGGATTCCACCAGCAGGGGTCACTCCAAATACTTGGCCTTTCTCTCCAGTATCGACTTGAGCTCAGATATAGCTGTGAAGTAAGTGACATTTAGTGACTGTATGGGAATATAGATCAGTGCATGTGCAGAAATTATGTATAAAAATCAATTTCTAAAATAGTTCTAGGTGTGAAGAAATGCAAACAGTAACTGATATTAAATAATGATGGTGGACTTATTGATATTGTTGCAAAATTAAACATACTGCTCTTCTCTCGTAAATTCTGGCCTGGGCTTGCATTAAATTGTGGATTATTTAGTTAATCCACAGGGCGACTGTAGCTCAGTTGGTAGAGCATTGGCCTTTGAGCCAGAAGGTTGTGGGTTTGAGCCCACCACGAGACTTTCTCCACTGACTCCCACTGATGTCTGCTGTTGTTGTGTCCTTGGCAAGACACTTAACCTCTGTGGCTGTAAAGTACCAAACTGCCATTATGTCCTTAGACTCTTCACCCCCATTGCCTAGAATGTGGGTGGTGGTTGGAGGGGCTGATGGCACATACTGGTTGCCTTGCTTCTGTCAGTGTGCCACATGGCAGCTGTGGCTACAGTAGTAGTTTATCACCACTATGTATGGAGTGAATGAATAATGACACTTTTTTGGACATTTGATTGTCCAAAAAAGCGGTATATAAAACCGATGCATTATTATTATTATCATTAAACATTTCTGACAAAATGCATGTTTGTGTGTTCCACTTTGATGTGAGGTTTGGGCGTAATTATTATAGATCCATGGGTTTGGGCAGTAGTGTGTGGTGGACCTACTTTCTCCGAGTGGGTTGGTGTTGCATCTGACCCGGCTGGCCGTAAGAGGCTCTGTGGGAACAGTGAGGGCTACAGGTGGATTTTGGGTTAATGAAGGTGAGGAGGATAATCTTCGCGGGGCAGGGACAGGAGGCATTATGGCTTTCTTTGAAGGCCTGATGGCATCTGTACGGGAAAACATAGTAAGCTCTTGTTTGCTATTGTATTCTCGGTATAGAAGGTTGTTTCCATGGAAATTATTTTGTATTAGTTTTTTCCATGGAATCAACACGTGAAGTATCACCCCTAAAAGTAACATATGGCTGCTCTTTGTTTCTAATGAGGCAAGTAATAGTGATCGTAAAGTGTGAGTCTGTCCCCACCTGTGACTGGTACTGGGGGAGTGGTGAAGATATTTTCAGTCTTTTCTTCTTCCTCAAGCTCTATTTGAACAGAGATAAAACGCGTGGAAAGAATGAGGTTTGACGAGTTCCTGTTTAAACGCTGACTTCTGAGTGACAGGTGTTAACAGAGCTGAAATACTCACGGGCATCATTCAGGTAAATGCACTCTTCAATTACAGACTCTGGCTCCGGTGTGGGGACTTGTACTGTGACAAAACATCATTCTTTAGCAGAACTATAATTATCTCAGTGTACAGTGAGGTACAGTATATCCTGAGCTCTGACACAAACATTCACAGTAAAACCAAAATGTATTCTTTGAAAGCCTAAAATACCTGGCTTTGGAGGAACATTAGGAGGTAGTGGACTTGACGAGGGGCGCTGGATGCTCCTTTCCCCGTTTTCATTATCTGACTGGATAAATGCTGTAGAGGAGAAAAAACATGCAGATTGTGAAATACGACAACATGACCTCAACAATGAGTTTTTATCCAGATCTGAACTAAGGCAGATTTAATATCTGACATCATAATTACTATAGTATTTATCACTGATAATTAATACAATAAAAAATACCCTCCAAAGATCCTTAATTGATTTGATATTGAGCACTTACAGATTCTCCTCTCGTATGTTTTTTCCAGGACGAGTGGAGTCAATAAACCTTCTGTTTTGTGAATAAAAAAGTTGATCACGTCGTGCAGCGTTGCACAAAGAATCTGCAGAGAGTTTACAATTGAAATATAAAAACAAATGTATGAATTCTTCTGTGTTGATATAAGCAAATGTTTTTTCTAGTGCTGTCAGATAAATGTGTTTATAACGGCGTTATCGCAAACCCATTTTAACTGCATCAAATCTTTTTTATAGAGATATGTGTGTTTTGACATAGTTATGTACCCTCATATAAAATGTGTTTTAAAAGATAGGAAAAGGTTCTCTATAGTGTGATTATCAATATAGACAGTTTTTCTGGATCTCAGACAGGTTTGGGCGATACTCACTGGGTCTTCAACATCGATTGCAAAGCCGCCTTCAGGCCTTCGAGTCACGCGGTAGTGTTTAAACTCTGGACTGAAGAAATAAAACAACAAAATCAACTCTACCACAACTGCTATTAGCCATAGATTTTACAGAATCAAAACAACTATTAGTGAAAATCAGAAAAATTAAATATTTTTGAAAAGTGTTTACATTTTTAAAATGTTGGACTTATTTATTTTATAGACTCAATACATGCAAAGTGACGTATTGCAATCCTTTGTTTATTAGCATTGTTATGATTATGGCTTTCATCCTATTTTATGAGATTTTTTGGGGGTTATTACAGGCTGTGAGCCAATTATCAACATAAAACAAATAAAGGCTTGATACATCTCACATGTAACGAGTCTGTCATATATTAGTTTCACATTGAAAGTTGATCTACAGAAGGAAGTGGACTTCTGAACGATATTCTAATGTTCAAGTTTCACCTGTATGCACAAAAGATAAACAATACAACACAACTTTATCGTAATTATAGATGAATCAACATGAATACATATTTTGGATTACAGATGAATACGTTTTTCAAAAGGTCATATTTTTTTAAGTGTCATTATAATAAAAGGAAGGAAAGTTTAGGCTAATTAGTTTTACTTCAGATTTTAGGTTCTCCTTCCGCCTCTGACAGACAATTACTTCCACTTTGTGCTGGCTCCAAAGTCCAAAGACACTGATAAAGCTCTGTATGAACAAAAGGCGTTTTCCCACAAACCACTGCCAGTAAGTAGCTACACATTTCCCAAGCCCTTATTTATCCCCGTTCATCCAGCAACAATGGCTGAAAGCACTTTTGAGTCCAATAAAATAAGACAAATAGTAAAAATAATATTATTTTTCACCATAGATTGTTTCATGGTTTATGTGTTAACAACTCTTAGAAATTCTAGCAAATAGGTTTTGTTTCCATCAATTCAAGATGTGTCAATACGACTCCACAACTACATTTGAATACAGTAGAGCCCCTTTCTAACAGCCCTACTCTACTCTACTCTATTCTGCTCTGCTCAACTCTGCTTTGCTCTACTCTACTCGGCTCCATACTCTACTCTACTTGGCTTTACTCTACTCTACTCTATTTGGCTGTACTCGACTCTACTCTCCCTTACACTTTGTTATCTGATGTATCCTTGCCACCTCCCCACAACAAACCAGTATTCGGGGAAATTATTTCCAACCACGGCTTCCAGCAGCACTTTAGTTTTGGAAGTTACTCAGCTCATGTACATTTGAGGTCCTTATGTCGTTTATGTCATTATTTTTATTAAATGATCTATTCTTAATGCAAGTAGTTCTACCTTTAACATTCTATGGCAGTTAAAGCCCCTCTCCATGGTGCCAGCTGTTAGTTCAACTGCTATAGTAACAGTTATATTATAACACTAACTGCTTTTAATAAATCTGGTGAAAAACAAAACATTTTTGGGGGAATTTCTCAGAATTCTTTTGGTTTGAATGGGACAAGTCAAAATGACAGCTCTGGGAGTCCTGGTAGTTTCATAATGAGTCTTAAAAAGTGTGGAAAATATAATGAAATGTGGATAACGTGTTAAAGCCTCACTCTTCCAGGACTTGTCTGGTGGTGACGGCGAAGGCTGCGTTTCCACTGGGTCTGAGCAGCAGGTTTCCTCTCAACAACTCTTTCTCCAGCAGCAGCTCGGCCTCCAGACGATTTACTTTGTAATAGCAGCTGAAAAACATAGTCTATTTCAGTCGTACAGAGGTGGCCAGGGTTGACAAAACAGAACTTAAACATGGACAAGAGTTTGTTCTAGTGATTGGTTGTTGTGCTATGGGCATATATTTAACCATACGTTGATATACAGTGGGGCAAAGAAGTATTTAGTCAGTCACCGATTGTGAAAGTTCTCCCACTTAAAATAATGACAGAGGTCTGTAATTTTCATCATAGGTACACTTCAACTGTGAGAGACAGAATGTGAAAAAAAAATCCAGGAATTCACCTTGTAGGATTTTTAAAGAATTTATTTGTAAATTATGGTGGAAAATAAGTATTTGGTCCCTTCAAACAAGGAAGATCTCTGGCTCTCACAGACCTGTAACTTCTTCTTTAAGAAGTTCTTCTGTCCTCCACTCGTTACCTGTATTAATGGCACCTGTTTGAACTCGTTATCTGTATAAAAGACACCTGTCCACAGCCTCAAACAGTCAGACTCCAAACTCCACTATGGCCAAGACTAGAGAGCTGTCGAAGGACACCAGGAAAAGAATTGTAGACCTGCACCAGACTGGGAAGAGTGAATCTACAATAGGCAAGCAGCTTGGTGTGAAAAAATCAACTGTGGAAGCAATTATCAGAAAATGGAAGATATACAAGACCACTGATAATCTCCCTCGATCTGGGGCTCCACGCAAGATCTCATCCCGTGGGGTCAAAATGATCATGAGAACGGTGATCAAATATCCCAGAACCACACGGGGGACCTGGTGAATGACCTGCAGAGAGCTGGGACCAAAGTAACAAAGGTTACCATCAGTAACACACTACGACGACAGGGAATCCCATCCTGCAGTGCCAGACGTGTCCCCCTGCTGAAGCCAGTGCATGTCCAGGCCCGTCTGAAGCTTGCCAGAGAGCACATGGATGATACAGCAGAGGATTGGGAGAATGTCATGTGGTCAGATGAAACCAAAGTAGAACTGTTTGGTATGAACTCAACTTGTCGTGTTTGGATACTGAGTTGCATCCCAAGAACACCATACCTACTGTGAAGCATGGGGGTGAAACATCATGCTTCGGGGCTGTTTTTCTGCTAAGGGGACAGGACGACTGATCTGTGTTAAGGAAAGAATGAATGGGGCCATGCATCGTGAGATTTTGAGCCAAAACCTCCTTCCATCAGTGAGAGCTTTGAAGATGAAACGTGGCTGGGTCTTCCAGCATGACAATGATCCCAAACACACCGCCCGGGCAACGAAGGAGTGGCTCCGTAAGAAGCATTTGAAAGTCCTGGGGTGGCCTAGCCAGTCTCCAGACCTCAACCCCGTTGAAAATCTGTGGAGGGAGTTGAAAGTCCGTGTTGCTGCTCTCGAGAAGATCTGCATGGAGGAATGGGCCAAAATACCAGCTACTGCGTGTCCAAACTGTGTGGTAAAGACCTATAGTAATTGTTTGACCTCTGTTATTGCCAACAAAGGTTATATTACAAAGTATTGAGTTGAATTTTTGTTATTGACCAAATACTCCACCATAATTTACAAATAAATTCTTTAAAAATCCTACAATGTGAATTCCTGGATTTTTTCCCACATTCTTTCTCTCACAGTTGAAGTGTACCTATGATGAAAATTACAGACCTGTGTCATTATTTTAAGTGGGAGAACTTGCACAATCGGTGGCTGACTAAATACTTTTTTGCCCCACTGTATTTGGGCGCAATGTAATTTTTAGTTCCGAGTTTGCCCCCACCGCATCAAAAGTGTCTTTTAAAGCCGACAAGGAGTAAATTATGTAACACAATTAGAATTATTAAGCAATCATGCAACTACTACGACCACCGAAAATTTAAAGCAATGAAATCCATGTATAATTCCCCCCTCTCAAAACAGCTCTCAACCCAAAGCGTCAAATAGGGGTTTTTCAGATAAGATAAAGGCAGAATGTTGTTGTTAAGAAGATTACTTTTTGATTTACTTTCTGTTGGAACAGATTAAATATATGCATTATCTAAAACAGGCGTGAAGTTCCCCAGCTTAAACATACATTTTCTATAAATGTTACTATCATTAACGCTACAACACATAACGCAATGTCAAACTGTGTTCATTGTCCCCATTGGAAATTTGTCAACATTTATCAACAGACATGGACATCTATACCTTATGGACCAAATGTGTTTTCTGTTCTATTTCTCATGTTTGATCTGTTTGATTCTCTGATCTGTGTTGGAAAATTCAATGCGTATGAAGTCCTCCGAGATAACTACTGTTGTGATTTTTAGGGCAACAGAAGAATAAATTTAATTGAATTGAATTACTCGTTGCAATTAATACTGTAAGGATAAGATGTATAAGGAAAACCGGTCTCATAGTCGGTAAGTAATTACAAAGATGATTGAGTAACAATAATTAAATAAAAATATATTTACTCACACAGGCAGATCCGCTAAGGGGCTCACATATGGGCTGGAGTTGCAGTCAGTCGCAACAGCAGCTGATGTGGCGTTTTCTAATCTCATCTTCTCCTTGTCCACCGCCTCTTTGAGGATGTGGATCTGTCCGGGGAGAAGGTTGAGAGACGAAGGAACTGACAACTACAAAAGAATCAAAACAAACCAACTTTATTATCATACTTATTTATTTTGTAAAGATAATACACACACAAACTTGTAAAAAAGACTTGAGAAATCATTATAATTAACTGCAGCAACATCAATACAACACAAAAGTATGAGATGCAATATGTGTGAGTGTAGAGTTGAATAAGTGTGTAGGTGTGTGTCTATTGTGTGATCATTACTTATTAACTAAAATAAATATACAAATACAAAAATAAAGGGGGAAAGTAGAGAGACAGATATGTTATAATATTTAGGGAAACACCATTAGAAGTTAGAATTACAGTTAGAAGTACGTTTGCCGGCGCTTATACAGTAAATGACAGCATTGGTTTGCAAGAGTTCTAAGTAAGCGTTAGGGTAAGGGTTAATTGTTATATTTTTGTATGATTAAATTGTTTGAAACTTTTCTTGTGGAGATGCCACCATTAGTCCCATACATGTGATTCTCCTTGAGTTTATTTGCCTCTGTCTCTGTAATACTTCTTCCCCCACTGAAGACTGGACCAAAATTCCAAGCAAATCAATGATTCCACTGTGCCAGAACGATTACCTGAGCGATGGACTGGATGAAGCCTTTCCAAAGCTCCCGGGCCTCAGCATTAGGAGCCTGTAAATATTGACAAAAGTAAAAAAAAATAAAAAAAATCTTCAAAATAAAGGCAGGTGAATGATGCAGCTGCGGCTCCTACAGTTATGTTGATGTTTTCCTGTTTTAGCTGCAGAGACATTTTGGCTGCGTCCAAGTTGCGGTCGAGGCTGCAGTCGTCCGTCAATGAGACAAAATCACTCAGTTCAACTTTCTCTATGTACTGAAAGAGGAGAATTATGACACGCAGTAGGTTAATAAGTAAAATCGTACTGCAAGAGCACAAATACTTTGGACAAACATTGAATGGACAATGGACAACTCCAGACGTGGTTTGTACAGAAATAAATAATGATAATTGTCGCTCACCGAGTATATTGTACTTTTTTTTATATTGTGCTTGATCTAACAAACTTCACATTTTGCTCTGAAATATGGGGGGACACTTGCCTCTTACCAAAAAGAAAAGTAGAATTCTATACAAAGGGGACTCCAGCAGTAAAAAAAAAAACACCCTTTAAAATCCAAACAACATAAGTTTAGACAACTGGTTGATAAGAGAATCTTGTTAATTCCATGGAACGTAGACCACAGAAGAAAATATAATTGTTCGACTGCATTGGCAAGGAAAATATGTGTAATAAGTTTGCTTTTGGGAATAGGAAAAAGACTGATTAGATTTGCTAACTTGGTGACCAGATGTGTTAGGGGAGGATTTCTAACAGGAAAAACGTAGGAGGTTTTGTTTATTTGCAAATTTCAGCTCACATTGGGCAGGGCTGGTCTGTATAATGTCTAATCAAAAAGATCCAGCATGTTTTCCGCTTGTAATATGTATCACCAAACTGTCTGTGAAGCACATTTTGCTCTCTGCTGCTCAGAATAACTGTATAACAAAGTAATTCTTTCATTCATATTTGCAAAATGTTACCACAATTTTGATTTGACTGTGATACATCTCTGCAGACCTACAAAAGTAGGTAACTAACAAAGATAATCGAACACCGTCCTCATGAATGTGTTTTCAGACAAAACAAATGTGTGCTTACGTCGGAGTCCCGTTTGTCATTGAAGAAGAATAACGAGTTTCCACATAAACAAGTCCACAGCCTTTGCGATGTCTGCACAACATAATATGGACCAAAGACAATAAGATATTAGTTTCAAAAACAAAACAGCCAAATGCACACCCCTACAATAGTCCACGTTATAATAATACCCACTTTAGTCCTCTATCTATGAATCTATTTACCTATCTGTCTATCTATGAATCTATTTACCTATCTGTCCATCTATAAATCCATCCATCCTTCGGCATACTTCTGGATTATAGAGTAGAAACTGTATTTGCAGAATTTTGTAAATATTGTGTGTGTGGGTTTTTTGTCTATTTTTGATGTCTGTTTCTGTGTTATATGAACTCTGTGTGTCTGAAATAAAGATTAGAAAAGAATAAATAAAAGAATAATAAACATCAATCTAACTATCATCAACATTTCCCCACTGTATCAAAATTTGGGACGAATAAAGGTTTTCTTATCTCTCCATCTGTGAGCCCACAAAAACAAGTATGGCCTTTATTATAGTCACAGAAAAAGTCTGGGTTTGATTCCACCTCCAGACGAGGCCTTTTTGTGTGGAGTTTGCATGTTCTCCCCGTGTTGTTTCCTCTGGGTACTCCGGTTTCCCCTACCACTAAAAACATGTAGAATAGGTCTGGCATGTGCCTCCTGTTCGGCGACCCCGCTCCCATCTCTGTGTGGAGTGAGAGACAAATGCCCAAAAATAACACATGTAAACCACTTGGTCTATGGTCTGTGAAAGGCGGTACATAAATAAACATTACTTACTTACTTGCTTTACATGTCTGCCAGCCATAAAATAAAATGAACAAATAAAAAAACTGTTACTTCATAAATCCACATTGAAAAAAGTAAAATCTTGGTAAGAATTATTTAATAATAATGACATAAAGGATGCTTATTTGTTTAATGTAGAGTCATGTTTTACTAGTTTTAAGATAATATAATGTAAATTTTTATACTAGAATCCAGTCATTTGGGGCTTGTTATATGTTCTAATTTTCAGATATCTTGTCAAGTCATACTTTCTTGTTCTACTGGCAGAAACATTATCTTATTTTAAGCAGTATTTTACTTATTTTCATATTTTTTTGTCAAGGGATTTTGTCCAGTGCAGTTTCCACTTCCTCAATAAAACATAATAACATACAGTATGTTTCTTCTTCAGCTGGACTCATACACACTGCTTAACTCATCTCTGACAACATCACCTTATACTCCGGTCACTGTAACCTGCACTGTGTCTTTATACTGTGCACTTGTATAAAGTCCATCCATCCATCCATTTTCTTCCGCTTCATCCGTTGCCGGGTCGCGGGGGCAGCAGTCTAAGCAGAGACGCCCAGACTTCCCTATCCACACACACTTCCTCCAGCTCGTCCGGGGGGACCCCAAGGCGTTCCCAGGCCAGCTGAGAGACATAGTCCCTCCAGCCGAGTGTCCTGGGTCTTCCCCGGGGCCTCCTCCCGGTGGGACGTGCCCGGAACACCTCCCCAGGGAGGCGTCCAGGAGGCATCCTGAACAGATGCCCGAGCCACCTCAACTGGTTCCTCTCGACGTGGAGAAGCAGCGGCTCTACTCCGAGCTCCTCCCGTGTGACTGAGCCCCTCACCCTATCTCTAAGGGAGTGCACAGCCACTCTGCGGAGGAAGCTCATTTCGACCGCTTGTATCCGCGATCTCGTTCTTTCGGTCATTACCCAAAGCTCATGACCATAGGTGAGGGAGGGAACGAAGATTGACCGGTAAATCGAGAGCTTTGCCTTTCGGCTCAGCTCCCTCTTCACCACAACGGTCCGATACAGCGACCACATCACTGCGCACGCTGCACCGATCCGCCTGTCACTCTCACGCTCCATCCTTCCCTCACTCGTGAACAAGACCCCGAGATACTTGAACTCCTCCACTTGAGGAAGGACCTCTCCACCCACCCGGAGAGGGCAAGGCACCTTTTTCCGGTATACAGTCATTTTAAAAAAAGTCTATGATTAAATTATGCAAACCTTATATCCATTTTACTTGTATAACTTGTTTGCACCATGAGTCAAAGCAAATTCTTAGTTTGTGACTTCCTGTTAATCACGGTGGTAATAAAACCAATTCTGATTATCGAAGCAAACAAATGAACTGCATTGAGAGGCTCAGGGCCTTTCCTCTTTGACTCCCTTTCAGTTATAAATGCGAACAAATCTAAATCATACAATGCACTCTGACTGCATTCCTGCTGCTACTGTTAGATAACATTGACAAGGGTTGAAATGCGTCTGACAGAATGGGAAGAGGAGGACTCATATGACATGTCATGCGGTGTCACTGGGGTGAAATTAGGTAATGAAATTAACTCTGAAAGGTGTTAATAAGATCAATGTCTTGATGATTTTAAAAGAATCGTGACTGATGAGTTTAATGTTGAGCCTCAGTCTGAACAAAAACAGTATGCTATTTATCTGACAGAATTCAACAATTACTACTTTTTATGTGCCTGCAAACTCCGAGGTGGACTCGAGTAAATGTATCATGGAAAAAATAATGTACTCAATAACTCCAAGTACAAGTCGTAATTCTATATCTGTAAGGATCATATAAGCAGCAGTATTGAGCCTGTGATTATGAACATCACTGCACTGCTGTTCTGTCTACCCCTGTCCCTGAGTTTTATTACAGAAAATGGAAAGAATCAAGTTTGAGTCATTTCTGATGTAAACTGGATCAGTTCATAACGATCACAGAGACATTTTCTGCCTCTAGAAAAAAACTTAACTACAAGCATCATGATGAGATCTCAGGGGTCCACCACAGTCTCTGGGTAACACTAATCCTGGGCTGAAGTAAACAAACTCGTTAAGAAAAAAAAAAAAAACTTGTTTCACTTCCGGGTAATCGATTGACGCCGAAATGTATTAAATGCACAATAAAAAAGGTTCATTATTGCATTTTATAGTTCCCAAATCTGGTTATTACAATATACATGTCTTATAAGAAATGAATAAAACCAAAATGGTCATTTTTGTATATTGCCGTGTGCCTGAAAGTGTAAAATAGCCTTTTGTCGATTTTCCATTTCCCTTCAAAAATAGAAAATTTATTGAACGCAAAAGTACACGGACCTAATTTGACCCCCAAACATGCTAAAGTAGTGTCAGGTGAGAATATCTTCACAGAGACAAGTCCTTTGGGATTTGTGTCAAAAAGCAAACTACAGATAGATATAGTAATAGTAATAATTATTATTGTTAATATTATTGACAAGTACAGTCTATGGTTGTAACACAATTATCTTGTTTTATCAAGAATATATTTTGCACACTTCTCCATGACTGCAGTGAATTCTGCAGGTCTCTCTGGTTAAGAAACATGATTTAATGGGTCACTAAATTAGTTGACAACTATATTAATAACTGTCAACTACAACTGATTAACTTGTTACAGTCCCAATTTTAACCTAATACTTTTACCCACATTTGTGAAAATACAATTTTTTAACATTATGGAATAAATCTTTTCAACGCTGTAGAATAGCATTGTCTCTTATCAGTGCTGGCTGTTCCAGTTTGCGTCAGAAGTTTTCAAACAAACAGTGGGTCCGACAATAATGCAGTGACGTCGAATTTATACAATTAAGCATAATCAAATTATTCCTATATGGGACATGTGTGTTTTAACCTTCAACTTCCAGGTAGATGCATGTTTTCTTGCAACGTTCTGTCACTACTGTGTCTGAAATCTACCTTTCTGCACAGCAGGTAGTTACACATTACAGGAGTCCACTCTCATTTGAAGACATGTGCGAAATATTATGTGTAACTATAGCTACATTTATTTGATTGACGTACAACTGATTTAAGCTACAAGCAATGTTATGATGAATTACCTTATCTTTAAAGGATCTTTTCTCCAAGTAGCCTTCATAATAGCAGTGTGGCAGCTGGTGTCTGAGGCGTCCTGTCCTTTTCGCCATTTCTGGAATGAAAATATTGCTCTTGAAGTGACGATGATTTAGTTGGTGTTAGACTTTTACGTCGTCTGTTCTTCCATCTCAGATACATGAGAGTATAGTGTATAGGGAGAGGGCAGGGCCAGGGACCAGTTCCCAGGACAAGTGTGTGATCCTTGCTTCTGGTTGGTCCAGCTGTGAATGTGGGCGGGTTATTACCGACAGGTAAAGTCGTTTTCTGACGCATAGTTTCACAAGAACAGAAATCACCTTAGGGATTCCGCCAAGCTACATTTCGTGGGTTTCCCATAGCTAGGCCTATAACCTATATATGTAAACCGGTGATACAGATCCGACATACATATCATAGGTATGTATTTTGGAATCTCCACTTGGTTTCAAATATAACACTATTTAAAGCAAATATTTATCACATAGTAAATACAAATTACAGGTGTGTTTTTAATCCTTCTTCCTTTTTACCAGAGACTGTAAATATTAAAATGTAAAGTTACTTGAACCATGTTACGGAGTATGTGACAGGATACATTTTAGGTAGGTATGTCCAACTAACAAACGATATATATTTTCAAAATATTCCCCCCATCAAAGTATTTACATTTAGTATGTAACGTATACATAGTTCCTACATGACGTCACTACATACGGGGATTTGCCGACCCGGCGACATTTGTGTTGGCATGCTGTGGGCAAAACAATAGAAAAAGAAGCTGAAACGTGTTAATGTCGTGATAAAGTTGAAAATGGTCATCTCCTGCTGGGTCAATGGATGTTCAAATCGTGCCGGAGGTTCCGTTAAACTTGGATTTTACAGTATACCCATCATTAGACTTCATGAATGTGAGAAGACTAAGCTTTTGTCAGAACAACCACGGAGGTTATGGCTTGCGAAGATAAACAGGCAAGAAACTCCCTCAAAACACGCAAGAATATGCTCGGAGCACTTTGTGTCAGGTGCGTATCGTATCTTATAATGTGTTGACAGACGTAATTTACTCAGTACTAACTTGTGTATGCTGATATCTGGTAACTTGAGAGTTTCATTATTTAGCGTTAGATTACTTTATTATGAGGAGGATCGGTGTCGCGTCCGAGGCTCTCGAGGGCAACGTAAATGTATTAAATAGATAATAATAGTTCTATGGTGGGCTAAAACAATGTTCACAAACAGCATTGCTTCTGTAAAAAGATCTGTGTCATAAAATAAACTGCTCTTTACGCCTGGAAAAATCAGTTGCCCACCATTCACCAAAACATACGGTCAAAAAAACGCGGAAATAAACAATAACAGCAATCCAGAGTGTCCGTGTGGCATTAGCATTAATTAAATTAATTGTTAATATAATTAAAATAATTAAATGGAGCTCCAACTGGTATTAAATCTAAAGTTTTTGAGAAATGTTTGCATTGCTTGTTAATTTTTGCTGCATAATTTGATCAAATATGTAAAACATGTCCGTAGCACGTTAAACTGTGGTGCCATTGTATTAATATACAATTATTTGCTCAAAAGTTGCCCTTTTTTTCCAATTTGCGTTTGAATATCTACATTTATTCTCATTCTTCTGTTTAATGGAATGCACAAACACAGCAGCGTGCCATCAAAGATGGCGTCTCCGAGGAGGTCATGTGACATTCATTGGTCTATGGCAGCCATTCCCAAACTCAGTAACACCGAGGCCCCCTTAAAAATCTGACGGGTCTGCGTGGCCCCCCAAAATAATAACCAAGAAGACAACATTAAGAATAGGCTCTTCTGGTTATTTTATTTTGGGGAAATAGCCTCTGCTACAAACATTGTAATACAAAAATGATTACAGTGGATTATTCAAGTCAAATAATGAACACAAATATTTTAATATTACAAACAAAACATTATAAATTTAACATTAAATAATTATATTATTTTTTTATTTTTTTTATGACCTTCCGCGGCCCCCTGCAGTACACTCGCGGCCCACCAGGGGGCCGCGGACCCCACTTTGGGAGACACTGGTCTATGGGAACTATGTATAGTACATGTATTATAATGTTGCTCTTCTCCTCGTGTCCAGTAGAAGGCGACACTCAGGCAGCGCAGAGCAGCCGCACACAGGCCGACAGCAGCAGCACTGCTCCCGCAGCCACAAAGGCTCATCTCCCCTGATCTCCCCAAACGCAGAGCGAGCATCACCATAAACCATGGGGAACAGAGATGACGAGTATGACTTCTTATTCAAAGGTGAGAGGAGTGATGCAGTTGAACTGTTTTTATAAAGACAGGCCATAAAGTCACGAGCCTGAGCTAGGAGCTAACTCCGCTAACAGCTAGCCTCCCTGCTCTGCCAGTTGCTGTCAGCCTCAGGAAGCTAATACATTTTTATTACGCATTACTTTATCCTTTATTTATACTCATGCTGGTTACATGTGCCTTAAAAGATTTGAAAATAATTACTTTTGATACGACTAAATTTAAGGCCATATAATTTTAAAAGATAAAGAATCTCTCTCACATCTCAAGTGATTTCCTTATCAATATTTTCGGTTAGTACATGTTTAGTTATTTTTTTGTAATAATTTTATGTTTTATTATTTCTACTTGTTTATTATTACTAAAAGTGTACAGTGTACAAAATAAGGCGCTTTTAGAGCTAAGAAAATGTCCCATAACTTCATTATGTATGAGTGTTAGGCTTGCCATGATGCATTTCCTAGGATGAGTAACCGCCCATCTGGTCACAGCTAATGGGGATCTAAATAAATACATAAATAAATCAAATACTATATATATATATATATATATACATCATAATTAAAATTTTTCCTCCCTGCTTGCAGTGGTATTGATTGGAGATTCGGGAGTGGGGAAGAGTAACCTCCTATCTCGATTCACAAGAAATGAGTTTAACCTGGAGAGCAAGAGCACCATCGGAGTGGAGTTCGCCACCAGGAGCATCCAGGTGGACGGCAAGACGATAAAGGCCCAGATCTGGGACACCGCGGGTCAGGAGCGTTACAGAGCCATCACTTCAGCGTGAGTGGGGACGTCTGTGGATGATACAATAAACGAATGTGAATTTGAACTGTTTTCATCAAAACATATTATAGAAATAGAAAAAAAAAATCACGGATACAGTATGTCCTTTTCTTAGTGTTATCGGAATGCCTGTGCTTCCATACTATGCTTACAATGTATGGGAATCTCTGGAAAGTCCTTGACTATTTGTTCCATTTGCAGATATTACCGAGGGGCAGTGGGCGCTCTTCTAGTGTATGACATCGCCAAGCACCTGACGTATGAAAATGTGGAGCGCTGGCTGAAGGAGCTCCGAGACCACGCCGACAACAACATCGTCATCATGTTAGTAGGAAACAAGAGTGATCTGCGCCACCTCAGAGCTGTGCCTACGGACGAGGCCCGAGCGTTCTCAGGTAAATCACAAGAAAAACTATAATATAATATTATAATAAGACGATAAAATATGTATTGATTTTTATTGTTTCAGAAAAGAATACTTTGTCATTCATTGAGACCTCTGCTTTGGATTCCACAAATGTAGAAGAAGCCTTTAAGAACATTTTAACAGGTGGGATGTCTTTCCTATTGATGTTTTGACCCATGGAGTGGGAATGGGAATCAAAACAACATGCCTTTATTATTTTCAACATGGGAAGACATTGAAATAAAGTTTTGAAACACGAATGGGTCAAAACTAACTGCCGACTTTCAAAATATGTTTCCTAAAGTTGTGGTCATTATGCATTGTCTGTCTAAAAAACTGACCCTCGTGTATTGTTATAAAGTTCTTCCTCTGATCTACATGCAATCAACAGGCTATAAAACAGTTAAATTATAAATTACCGCTATTTGGTCTGTGTATTAATACTACTGTCACTTTTGTCTTTCCAGAAATATATCGTATAGTATCACAAAAGCAGATGGCTGATCGATCTGCCCACGATGAATCTCCAGGAAACAATGTTGTGGACATCAGTGTCCCTCCGACCACAGACGGGCAGAAGGGGAACAAACTGCAGTGCTGCCAGTGAGGCTTAGTGACTTTTTATCACATGCGCACTTTGTTATCCTTTGGACTTATACTTGTCTTTATATTTTGTTGTACATTTTCACACATTTTTATGTTGCCACATTAAACACGCCTTTTATGTTTAAGCCAGTTACATTGAAACAGAAACTGTTTAAAGACCTGAAAGTTGTTTCACTAGCATACTCAACTCCTAATAAAAGCAAACGTAAAGAAAAAAAAATAACATGTAGTTGAGACTATAATAGTTGCCACTAGATGGCGTTATGTATATAAACTGTAGAAAGTGAATACACTCGTCACCTACGACTAAAGCTGCATTTTGCCTTTTATTATGCTTTTTTACCTCATGCCAAATATCTACAATTGGTGTATTTATTGAACATTGTCTGCTTCATTTGCTATTGTCCCATTTAAAACATGGATTTTCAATAAAATGCTTGTATTACTTGAATCCTTTTTTGTTGGCATTTAGGTATTTGTACCTCACTATTGCATTGAAATATGAAGGGAAACAAGAAGCACTATTTCATACAATTAGAGAATTTCCTAAAATGTCACAAAACAACACAAGACTGTTCAGCTAAATGTGAATTTATTTGTAGTGTCAATTTGCAAATAAAACCTTCCATTACATCTTTCACATGGCCCAGTCTGCGCCACATTTCCCTTAAAAGCCAACAGGATTATACACAAATGAACCAATGATTTGTTTTGCTGAAATAAAAAGGACACAAGTGCAATAGACTGGCTTCAAAAAGATATTTGATACACATGTATTTTAAGTGACTAGAATTTAATTTATTGCTTTGACCAGTTATAATTTACTGCCTTTGATCAGACCTGAAAAAAGACACTGAAACTTGCTTTGGTGCACTAGAATTAAAACAGACGCACATTTAACATAGTACACCTGCCCAGACACTGGACACATGGGCAACCAGAAAATCATATGTAAATCATATACTTCAAACACTCAAGTCCTTTAAACCTGATGCAAAGGCAGAAGTGTTACTGCTGAGGAAAGATCACTCGCAAAAAGCTAAACGATCCCTCTCCACTCTTGCATTGAGAGCAGGTCAATAGAATCATCACATAAAAACTCACTACAGCCTCAGGTTTTTCTCCTTGTAAGGTTGCGTGGCTTCAATGCTGCTTTTCAAAAACACATTCAAAATCAGAGGAAGACAAGAGACTGATCAAAGAAGAAACCCAGCATGAGGAATGTGAGACTACCGCCACATGTTTCTGGTATTTGATTGTGTCAGCAGCTGGACGCTCGAGAGAAAGCAGAGGTAATAAAGGTGTGAGAGAGATGATGAAGGAGGAAGATGTCAAGCGCTTTGGCAGCAGGGCAGTTTGTTGCCTCGCTGCCCGTCTGTTGTGGGAGGAACACTTATATCCACAACATTATTTCCAGGGGAGTCGTCATGTCCGGATCGGTCAGAAATCTGCTTCTGGGACACTATACGGTAAATCTCTGCAAAACAATAACAGTGGATAAGAATTTGGCTTGTCCTTGTCAACCTCAATGCTTGTCATTACCTGTGAGTATGTTCTTGAAAGCTTCTTCAACGTTTGTAGAGTCCAAGGCTGAAGTTTCAATAAAGGAGAGAGTATTCTTTTCTGAAAAGAGAGATGCGGTCGATATAAGTAAGAAAACAACCTTCACATTTGAGCAGGACATAAAAACATAACTATATCCTGTTTTTGAATCTGAACTTATTCCAATATATTAGGCTTTATTCTCTTGTTATCGTGCATCATCAAGTGCTTTTCACTTATGAAAAGGGCAAGCACCAAGCAGCACACTTCTGTTTTTTTCTGAATAAAACACTATATTTAATAGATGCAGAATGTCATCTCAGCGGATCAAAAAAGCATGAAAAGCACACGTACAAGGTGTTCTCTTGTAATGAAATGTGATTTACCTGAGAACGCTCGGGCCTCGTCCGTAGGCACAGCTCTGAGGTGGCGCAGATCACTCTTGTTTCCTACTAACATGATGACGATGTTGTTGTCGGCGTGGTCGCGGAGCTCCTTCAGCCAGCGCTCCACGTTTTCATACGTCAGGTGCTTGGCGATGTCATACACTAGAAGAGCGCCCACTGCCCCTCGGTAATATCTGCAGAACAAATGGAACAAATAAGTCAACATGTACATCCCTAGAGTTTCTTCACTCATTTCACTCATAATACAGTGGCACAGGAAATCCAGTTACACTAAGGATGGGACAAATATTAGACAAATAGTAGTTTCCTTATATGCTTTTATGATATACCAACAAATTCATATTTTTGTGATGTATCATCTAGGTTTGAGCGATATAATACCATTCTGAAATACCGCAATAGCATTTGTGTGTATGTGCTCTGGTGAGGTTTACCTTTGATCTGAACGCGGGGGAAAACAGCAGCTGGGATCGCAAGAATCGCTTCTAACAGTCCTTTCTCAAGCTGTGCAAATCCTCTGAATAGGGTGTCATGGTAACCGGTGTTGGCTGTAACCTCCGCAAGACGTGTTGATGGCAGTTTCATTTTTATGAAAAATACGTGTATTGCGGCGATACCTTTAGCCTTTCCAGCCTCTATTTAGAGTCTGATGAAGTTGTTAGGTTAGCTCAGGTTAAGGATGACAGCTGCTGTGGCCAGATGCATTAGAGCTGCAGTACCATAGACTGTATATATTAACGGACAGAGTCACGCCTATCTCCGCTGTTCAAACTAATGAGCCAAAAATAGTGCTCTACTGGAGCTGTCCAAAATGGCCTCTAAAATTGTGAAAAAACGCATCTGCGCATGAGTCAGCTGGCAAGAGCTCCATTCATTTGAACGAGAGACTTCAAAAATTCACAGCGAGTAAACTAGAGTGGTCCTAAAAAATTCACTCCCCTCAGCATTGACACACATGTGGAACGGAGCTATATGTTAGCATTGGCTAATTCTACTTCTGGGTCCACCTCCATCGGCCCGAGGTGGTATTGCAAGCATGTCAGCGCACGTCATTTTGGCCACTTTTGAGCCGGGACCCGCCCCCACTGTGCAGTACCAACACTTTTATTGATTCATAAATACATTTGTCAGCTCCAACAGAAAGAGTCTTGTAAATATTATATTTTGTAAACAATAATCAGACAACATGCTGCATTTATCTAATTAGAAAACATTTTTGAGAGCGATAAGACTGATTTATTACATAGTTCTTTCTTTAATTTTTTTCAATTGAGGTTGTGCAGTTTTGAAGATTTTTACCAGTCCTATGTATATCGCCATATTGCCCAGTCCTAGTATCACCCACAGACGTCCCCACTCACGCTGAAGTGATGGCTCTGTAACGCTCCTGACCCGCGGTGTCCCAGATCTGGGCCTTTATCGTCTTGCCGTCCACCTGGATGCTCCTGGTGGCGAACTCCACTCCGATGGTGCTCTTGCTCTCCAGGTTAAACTCATTTCTTGTGAATCGAGACAGGAGGTTACTCTTCCCCACTCCCGAATCTCCAATCAATACCACTGCAAGCAGATCAAACACAAAATCAGTTAAAGACAGTTCTGTTTAACTGTGCATACAACTAAGGGATTTTATATGTTCAGCTTTCTTTTTAATGTTCTCTGATTATTTATGGATTTATGGATTATTTCAGGAGGAGCAGTGTGGTTTTCGTCCCGGTCGCGGAACACTGGACCAGCTCTATACTCTCCATCGGATACTCGAGGGTTCATGGGAGTTCGCCCAACCTGTCCACATGTGCTTTGTGGATTTGGAGAAGGCGTTCGACTGTGTTCCCCGGGGTGTCCTTTGGGGGGGTTCTCCGGGAGTACGGGGTCCGGGGTCCTCTGCTGAGGGCCATCCGGTCCCTGTATGACCAGAGCCAGAGCTGTGTTCGCATTGCCGGCAGTAAGTCAGACCTGTTCCCGGTGAATGTTGGCCTCCGACAGGGCTGCCCTTTGTCACCGGTTCTGTTCACTGTATTTATGGACAGAATATCTAGGCGCAGCCAGGGGTCGGAGGGGGTCCGGTTCGGGGACCACAGGATTTCATCTCTGCTGTTTGCGGACGATGTCGTCCTGTTGGCTCCAACGAACCAGGACCTGCAGCATGCACTGGGACGGTTTGCAGCCGAGTGTGAAGCGGCTGGGATGAGAATCAGCACCTCCAAATCTGAGGCCATGGTGCTCGACCGGAAAAAGGTGCCCTGCCCTCTTCAGGTGGGTGGAGAGGTCCTTCCTCAAGTGGAGGAGTTCAAGTATCTCGGGGTTTTGTTCACGAGTGAGGGAAGGATGGAGCGTGAGATTGACAGGCGGATCGGTGCAGCGTGCGCAGTGATGCGGTCGCTGTATCGGACCGTTGTGGTGAAGAGGGAGCTGAGCCGAAAGGCAAAGCTCTCGATTTACCGGTCAATCTTCGTTCCCTCCCTCACCTATGGTCGAGCTTTGGGTAATGACCGAAAGAACGAGATCGCGGATACAAGCGGTCGAAATGAGCTTCCTCCGCAGAGTGGCTGGGCGCTCCCTTAGAGATAGGGTGAGGAGCTCAGTCACACGGGAGGAGCTCGGAGTAGAGCCGCTGCTTCTCCACGTCGAGAGGAACCAGTTGAGGTGGCTCGGGCATCTGTTCCGGATGCCTCCTGGACGCCTCCCTGGCGAGGTGTTCCGGGCACGTCCCACCGGGAGGAGGCCCCGCGGAAGACCTAGGACACGCTGGAGGGACTATGTCTCTCAGCTGGCCTGGGAACGCCTTGGGGTCCCCCCGGACGAGCTGGAGGAAGTGTGTGTGGATAGGGAAGTCTGGGCGTCTCTGCTTAGACTGCTGCCCCCGCGACCCGGCAACGGATGAAGCGGAAGAAAATGGATGGATGGATGGATGATTATTTATGATTTTAATGCTTTCTTGTTTTGTTCAACACTTTGAATTGCCTTGTGTAGGAATTGTGCTATATAAATAAACTTGCCTTGCCTTAATACAGTCTGCTCTGTATAAGGCTTAACCTCACCAATAATTGAGTTTTAGACACATTTAAACATAATCATAAAACAATATAACGCATACATATAAAGACCGGGAGGAGGAGCATACGTTGTTAAATATTAAACATTAACATGTTCAAAAATAACTTAGCTTACAGTAAACCAACATTCACAGGCGTAAACAGTTAATATGATTCTCCCCGTTTAGTAATAGTACTCCACAGAGAAGAGGAAAGGCTACTACTTGGTGTCGTATCATTTGTATTGCGTAAAACTGCCTAAGACGGTACTTTATGTTTATCTTTAGAGAACAGAAAAAGACTTGATCATTCACAGTACAACTTTTTAACGTTTTGTTGAATCACAACCGAGTTTATTGGAGACAGCTAGGTTACAGCTGCTCTGTTGTTTTTGCTACTTGTGGAGAAGCTAACATTAGCATATTGAGCTAATCGGGGAGTGACACTTCCTCACTTTGTTCCGCTGATAACAACTTTCTAAACTAAAAAGGACAGCGTGCAGGCGAATCATCGATGTGAACATTACCTTTAAATAAGTAGTCATACTCGTCATCTCTGGCTCCCATTTTAGCAGTCCCTTTTGAAAGCCGATTCAGAAATAAAAACAAGACACTGCAGCAGGCACGGATCAGGAAGAGACTGCGCACGTGAGCGTGACAGTCACCGCCTTGACCAATCAGAGTTGTACATTATTTGATTGACATCTAATCAGCCAATCACCGAGAAGAAAAAGGGCAAGGCGGGTTTAACTCCCTCTTCGCTTGACGCCCTTAAAATTGGGCATATATTAGCAGAAAGATGAATATTACCAGAACATGGAGATATGTTTATACATGTTGTTTCAGCAAACTCAAATGTATCAGGAAACCCATCTCACAGTTTAAGTAATACACGATTATCCTCTCGTCATAATAGTCAGCTTTATTTAACTAGAAACTTGCAATGGCTGAAGCCATTGCGATTGACTGCGGAACAGATCTAATGTGGAAATCTGCTAAAAAAAATCCTTGAAATCCTTTAAAAGGCCTTGAAACTGTTAAAATACTTGATAGATATTTGAAACTCCTGAAGTCCTTGAAATTGTTGAAACCTTTAAACTCCTGAAATCCTTGAAACTGTTGAAACATTGAAACTCCTGAAATCCTTGAAACTTTTTTAAACCTGGAAACTGTTGAAAGTGTGGAAACTCCTGAAATCCTTGAACCTCCTGATATCCTTGAAACTGGTTAAATTCTTAAACAGTTGAAATCCTTGAAACTGAAAAATCCCCTCACCGCTGAAACAATTTGGTTCCTGTAACTAAGGAAACCTGGTCTGTGGTCATTATCTGGTGGTGGTCTGAGTCTTCGTTTGGGTCTTGGTCTGGTGGTATAATGCAACCTATTAGGTTGCATTATACTGGTTTACATGGAAAAATCCCTATTAGGTTGCATTATACTGGTTTACATGGAAAAATCCCTATTAGGTTGCATTATACTGGTTTACATGGAAAAATCCCTATTAAGTTGCATTATACTGGTTTACATGGAAAAATCTCTATTAAGTTGCATTATACTGGTTTACATGGAAAAATCCCTATTAAGTTGCATAATACTGGTTTACATGGAAAAATCCCCATTAAGTTGCATTATACTGGTTTACATGAAAAAAACCCTATTAAGTTGCATTATACTGGTTTACATGGAAAAATCCCTATTAAGTTGCATTGTACTGGTTTACATGGAAAAATCCCTATTAAGTTGCATTATACTGGTTTACATGGAAAAAACCCCATTAAGTTGCATTATACTGGTTTACATGAAAAAAACCCTATTAAGTTGCATTATACTGGTTTACATGAAAAAAACCCTATTAAGTTGCATTATACTGGTTTACATGGAAAAATCCCTATTAAGTTGCATAATACTGGTTTACATGGAAAAATCCCCATTAAGTTGCATTATACTGGTTTACATGAAAAAAAACCCTATTAAGTTGCATTATACTGGTTTACATGGAAAAATCCCTATTAAGTTGCATTGTACTGGTTTACATGGAAAAATCCCTATTAAGTTGCATTATACTGGTTTACATGGAAAAAAACCCTATTAAGTTGCATTATACTGGTTTACATGTAAAAACCCCTATTAAGTTGCATTATACTGGTTTACATGGAAAAATCCCCATTAAGTTGCATTATACTGGTTTACATGAAAAAAACCCTATTAAGTTGCATTATACTGGTTTACATGAAAAAACCCTATTAAGTTGCATTATACTGGTTTACATGGAAAAATCCCTATTAAGTTGCATTATACTGGTTTACATGGAAAAATCCCTATTAGGTTGCATGATTACACTGAAGTCCTTGAAACTGCTGAAGTCCTTGAAACTGCTGAAGTCCTTGAAACTGCTGAAGTCCTTGAAACTGTTGAAGTCCTTGAAACTCTTGAAATCTTGAAACTGCTGAAATCCTTGAAACTGTTGAATCCTTGAAACTGTTGAATCATTGAAACTGTAGAAATGTCTGAAAGAGCTGAAGTCCTATTAAAATGCATGGGCCTATTAAAATGCATTGCAGAATTCTCAATGCAGATTTTTGTCCGATTGCGGAAAAACCGGAAATCGCTGAAGTCCCAAAAGTAATAGCAATAATCTCCCAAACATGTGGAACGTTTTGATGTATAACTTGTGGAAATTGTTGAAAATGTGAAAGCTGTGAAACGTGTCAAAAAAAATGACGGAATAAAGAAATACAAAACCAATGGTTGACTGCGGAAGGTTCCGCAGTCAATCAATTAAGCTGAAGGATCTAAATAGACACGAGACATACACGTCACTAGGTGTACTGTAACGTGATGACTTCACTATGGTGTCATCACACCTGTTCACATGGTTCAGTCATACAGGCAGCCTCGGTTCTAAGAAAAAGCCACCAATGTGAAAAGGCGCCAGAAGTGAATGTGAATTAATACAAGAAATCACACAGCAACATTTACATAAAACTTGAAATAAGCTGTCTAAGGAAATTTAATTCATACACATAAATTAAGATGTAGTATAAATGTATGTAAAAAAGATATTTTACTGATCTTTATCAGGTGGTTCTAAACTTAGATATTTTGACTGCAACACAAGTTCCCAAATATTATCTGGGTCTAAATTAATATGTGCCATGTCTTAAATTTGAGTATATTTGTATTATTGTTATTATTATTATGAAGATCATTATTATGAAGATTAATCAAAATATCACAGACAAAAATTTCCTATTTTAGCTTGTGGGTTTTCTTGACTTTTCAGGTTCCTCCAAAATATTTGTGAAATCAATTCCTATCAACTCACGACTCCCATCTATGCTCTGCACTTCTGACTTACAGCAGTGACAACTTTAAGCATCAAAACATTCTCAATTCATATGTGATTATTTTAGTCCATCAAACTTTTTATCAAATTATATTGAAATCATCACAGTTTAGTTACTTTGAGCCACATATAACATGTATAAGTCTTATTTCATAATACTTATTAGCATTAAAAGCACCAAAGGGCTGTTTTCAGTAGGCCAGGTGACCACTTTGAAGGATGACACCACACAATCTACATTAGACACTTTCCTCGAAACCTGAGCAAATACATGCAACCATTTTATAGAACATCTTTTATTTTGTTTTCATTCTGATTTGAGTCCACACACACGCACACACAGCCATCTATTTATCTTTGCTCATAAATAGATGATTAGTGTACAACAGATATACATAAATACACATTTCTGATATGCTTCATTGGAAATCATGCTATGTCTCTGCAAAGGACTCGCTCTATTGGATGAGGGCACACAGCATCAAACACTTACACAACAAACACGGCAGAACAGCTGGAAGAATCTCTATAGACTTGTATGTTTTACAGCATACAGTAGATCCCACCCATTCATTTTTTATCTTTACAAAGAAACAGCTCAAGATTATGGACCAAAATGTACAGTGGCTGCTCCTCACTGAACACACAAGAATATGATACAGACAACGCATTAGATTTAAGTTGTTTCTTGCACAGCAGCAAAAATAAAAACAAATAAAAATAATATTCTCCGATTCAAATGGAAAATATATTTGTATATCTTTATATATGTATTTATAATTTTATGTACACATTCTGAGGAGCACGACTATAGACTACCAAATGAAATACACCAGCACAAGTAAGAAAATCAATAAGGCAATTAACTTAAAAGATTCTACACAATATTGCTGCTCTTGTCTCAGTCTGGTGAACAACAGTGAGATGTATACAATTGCACATCAAATGAATCTATTTTACAGCTCGTGTGATACTGATATGTCCTGTGATTGACCAAATACACAAAATATACACAAATCAAATGAGAAAATGTGTTAACGAAATACTAGTCAGTAGTACAGATTCACCTCAAACATACACTTGAAGAAAACAATACAGCATTTTGCTTCATGATTCAAATGGAGAATTACAAATATAGTAATAGAATGGTGTAAAATGATTTCAACAGTTTGTATAATTTCAGTACCTGGTATTTTTTTCCAGATCTTTTTCCTATTTCAGACGTGTTCACACAGCCGCTACTTTTTTCAACTTCTTTGAACCCTGTGATCTATGGCCAATATAAGTATTTTCCTTGTGGTAGAGTTGGAGTCAGAGCAGAGTTTGTGGACCTTCCTCAAGTTTTAGTAGCTATAGGATGCAAGTTTATTGTTGAAAGAGTGGTAAACGAGTCCTGACATGGAAGAACATTTTTGGATCCTCAGATGTTATCGTTTTATTTACCAAGCTTTGTCCATCGCAACTCAACAGTCCGTTACCACATCATCAAATAATTTGGATGCTACATGAGCATAGAAAACAGTTATAACAGGATTTGTTTTACTCTATCATCCGTCCATCAGCTGTCGGTTAAGTATTGCATTACACCATGAATGAGTGCGTCCTATTTGTGGACAACATTTACTTTCTTTTAGCTGGTACGGTTTATGCACTGGTGCGCTTAATAGTCAAGCACTGTAAGGTACTAGTGATGAGGATCAGACTTTAGGGGCCTGCTCTGGGGCTGGTACCATCTGTTAACCCAGATCCCGTTTGCTGACTCCAGTTCATTCAACAATAACGTTCAAATATTTGTTTTGTTTTATTTCATTATTATATTGATTCAACTCTACTGCTCCGTTAACTTGCCAATACAATTATACGAGGCAAAAAAACAGTTGGAACAAACAAATTATTCACAATTGTAAAAATGTTTGGGATGTTGTCTGGCCCTACTAGGATTGTCCTAAATGTAAAAACGAAACGAGATAGTAATTTCACCAAGTATCAATACTAAATAAAAAATCTCTTGATCACTTTTATAAAACCTTGCAGCCCCATAAAGAAAACATTATCATTATGAGTTCAACATATAAGTGTATTGTCCAAAAGAGCATTTAAAAATAGTCGCTGTGGTATCTAAATTGGTATTGAGCAAAATTGGGTATTGTGACAACACTTGGCTTGACAATTTTGCCAAGTGAATATGTCACTCCTCGGCCCCAAATTCCACACCTTCCAAAATAACCTCATATTATTTAGATAATGACTGCTGACATCATTGCACATGCCACAATTGCCAGCAGTAAATAAGACATATGTGAAACGTACACTAACTCAAGATAATTTTGTCCTTGTCTTCAACATTCAATGCTTTCATAAAATTTGACATACTTCATTCAATAAACAGATAACTCGACTGCAACACTACCACCTTTAAATAATGTTGAGATGAGATTTTGAATGTAATTGTCCCAAAATGTTGATTTTTTTATGTACATATGTGGTTCAATGCAAATAAGACAAAGGCTAAAATGGCCGAAACTTTATAAAACATTTGGGGACATCTGTATTTTGAGTGTGTCATGCTTTCTCATGTTCGAGATTCTTTTTATGTAAACATGAAGATCATGGAATTTAGTGAGTCCAGAAGTTGACAAACTGAAGCTGTAACTAAAAAAAGCAGTCCCGTCTCCCTCGAGAAATACTGAAATGACAAAAGTAGGAATGCAAAAGCTACATAGAAAAGAGTCTTTGGGTGCAACAAAACAATGATAATTTCAGTGAATTATGAAACAATTTAAATAATAATAAAAACATGTAATATAAATAATAACACTAGTTGACTGTATAGACAAATAAAAGTACACAGGCAAATAAGTTATGTCAATGGTATGTGTGTTGAAGCTCTTTCCATCCACTGCGTTACTTGGCACATTAAAATCAGCGACCTCGCGAGTGGACACTGTTTTTTGCTGGTAAGTGATTGGAACAGTTTTGTCGATTCCTCGTTCTATCTGTACTCAGTTTGGTGGAGGTGTCTGACGTTGAGCTGATATTTAGTAATGATATTCTTTGTGGAGTTAGTCGTTACTACATTTAACCATTTACAGTGCGTTAAATAAAACACAGAAATGTTTTCTTTGATGTCGGACACACACGACTAAAGCTTTATGGTACACTTATTACACATATTCACTCCGCGATTCAGTTTTTGTGATGTTGTCCGCACCGGCAGGAATCTCAGTACTTGAGTCTCCTTGGACCTCTGGAGGGTTTAGTTTTTTTAAGTTCCTAAAACCGAGTCCAGACCGAGATCCCGGGCCACAGCAGAAGTCTGGACCGCAGACCTGCTTCTCCCAGATGTTTGTCTTTCAGAGTTTACTGTGAGGAAAAGGAAATCAGATTAGTGTAATGAATGTACAACGTAATGACAGAACAAGCACTAGAGCAATGTTTCTCAAACTGAAAGGAAGGTACCAGAACTGAAGACTTTTACTAAAACAAAGTATTAACTAACTTTGTAACTTCTACTGTGCTAAAGCTGCTTGTAGTCTTAAAGTAGCAATATGAAAGATTTTCATGTCAAGTCATCATTAAATGGCCCTAATCTGCCAAAAGGCATTAATAAACCTTGGTCTTTTCGAATACTTCTTTAACTGATAACAGTAGTTCAACCAATATATCTAAATTTCCAAATTGGATTTACAGCCCGTAGATCTTGTAATGTTTTTCATATCGATATCTTGCCATCCACCGTTTTACCAATCGGAAAAAAACTATCAGCACGAGAAACATTGCTTCCATAATTAGTCAGTTTGGTTACTGACTCACTATAAACATTATTCACCACTTTGTGAAAAGGTTCTTAAAATCCTTCTAACAAAAACCAAACAAGAACTATTAATATCATCATCATTTCAGAGTAAGGAGTTTCAGCAGATACCACGTTTGGGCCAATAGGAGGTAACATTGTTTGAAGTGGGATTCATCCAAAGAAAAAATACTGCTTAGAGGAGTTACAAACTAAAATGAACACTAGTTATAGGAGTAAATTATATTTCTGCAGATGTACCAAAGAATCAGTGCATCCCAACTCAGACCGCTGTCAGAGGATCAGCTGAGGTAGAAAGGTTTGTTGTTCTACTCCTCAATTCATAATTTGTTTATTGAACTTGCATCTAATAAAAAACTACTTAAATAGCTAATCAGGACCCACTGTTGTTAGTGCTGTTCCCTTCTTTATTCCCTTCAGCTTCAAAATATAAGTATTTAGGCAAGTGTTTGTAGCAGCAAGTGGCTAAAATAGCACCTTTGAAATGAATGAATAGAATACTGAGGCAGACTTTGATGACCGGTCATGGACTAAATGGTGTGGATGAAAACGTTATGATGCAAATGGATCTCTGGAGCCCATTCAATCTTATATCCCCAAAGAAACTTGTTTTGTTATCACTTACTGTCTCATTTTCCCAATCCCCATCTGGCACGGCCTTAGACTCTGAGCCAAAGTGTAGCGGAGAATACACCCAGGTCTTGTCCTCTGGAGGCTTTAACACACCCACCACAGCAGATGGCGCCAGAGAGACAGAGGGAAAGGGCCACACAGACAAGCAGCAGGCAGGGAGACAGACAAGAAGAGAGGACAAGACAGGAAATGAAAGTTAGGGATGCATTAGGAGATGCTGAGAGACATTGGAAAAGTGTGATTTGAAACGTCAAGTCAAAATGTTTAAAAAGGATGTGGTAATCCTTTTAGCAGTTAGCAAACTACATAAAGATGCGTTACTGAGAAACAAAGAATGCAGAAACATGTCTAGATGTGTTTTTGACATCTCTAACTTGCCCCATTTGTGGAAGATGAGGTGTGGCAGCCAAAACAGGGATTATGAGGAGAGGGGAGAATAAGGGAGGAGATGGATGCTAGGAAGGTCAAAAGCCGCTTCCTCAAAGACGTCTTTTACAACCAGCAAACCTTAATAGGGCTTTGACATAACATTATGACAATAAACTTCAGTAACAGTACAGAGGTTTACTTGCCATCATCATCATTAAAGCTCAGGTAACTGAAGTTTGAATGAATACTTCTCCTGTAACTTCTGTTAGTAAAGTAGTCAGTAAGCAACTAAATAAAAAACAATAAATAAGTGTCTTTTGTTTTCTGCCAATGATGCCATCTTACCACCGCAGGAAGACATTTTTTAACACTACGACCAAAGAGGCACACCGTCAGAGCAAACAAACAGCAAAACACAAGCTTGTTGAGTGGAAAAACCAAAGAATCTGTAAGATGCATCAAGAGATTCAGATCTGGTTGGCACTTGTGTTTATAGGACGGCCACAGGGTTCTTTAATGTCTAGTCTGTGTGTTGTAGTTGTTTTTGTCTAAAACAACCATGTTCATAACGCCCAACACAAAAGACAATAACATACATTTAATTTCTAAGAATGAATGAGTAGAACAAGACAAATTTACTGAAGCCACTGATGCTAAGTAAATGAAGCTAAGTAATTGCTAAACCCTGATTATGATTAAATCGGTAAAACTGAGCTCATGCAGTACGTCCCTCTTAACTAATCATAGTGCCTCGGCCTATATTTCTAAGCTCATGGGACATTGAACCAAAAGGAGGCTCCTAATTCTTGATGTGAGTAAAGCTGATTTGAGCTCACATTTCCAACAAGACAATAAAATGCTCCTTATTTGTAGAAAAATTTTGTCCAAGAATGTTGCTAATAATTTTTAGTATGTACTACGCTTCATCACTGACAAATTAGCTCATTCTAGCGCATCACTCCCCCTCAAATGTGATGTACGAGTAATTCTACAAACGAGAAGCTATTACACATCATTACATTGCTATTGAATGTAAATGAGGGAGGGGTTCGGCACAGTCTGGTCACACTTACATGCCAACTCAGCTGGCATTTCCTCTTTTGGCGAAAAGGAGACACCACCCATGTCCTACCATCGGAAAACTGACAGGAGAAGAGCATGGTAGATGGACAAATGAAAAACAGAAAAGACAGCAAGCAACTACAGGATGTAAAATGACAATCAAAAGCACAAAAGTGAAAACGAAAAATATATTTGTGAAAGTATTGGATGAAGCATCAGAATGATCAAGGAACACAGTGATGCATGTGTGGCACGTTTTAAACCAGTCATCTCAAGATCTCGTGCCACAAGATAAAACTATTAATAGTTCAATATACAATTTCTACAAGATTGTGCACACGTCTCTAAAGAAGCCAAAGTTTAAAAACGTTATAAAGATAAGGGAAAGTGATAATAAATGGATGAATATAAACAGGTATAAAAAACGAGAGAGGAGGAATTGTGGAAAGTCATGGATAAGAAAGTGATAAGGGCTAAATTATTTAATCAGCGACCGGTTTTCAACTCCAGCTCCTCTAACACCAGACTATCACATCAACACAGGAGGAATTCAACTGCAAATAGATTACAGTTTATCCAAAGCCACAACAAGATTTACAATCTGGCATCAAATTAAACACTTGATTCGGTTAGATTCAAGACTGAATAAAAGATTCATCCCAAAATAAAAAATCTATTCTGTTTTGTGAACAGAGACTCTTTACCTAGAGTGTCTGTCTGCAGTGAACTCCATTTTATTGTCATTGCCTCCTGCTGCGGTCATCTGTTTTTGAAGCAATAATGAACAAAACACAGCAGACGTTGTTCAAGGAGAAACCCTTCTCAGTAGATGTGGACTCCAGTTACAACAGAATATTAACCTTGATAAAGCTATAACTGATGGTTATATAAAAAAAACAGCCTGGTATATAACATATTTGATTATACAAGTTAGGGCTTCACTGCAAAAATCTATAATCTTGTACCATTGAGCGATAATTTTATGTTCAAATGTGAATCTGGTCTTTTTATGGTTGTGTACATATGAAGAAAATTGCAACAGCATTTTCTATGTTCTGTCCATGTTGTTCAAAGGTACAGTCTGGGTTTATACTTTTTTCTTTCTTGTACATACTTGACTTTACAGTGTGAAACTCAAGCAAACCCAATGACCGCAAGCTTTATACCGATGTATAAATGCTGTCAGCAGACACCTCGCAGACGCTCTGTTAAATGAGACATTTCTATCTGTTACTGTGATCTCTGGCACCGAACCGGACACTCACCAAAGTGACTGCTGATTTCAGATTAGATTATTTAAAAGCTTCCCTTAAATATTCAGCCTTTAGATTTTAAGCCTATAATCAGAATCTGAAAACATGTGATTCAATGTAGACAACACACAAACTGAAAAAGAGCAAAGAAATAGCCCCTAAATCACACAAGTGTCTGTGTATCAAACAGTAGACTGAACATGCTTTTATGAGTCACTCCAACACCACAATCCAATTTAACACAGTTCACACCATATTTCTCACCAGCGGGATTCAAATAGAGGTTTTGAAGTCCTGCCGCTAGCGCCTCTGCAAGAGTTAGGATAACACTACAGCTCAATCATTTAAAATTACTCGATATTGAAGAAATACAATCCCTATCAAAATGACTCACAAACCAATTTAAAAACACAAACACAAAAGAGATACACATTCAGGATGAGGTTTGGTTTGTCCTTGTGGAAACCTGGTCAATGTTTTTTTTAATCAAACTTTCTCTAATCAAAACTGTACCATATGTTGAAATTACTACAGATAATATTGTTAAACTACAGGTATATGTAGCTGTATGAATGTGATTATGAAACGACGCAAAAGGTACAGTATGTAACGTCTCTGGTGAGGGTGATCAACAAATACTTTGTCTTTGCTTTGTCTTAAATGCCCCACAACATGGCATTAACTTTTTGTAATGATTTGTGAAATTGTGTTCTGCAGGAAACAAATTGAACTGACTAACTAACTTTGGCGGTGCCTTTGTGGTAGTTGTATGTGCACTGGAAGCAAGACACATCATTTGTTTTCATAGCAGACATAGAGGTTCCATAGAGGCAACTCCCCAGAAAGTTACATAGTGGACTTTAGTTGATATCACCTTGTTATTCATGATGTGTCAAGTGCTCTGTGGGTCTTACAAGATAAATGTCTGTGATTGGCACGTCGTCCTCGTCGTCGACAGAGGCCTGGCTCGTGCAGCCGGATCCGGACACTTGGCTGGTTGTGTCCGCCTCCACCACCACCACCTTTGGGCTGGACGGGGGCATGTCTGCACACACAGGGGCTGACGAGGAAGACGGGACTTCGGGGTCGATTGAGCTGCACGGGACTGCTGCCTCTGCACCTTCGACTTCCAGCACATCACTGTAAAAGAGGAGATGGGTTTTAGATGTATACAGAGCTGCCCGCCTCATCACACACACCTTCTCCATCCACCGCAACACCCCTGTCCTCCAACAGCTCCACTGGCTCCAATCACTCACCGCATCCAATATAAAATCCTGCTCCTCACATACAAAGCCATCCACAATCTTGCCCTTCCAGACCTGACTGACCTCCTCCTGATCTTCACACCTGCCTATTCCCTCTGATCCTCCTCCTCTCTCCAGCTCCTGGTCCCTCCTGCCTTTGCATCATCACCATGAGGAGTAGGACCTTCAGCCTAAGTCTACTCACCAACACCATAATTACACCAATCTTTGTATTTAACTGTACTCAAACTGTTTATAAATGTACTCTTTACTTGTATGTAAGGTGACCTTGTGTGTCTAGAAAGACTAAGCCTAAGGAATGAAATGTGTTAATATTATATTTTAAAAGTAAAGAAAAGTCTTGTATCAACAGTAAAACATGTCCCTTAGAACTGTCATACAATTAAAGTCAATCCTAGAATAAGTAAAACAGTTGAAAAAATGTTGAAAGTGCTTTAACACAGCACTTTCCTAAATTTGGGGGCATTAATTGGGTCACTTAGCATCAGGTCTGTGCCACTAAACTTGACAGCTGTGTGTGTATGAAGAAATGGAACACATAAAACTCTATTTCACTTGGTTAATAGAAATGCTGTAATTTTTTTTATATTCAAACATTTTTTTGTGCTCACAGAGTCTCACAGTTCACAAAGGCAGCATGATGATAGCATTCATGCTTCACAGGAAAAAGGTCCAATTTGCCCATGGGGACAATAAACTACCCCACCTTAGGCAACTTACAACCAGTCACACTCAGAAATATCTATAAAACAGTTATATACACCTCTGCCAACACATTTCAACCAAATTGAATAATTGTGTATACTTTAGTTGTATCATTTATATTTACTCAACTGAAATACAATAGAAGAATAAATTGCCTCATGTTTCCCTCAGGAGCCGCACCCTGGTACCCCACCTCTGCCCTTTGCTAATCAACCCCCTCCGCGCCAGCAGTGTCTCAGGATGGGACTGGCTCTATCAATAATTTATTTTACATGTTTATTCAGCTAAAACAAAATCCCAAGACCTCTTAAACACTGCAGCATTATTTACAACACAAATGATACATCTATATTGTGTTAAATTAAAAAAAGTTTGCATTTTAACTGCGTTTGTTTTACTTAAAGAAAAGAAAACAAACACAGATTTATGGACAACAATTTTGGCTATTTGAATGTTTATTCTTGCTTTCAACAGTACCATAAGTGGGAATTGAATATCAAGTATAAAGCAAAAAAATCATTGTTGCAGTTACAAATAGTATTGACATTTTAAAGCTGGGGTACCTAACCTTTTCCCCTAATAAATAGTAAATGCCGTTTGTCCCAACAGAAAGCAAACATGTCCAAAGCAGACCACAAAATGCGGTCTTCATCCGTCTTCATAAAAACATGTGAAAAACTAGGACTATCTTTGGGCTGAGAGCTGATTGACGGGCGGTTCTATCTTTCTCCCTTTTCTGTCTGAAAGAGCTGACATAACACACAAGCATGTGAAAACTAGTGATAGAACCAAACAGTTTTATAGCCACAAACTATTGACATGGATTTGATTACATAGTTTATTATTTTGTGGTTTGAAAGTTAGCCACCTCAGCTTTAATCAAAATAGTGTTTAATCCTTATGTCCATCCAGCCCGGTTCTTTCAGCCCGAGGTGTTTTGCTCCACCCCCCCATGTTAGAACCCCTTCTCCCCCCCATAGACCCAGAGCACAGATTTACATGAGTTCACACTCATAACCCAAATACTGTGCTCCAGATTTGAAAAGTGCAGTGGCACAGGAGCAAACAGGTAGGGCTATTTGATAACGTTTGAAAGTGTTTGCTAATCCAACAGCAGCCTTTGCCCAGGTGAGTTATATATAGAGACAAATCTGCACTGTACTGACTGATTCATATCATCAATGAGGTCGCACAGCAATTAATGAGGCCAGCATCGAGTGAATCTTTCAATTGCAAAGACTGGTTTGTAAATAACATATACATACTAATTCTTGATTAAAAAAAAAAAATCTTTACTGTAGATCTCAATATTTTTACATAATAAATAACCCCTTTCTGAAGTGTCACTCCCACAGTGGCTGATGTTTTGGGGTCACCTGAGTTTAGGAGGTGTCTCAGGGACAGAGAAGATTGGTTCACTGTCTGGTCTTTTCAGCTCCACCTCCACAGTGATGGTTTGCTGGTCCTCCTCTCGCACCCGCAGCTCCTCCTGAGTCCTGAAAACCATAAAAAAAACACATAAAACAACATAGAGGTATGGCTGCAGTAGGAGAAAGAGCCTAGTCATGAATAGACTTTCCTCACCACACCCAAACACAGTGAAAGCACAGAGCTGTGAGTCAAAACACCAAATAAACCCAGTTTTATGAAGGGGTAACACTCACCGTACGTCGTGGCTGAGGGACTGGGTGTGCCGCCTGGAGCAGAAACATAGTGTTACTTCATTTCATTTCTTTATTTATTTGACTGGGACATTACATGTCAATGAACATATATGGTTGAACATATTGTAGACAAGCCAGATTGTAGCCAAAGGCTAATTTTCCTCTGTATTCCCAGGCGGGCGGGATCACAAGGGATAATATTATATTCACAAACCTGCACATATTTTTTAACTGGTTAAGAGGTTTTGTTTACAAATACGAACGAACAGGATTAATACAATGATTTATTAAATGAGTTGTGATCACATGTTATACATGAAATTATGCCTTTATGTTTTTCCTGCTAACAAGTTAAGAACGGCATTTCAACCTGAAGCACTGATCAGCCTGCCCCTTTACCATAACTTAATGTTTCAAAGTTCAGAGTAGATTTTGAATGGTCTCTTTTGTAAACGTGAACCTCAGGATGGGTTGTACCTGTATCGTGGATGCTCTGATGTGTCAGAAGGCGATCGTTCGGGGATGGACAGCGATGTTGTGGACGACAGAGTGGTGGCGATGGATGCAGTTGTGGCTTCTTCAAATGAGGGAGGCGTGCAAGGAAGAAGATCAGGCCGCCCTGTCAACACAGGAATATTAATAAATAAAGTGAAAGCAAAGAAAACAGAGCTGGTGACATCTTGTATTTACAAAGAGAATCTAACGACTGTAAAGTGAAATCACCTCAATAACCTTATGGGCAAAGCCCATGAGCACCATAAAGGTTTGGAAGGCTCATTGCCGGAAAAAAGGTGTGACACAAAACAGCCAGTGCTCCAGAGTTTAGCCGGGTAAAATAAAATGGCATGTTTTGTAAAACTTCACAAACTTATGTCAGTAATTCCAGCTCGTACCTTCGTCCTCCAGTGTGGGGAAGCTGCGCGCTCCTCTCAGGTCGTAGATGTTCTCGTCTCTCTCCGACGGTAGCTGACTGGCCGACCACGCCGCCCCGGGGCCAATTAGACACTTATTACTCGGCACCGTCAGCGACACGCGGCCTTTCTTAGAGGGGGACGACTTCAGCGCTAAGGGCACAAAACAGAGTTTAGTCAAAAACTTTGTTGCTTTCTTGCAAAAACTGCACAATTCTGGAGTAGCATTTCAATTATTTGGAAAAGAAACATTATTTGGAAAAGAGATGTTGTGTGTGCGGACTGGGTCGCCGAGGTCTCCGCCTTCGACTGCCGCCCAGTCCTCTCTGCACCGCTTCACCACGGACCCCTCTGCAGGTGGTGGGCCCACAGGAGGGACTGCCCACGTCATCCCTTCGGGCTGAGCCCGGCCGGGCCCCGTGGGCTAAGGCCCGGCCACCAGGCGCTCGCATACGGGCCCCGACCCCAGGCCTGGCTCCAGGGTGGGGCCCCGGCTGCGCCATGCCGGGCGACGTCACTGTTTTCGTGTTAGTGCTGTCCATGGTGTCTTCTGGACTGCTCTTTGTCTGACTCGTCACCTGAGACCTGTCTGCCATGGGAGGCCCTACCAGGGGCATGAAGCCCCAGACAGCATGGCTCCCAGGATCATCCGAGTACTCAAACTCCCCCACCACGTTAAGGTGGCAGTCCAGGGGGGAGTTGTTGAGCAGCCCCCCTGATCTGAACCCGAGCGGTGCTCAGTTGTTGGACTTCTGTGCCAGTCACGGTTTGTCCATCACGAACACCATGTTCGAGCACAAGGGTGTCCACCAGTGCACGTGGCACCAGGACACCCTAGGCCAGAGGTTGATGATCGACTTTGTTGTCGTATCATCTGACCTTCGACCGCGTGTCTCGGACACTCGGGTAAAGAGAGGGGCGGAGCTGTCAACCGATCATCACCTGGTCGTGAGTTGGATCCGCTGGCAGGGGAAGAAGCCGGTCAGACCTGGCAGACCCAAGCGTATAGTGAGGGTCTGCTGGGAACGTCTCGCTGAGCCCCCTGTCAGACGGACTTTCAACTCACACCTCCGGGAGAGCTTCTCCCAGGTCCCGGCGGAGGAGGGGGACATGGAGTCCGAGTGGACCATGTTCTCTGCCTCAATCGCCGATGCGGCGGCTCGTAGCTGTGGTCGCAAGGTCTCTGGTGCTGGTCCCGGCGGCAACCCCCGAACCCGGTGGTGGACACCGGCAGTAAGGGATGCTGTCAGGCTGAAGAAGGAGTCCTATCGAGCCATGATGGTTTGGGGGGACTCCTGAGGCAGCTGTCCAGTACCGGCAGGCCAAGCGTGCCGCGGCCCGGGCTGTTGCAGAGGCAAAAACCCGGGACTGGGAGGAGTTCGGAGAGTCCATGGAGCATGACTATCGGTCGGCCTCGAAGAGATTCTGGCAAACCATCCGGCGCCTCAGGAGGGGGAAGCAGTTCTTTGCCAACACCATGTACGGTGCGGGTGGAGAGCTGCTGACCTCGACTGGGGATATTGTCGGGCGGTGGAAGGAATACTTTGAGGTTCTCCTCAATCCCCCCGTCACGTCCTCTGTTACAGAGGCAGAGGCTGAGGATGTTGGGGCGGGTACATCCATCTCCCTGGCTGAGGTCACCAAGGTGGTTGGTAGCCTCCATGGTGGCAAGGCTCCGGGTGTGGATGAGATCCGCCCTGATTATCTAAAGTCTCTGGATGTTGTAGGACTGTCTTGGCTGACACGTCTCTGCAACATCGCGTGGCGATCGGGGGCAGTGCCAATGGAGTGGCAGACCGGGGTGGTGGTCCCTCTCTACAAGAAGGGGGACCGGAGGGTGTGTTCCAATTATCGTGGGATCACACTCCTCAGCCTCCCCGGTAAGGTCTACTCCAAGGTACTGGAGAGGAGGTTACGGCCGATGGTCGAATCTCGGATCCAGGAGGAGCAGTGTGGTTTTCGTCCCGGTCGCGGAACACTGGACCAGCTCTATACTCTCCATCGGATACTCGAGGGTTCATGGGAGTTCGCCCAACCTGTCCACATGTGCTTTGTGGATTTGGAGAAGGCGTTCGACTGTGTTCCCCGGGGTGTCCTTTGGGGGGTTCTCCGGGAGTACGGGGTCGGAGGTCCTCTGCTGAGGGCCATCCGATCCCTGTATGACCGGAGCCAGAGCTGTGTTCGCATTGCCGGCAGTAAGTCAGACCTGTTCCCGGTGAATGTTGGCCTCCGACAGGGCTGCCCTTTGTCACCGGTTCTGTTCACTGTATTTATGGACAGAATATCTAGGCGCAGCCAGGGGTCGGAGGGGGTCCGGTTCGGAGACCACAGGATTTCATCTCTGCTGTTTGCGGACGATGTTGTCCTGTTGGCTCCAACGAACCAGGACCTGCAGCATGCACTAGAGCGGTTTGCAGCCGAGTGTGAAGCGGCTGGGATGAGAATCAGCACCTCCAAATCCGAGGCCATGGTGCTCGACCGGAAAAAGGTGCCTTGCCCTCTGCAGGTGGGTGGAGAGGTCCTTCCTCAAGTGGAGGAGTTCAAGTATCTCGGGGTCTTGTTCACGAGTGAGGGAAGAATGGAGCGTGAGATTGACAGGCGGATCGGTGCAGCGTGCGCAGTTATGCGGTCGCTGTATCGGACCGTTGTGGTGAAGAGGGAGCTGAGCCGAAAGGCAAAGCTCTCGATTTACCGGTCAATCTTCGTTCCCTCCCTCACCTATGGTCATGAGCTTTGGGTAATGACCGAAAGAACGAGATCGCGGATACAAGCGGTCGAAATGAGCTTCCTCCGCAGAGTGGCTGGGCGCTCCCTTAGAGATAGGGTGAGGAGCTCAGTCACACGGGAGGAGCTCGGAGTAGAACCGCTGCTTCTCCACGTCGAGAGGAACCAGTTGAGGTGGCTCGGGCATCTGTTCCGGATGCTTCCTGGACGCCTCCCTGGGGAGGTGTTCCGGGCACGCCCCACCGGGAGGAGGCCCCGCGGAAGACCCAGGACACGCTGGAGGGACTATGTCTCTCAGCTGGCCTGGGAACGCCTTGGGGTCCCCCCGGACGAGCTGGAGGAAGTGTGTGTGGATAGGGAAGTCTGGGCATCTCTGCTTAGACTGCTGCCCCCGCGACCCGGCAACGGATAAAGCGGAAGAAAATGGATGGATGGATGGATGGATGAATGGAAAAGAAACAATTATTTTCAACATGTAAAAATGTAATCATAATTTCATAGTCAAATGTCAACTCAACGGTTTTGAGAGGATCTAGGATAAAAATGACTTAATTTCAAACATACCTAAAGCTTTGAGTTTTGTCAAAAATTTGTTGAAACTGTTGATTATTCTCATCATTTGCTATATGCTAAAACTGCACAATTCAAAAGTAGAATTCAATTTTTTGGTAAAAGAAACGTTTTTTGAGAGGATATAGAATAAAAATGACTTAATTTTGCTTCTGAAACTTTTGTCAAACATACCTTAACCTTAACAAATGAAACGTTAATAAAAAAATTAAACACATGCAAATAAATGCCTTGCACAAATCCAATTCAATACTGTATACATAATTTCTTGGGATTAATATTTATTTTCATGATAAAAGATATTTCGATCTGCAGTGTGAAAATGGCTTCCATGACTAAAAAAACTTTGTTGACAGATATTCACGGCTCACTCCGAAAGATCAGGATCAAACTATTGTTCTCCCACATGATCCATGACATGAAACAGCACCTAATAAGGTGCAGCCGGCTCCGTTATCTAATCCCTCGGTCTCGGTTTGGCAGTGAAAAGGACAAAAGCCTGGCATTTGACGCCTGTGTGTGCGAGTGTGTGTCTCTGCTTCCACCTGTGTGACTATGTAAGGCAATGCTGAGGCCAAACTCACAGGAGCTCTTCTTGAAAACGGTGTTGCTCATGAACTTGTAAAATCTGTCAGCATAAAAACCCGGCCGGTGCACAGATACAGTGTCCTGCAGGAGACAGATTAAACAGAGAGAAACAGGGCATGAGTAAAACGATCAAAGCGACAGATTTAAAACTGCGAGGCCTAATGACAGAGTTCAGTTTGAGAAGAAAATCCGGCTTTGGAAAGGGGCCTATATGCTATAAGAGATAACTGCTTTTTTTGCTGTGAAGATTACACCCCTCTCTCCAATATGCAACTGCTTTTGAAAGATTTTAGTTTTAAACTTTGAAAATATAAATAATGTAAATAACAGACATCTAGAGAGAAGAAATTCAACTTTTAAGAAAACATGTCTGAAATGAAAATTACTATGTAGAATAATAATAAAAGGCTGCAAACTATTATGTGAAATTTGAAATTAAATGTAATATGTGATGTATTATAATATCCACAATTGAAATAAATAAATAAATAAAGATAAGTAAATATAATAAAAGGTAAACAAAGAATTTGACATTTACGCAAAATGTTATCACATGTTGTACAAGCAGTTTCCATTAAAATAACGCAAGACAGATTTATTATCATTCCGGGTTAAACACATTGTAGCCATTTCCACCTAACATGGGCTGTTCCTTCATTCAAACCTCCAGACAAACAGGAGTCCAGAGTCAGCAGTCCTTTCATTATTTATGCTGCGACTGCGAGCCGCGATAACACTGACACAAGACTGACAGATGACACTTGGTATTTGCCGGAGAGGGAAAAAAAAACACCTCCTCCACAAAACGCTATTGTTAGCCTCTTGCATCAGAGTCAATGGAAATCCTAAATTACTCACATCTTTAAATGTATTTGTCACGTAAAGGAGGGACGTTAGAATGACGCATGTGCAGTTGTTAAGGGGACCGCTCCCACACAGCTCTACTGTAACTGTGTGGGGCTTCATCACACAAAATCAATCTCAAAACACGACACTGATACCAATGGGAGAAACACAGTATTGGATTTTGAGGTAATAACAAGTATTAAATTACCTTCCTGTCATATGGATGAAAAGAAAGGAGCTTTCTTGGTTTTAATGGGGTTTCGAATAACAAAGCTAGCATTACTGTAGTAGTGACGCAGATTATTACAAGATCTGAGTTTCGGAGTGGAAAGTGGACTGCAAATGATTTTTTGTAGCTTGTAGATTTGATTTATTGCGGCCATTTTGGTGCAAACAAAATTACAATTTGTGTTTTTCTCATTGAAAATACAAAAGAAAGGAATGAAAAAAAATAAAAATGAAAACATCGGGCCATTCATCTGTTAAGGATATATACAAATATTGGTATTGTTAAAAAAGCATGAACAATAACATGATGAAAGTGTTACTCAATGTATTAAGTTTGCAGGAAAAATGATTGACCTTCACTAAATAATCATCTATTTGTCAGTGGGGAGGAGCCTTTTATGTTTTAGCAGCAGCACCTGGAGGAAACCAATGCAGACACAGGTACTCGATTGAGAGATGCTCCATGCTGCTGAGATACTAACCAAGAACTCAGAAAAACAGTTTTATTCAATGATAAAGCATTCCAATTTTAATGTCTGATCACTGCAGACTCACTCAAAAGAAAATGTGGTCCTCTATTGTTAAACTAAAGTGAGAAGAGAGTGAATAAAGCGAACTTACTCCGTCATGGACCAAGGCCTTCCACGAGTGCTCCAGTTTCTTAATGAGCCTGAGCACATAAAGACGAGCAACATTAATGAAACAATCAGTCAAGATGAGTCATAGTAATGAAAAAAGCACAGTGCATTACCTGTAAGACTGCAGGATGTCGATTATACCGATGTACAGAAGCAGACGCTCTCCTCTGCTATTCACAGCAGGGATACCACCCATCCTGAAACCAACAAATACTTTTAACTTCAAACCAATTGAAAATGTAAATTAAGCAACATATATTTTATAGGGTGTCTACATGGACAAAAAATACTTTTTTTTAAGCCCCCACTGAAAACCCTGTGCCTCTTTTCATGACAAATTGACAATTAAAATGTGGCTGCCATTTGGTTACAGGTAACATTTGCTTAAACCTAGAAGAAGAAACCGTCCTAATGTTGGCTGAAGATGCAGAGAACGACGAGTCTATAAGAGGTTTAAAATCAACATTAAGCCTCATCTTCCCATGACCCTGATGAAACTTGAGATTTTCTCCAATCCAGTGTTTCCAGTGTTTTAATGGACCAATCAGTAGCTCTTCATCTCAGTGGATTACAAGGTCAGCATTGCATTGAAACTAAAGTCAAAGCTCCATACTTTTCAGAGTGAGCCGTGTTGATGCCAGTGAGATTAGAATGATGAGCTGTTGCTACTGCTTTCAAGAAACAGCAGGGTATGGATTAAATTAAGTCAGAAATGGCTACATAACAGAGACTAATAAGTTCTGGGAATGCACATGTATATACGTTGGAATGTGGTATCGAGTTTCAGCACACACTAAGTGGCCATTATGAGATTAGAGACGCACATGGAAAGAACATATTGAGTATTTAAAATGCAACACAAGAGAAAAAGAAGCCTTTTAAATCATATTTGTGAGAATGATGTATCAGGAATTTGAGTCCAAATTGGATTACATGTGTTATTCAGAGTAGACAGAAGTGAACACAGGAATAGTGTAAATACTTGTTTGTTTTCATTGTAACAGATTTAAAGAGGCCTGCAAACTGAATATTATTTCAAAAGCTGATATTTTAACATATTTACAATAGTAATTGGAACTGACATTTTATCATGGCAAAAGAGATACACTCTTGAATTTCACCCAGCAACGACTGGACAAAATTGAGAGTTTATTCTTTGATGAATTTTCTGTATTTTATCTTTTTGTCCAAGATTAGAAGGTTCAGACAGAAAATCACAAAAAACATTTTGAAAAGTAAACTCCCCTAGCTCAGTAACTTCTTAGTGTCACCCTCACCATGGGCATACAAAATCCATGGTTTAGCTCTCTATGATCCTGGTTTTTATATATTTTGATACCGTCTTTGTTAAACCAGATATGAGCCACCGGTACAAATAACCATCTAGGGGAATTGGCTCCAGGTAGCTTTTATTCAAATCACTTCTTTTGTATTTGGCAAACACTATGGATGATGTCAGCACTTGGCCTGTCGACTGCTAATACAGGGTCTATGCTTTCAAACCAGAAAAAAGTACCACAATGTAATAAGATCCATTCAACTAGTTCCTCGCTCTCAAAACACTTTGGTTCTATCACTAGTTTTCACACACATGTCTGTAAAAACTGTAGATCAGCTTTTCCAGATAGAAAGTGAAAAAGAGATGACCATTGTGTGACCAACATGTTTTCTAATATGAAGAAGTGTGTTGTGATTTGATTTACAACCCTAGCTTTAACATATTCTTGATTGCCATTTGAGACACTGTCCGACTAAAACAGTGATATACTTTATGATATCATTGAAAAGGAGTAAAACGAAACATATAAACAGTGTAATTACGTGTCTTCGGTGTCTATAGACCCCCCACACGCTGCGCCCCCCTGGATAGACTCCATGGCGGTGGAGTACAGGGCTTTTTGCTGGGCCACGGGCCGCTTCTCGTCTCCCTGGGAACCCTCCATCTGCTGCTCCCTCTCCGCCTGGTCCATGTTGTGAACTCCCAGCAGCAGACTGTAGTCCATGATTTTAAAGCTCTCCAGGACCTAAAAAAAAAAAACAAGTTTAGTAAAAAATAAAAAACTCAAATACAATGAATCATACTTCTGACATCATTGAACTAAAAATAGTGCAATAATATATCGAAATGCGTCATCCACTGTTTTAAAGGCAGTAAGATTTGACCAAGGTTTTTATAGTGTGGGGATGTATGGTTACAAGTTTGGGTGGACCTCTCCGCTGTATTTGTAAATGTAAACAGAAAGTGAATTGCAGACGAGACAGCTTGTAAAGCCCTAATTCATGGTGAATGTTTAGCCGCATGCCAGACGCTCTCATAAAACAATGAGTCTTCCATCTTCTTTGCATTATTTAAACTGGGACTACCAGCCTCTCGCTTTTGTTGCTGGCCCTCAACATACATCTCTCTTTGTGATGAAGTGTCTGCACTTTCCTAAACATTATTGATTGGCTTAACATTTTAATATAAACCATTCCTCTGTGATAAGTGGACCCCTTCTACAGCAGTCATTTGCTTTTGCAGCATCTTGATCTGTCCATTTATTGGTCACACAACCTACCACTACCCCTATTGACCCGTTTCCATTTTAACAGAAAGGAAAACAGATTTAAATAGGGGATGCTGAAGTAAGTAGGTTTTCTGAGTGCTGATTTAATTAGTTGATAATCTCTTGACTTCATTGGTTTGATCAAGATTATAGAGAAGCGTTCAATCTCATTTAATAAATTACAATACTTAGGGTTTATGAGGTAGTGTGACGTGGAACTTTAGGAAATCATGGATCAGTGTTTATGCAAGCTGTTCATATAACCTTGCCCAAGAGGCTGGAGCAGGTAGAGTGGAAAACTTGTGTAAAATGTGGTTGTGGATGAATGAGAGAAGAACACACATTTTCTTATTGCCAAGACCTTATTTGGATCTATTGAGTTATTCTTTCATACCCTGACAACCTCAAATCAGACATTAGCAAATAAGATACATATGGTGCTCTAGTGTTGTATGAACTTTCATCTCACCAGGCAGTCTCGCTGTAGAGTCTTCACCAGTGCATTGTAAGTGTCTTGGTCCAATATAAGTCCCTCTTGAATGTCCTGCATAAAGTCCAGGTCTTTGAAAGTGGGTCTGGCTTTCTCCCGCTCTTTCTTGGATGCTCGTCTCTTGTATGTGGAGCCCTTCAAGTCAAATTTGAGGTGCATGCGGACCACCCGAGGTAGGACATTGTTCATGACCACAACTCGAATATTCTTCCCGCCCGACTGAACGCAGTAGAGGCCAAAAAACTTTGGCAGCAAAGTGCGAGGGTTTTGATTCAAGTTCTGTGAAACACAAACAAGGACTAGTTAATTGCTATAATCCGTCAGTAAAATCATTGAAACTTGAAAAGCTTTCATTTAAGGAATGATTAAAGCATCAGTGCTGACATGGTCTATTGGTTTACGTTAGATTTTTGGAGTTAATTGTTGGATTCTGTGTCACAAAATCTATAGCACATTCATTTTTGACCCAGTGTCAATTGTTATTGCTGTAATGAAAAAGAGCATTTATGTCATTTTAAAAAATATGAATTGTAAAAGCTTGTTGAAAAGTAGTTGTAATAGCATTAGTTTATGCTGGTTTCCTGATTAAGGTGAATTTACAAAAACGGAAGACAGACGCGCACATTATCCTCATATTAGTGGATATTTCAGTCTATAGTCAATTAATTTGTTACCAAACACTGTAACAACTGTATCACAAACACTTTCATTGCAATATGGTTTCAAATACTATCATCAAAACTGTCAGAATGCCCGTCACAACACACAAGTGGGCTGCATGAATATGTATCTACAAAAAGAACAGAAAAGGAACAGTCGTGAAGGATGTGGGAGTGTGGATAAAAGGATCAGGCGAGAGGCTCTGGGCAAACAACCTTCGAACAAGAACACAGGGAGAGAAAATGACGAGCGCAGAGGGTTTGAGAGACAGAGAAAGGGCATCCGCTGCCCTCAGCCACACACACACACGCCTCCTGTCAATGTGAAGAGGCCAGCGCAGTGACAGGCCAACTGCAGACACGTGAGAGCACCCAGAAACATGAGCGGGGAAGGAGGATTATCCCGTGATGAGGTCGAACCAACCATAAAGAAAATGACGTATAATGTATGGTGGCTTCAGAAAAGAGAGATGATGAGGAGAAGACACAGGCGGAAGAGGCCGATACCAGAGCAGATAATGGGTTACATCACAGCCGCCCTGAGCCTCCTCTGCTCAGTCAGCTGTAACAGACATGTGGACCGCACCGACCACTGCTGCACGCTGTCTCCATGCACAAGCTCTTCCTCTGAGCTGACCTATATCACAATATGTATTTACCTTATTAAAAAAAAAAAAAAAAAAATTTAATGATAAATAGATTGCAAATGTAAAATCTTGTGTCAGGTTATCCAATTGTAATAAGCCCACAACACACAAGGATTACTTGTTTATTTTCTATGCTACTGCCCTGTCAATCCTGCACCATAAAATGCCAATGAAGCAGAGACACGAATTATAGAGATTTGCACCTCCATATATTCTTCTGCTTCATATCCCAGACTGAACATATTTAGCTAATACCCAATATTACACATTAATTGCATAATACGTTCTTGTACTAAAATCCCAGTTTCTGTCTGCATAATGTGATGTCTTAAAGCTAAAGCAGACCAGGGTGGAGTGGGATACTTCTCTCATTACGGCTCTCGTCTTGCACCAATTACCAAAAAAATGCTAAAACAGAGCCACAGGAAAGGAAAAAGCTCTGATGTGACTGTGTGCTTTAGACGAGATGGATCCTTGTGGTGATCCTTGCACGAAGTTGTTGGCACTTGAATAAACGCCAGGGTGAAAAGCGTGAAGCGAGTCGGGCTGAGGCAGCGATGTGGACATACATGGAGTGGGTGAATAATCCTTCAGACTGTACTATAAAGCTACGCTCTGTTGGGGCTAAGCAGCACAACCAGACACTTATGAAACAGAAAGTGAGAACAGGTTAAAACCCAAAGAAAATCATTCATAATTATAGCAAGATGTGGAAGAACCTACATTTTCACTCCATAATAAGTGATGGAAGCCGATCTTTCATCTGATTTATATCTCCAATGCAAAATTATTCCAATTGATAGAGGAGAGAGTACAGAGGCCTCACAAAGTCAAAGTTGTACAATAAATAATAATAATAACATGATGTCTTAAGATTGATGATTTGATTGATTGGTTACTTGAATTTATCCTCACTCATTATGTAACAAAAATACTGGATCACAAATGACATGTTTAAGAACACAATGCCTTACCATTATCTATATTATCATTATCTCACCAAAGAAAGTCCTTTTCAAATTCATTAAAACAAACATGATAAAAAATTTGAATTGAGAGTTTGATCTGAATTTGTTGATTATTGAATATTAAAGTAAATGCTCATTTTGCTCCATATTTTCTCATTTTTGCAGTGTTCACATAGAAAACCATGAACCATTGAATCTACTAATCAGCAAAATATTGACAGCGCTACAATTATCCTTTACATAAACGGTCTAATTAATTATTTACCTATAACTCTAAAAAACTGTAAAAACGCTGCCCAATAGAAAGGTTGTTCTTTTGCATTCATTATAAAGTGAGATCTCATGTCAAGTACGAGAGACACAGATGGACTCGCATGTTAATGTTATGTGTGACGTGACCTTCTCAGAGCTGTCAACAAATCAACAAAAACAAGACTGAAAGAGCTTTATGAAACAGAAACATTTATCTTTGCGTGTTCACAGACAGTGGTTTGATTGTTCCGTTGTCAGCCATCTTGGCAAACATCCGATGTTTTTTTAATACAAATGTATTAATTATTCCCCTCAGAGGTGAGCATTCACAAAAGCAGCTTATTAAGGAAATTCAAGTGTGCTCACCATATAATATCCCGGCAGGAGCTTCTGTAAGAACTCAGCTTCTTTGTGCATCACAGTTTTGATGATAAACTCGTCGTCTTTCGTCAGGTAGAAAACTGAACCGCTCGCCCCAGGGTTGGACAGTTCGATGAGAGGCTCATTACATAAGGAATACTGTTGGAAACATAACAAAAGGAGTAAGGGGCCTTTATAGTGTCAACAATACAGCAGTAATCCAGCATTTAACACTGTTATTATAGTCTTTTCTGTTTTTTTGCACATTAATGGGTATAAGTCGTTAGTGAGCCGCAACTTCATTTCTCTCCCGAAACTGAACTGAGTTTGACCCCAGTTGCTGTGTCTTTGTGAACCATCTACTGTTCTTCTCATTTTTATTTATGTTTAACACTGTGTGATAAACCGAGACACAAACGCTATACGCTGTGTTGTTGTTCTCTTGATGTCTAATAAGTATATCTCACAAACAGATGAACGTTAAGGCCACTATGCCATTTGATGTGTGTAACAATTATATTGTATTTTTATGGACTTTCTCTATTTTATGTATTTTTTTTTTTTTTTTTGTATCTATGCGGCTAGATAATTTGTTAAAAAAACAAACTAAATATACAGTATATGATGTCTTGTACATGTTGACCTTGTTTCTGGGAACATAAATAGGAGATAGAAGATGAAATAATGGTTAATTAGATTTAAATACTAATTGTACACACTGTCCCTTTAAAAGAAGCAGCATGGAGGTGAACCTGCCGGGGTTTCAATCCTGACTAATGGCTCTATTTTCCAACATCTGTTTGCTGGTTGACATTTATATCATACTGTTCTTAAGAAGGAGCAGAAAATGAAATGAAATTGTAGTTAGCTGTTACTAATCAAAAGTATTCATTAGTAACATCTATTTAGAATTTATCATAACCTAATGTGGAGGCAGCATTTCAGATTTATGCAGCTAAAATCTGGAAGTCATCCTGAAAATGTAAGACCTCTGCCCAGTGTTCAAAGACTGTTCGGTTTTCCTGTAGATACAACTGACAAACTGAATCTTTACTCATTTTAATGTGCTGTGGTTTTTTTATCCAGTGATTTTAATGTTTGCTTAAAGTAGGGATGTAAAAAACTATGCATTTTCATGACCGACCACCGAGCCTCATTAACCGGTTGAAACCGGTTAACCGCGTAGTTTAAAATATTCCACGTTCTTTGAAATAGCAGCCATTTCGAGCCGCGTACTTTTCATAAGTTTATCTATGCGTTCTACTAGATCAGAGCTGAGACAGCGGCGCCAAAACCCGCAACAGCTTCGGCACCTTTGCGCACAGAGAACTGCTTTTTTAATCTTCCCATTCTGTGCTGCGGGTTAAAGCATTTTTAAGCAAAAGACAGCTTGTTCACATGGTCAGAGCAGCGAGTTACACGCCGCGTCTCGCAGGTCTCCGCTAAAGTTTAAAAGTGATGTGTGTGGATCTGATCTAATGACAAGGACCAGCAGCACAAACATGTTTCATGTGTTTGGCTGGGGCCACGTATTTGCGAGGATTATTTGGGCTGCGAGACACAGAGGTGCGCGACAGCCCGGTATGTGTGTGTGTACAATACATGTATGTATGTGTGTGTAAATATAAGCTCCAATGTAGTTCTGACCTGCACTAGTGTGGAACTTTGGCGGTAACAGAGGGGAGAGATGATGCGTGTGGATGTTACGTATGGAGGGGGGGGAAGTGTGTGTGTGTGTGTGTGTGTGTGTGTGTGTGTGTGTGTGTGCGCGCGCGTGCGTGTGGCTGCGTGCATATGTGGAGCGTGCGCCATGAAAGTCGCCCGTAGTCTACTAATGCATTGGCGCACACAGCTAGATACGGACCCGCTCGTCACATCGTGCAAATAGGGCTTATTAATAGCCTTATTAAGAGACCTCCCCTCTCCGCTTTTTCTTATTTTTAACCGACAGCTTTGACCGGTTAACGCTGTGACGGTCAACCACCGGTTAAACGGTCACCGATTTACATCCCTAGTTTAAAGGTTAATGTTTAGAATACTTTGCGTGACCTTAATGTTTGTTTGTAATTCCCTGTAATACTTTAATGTATTTTTTATGTGTGATCTCAATGTTTGTCTTTAATGCCCAGTTGTTTTAATATTTAATATTTATGCCTTATGTGATAGGGGCTGTGAAGCACTTTGTGTTGTCTTATGTAGGCAAAGCACTCTTCAAATAATAGTCGATTGATTGATTTAAGTTTTTGCAGTAGAGCCACAAATGACGTTAGACTGTTTTCTGCCAATCGCACAAATCAATAGAACAGAAAACCTTTTCCTTTGTGTGATTTGTCTTACCAGGTAGTCATCTGGCCTGATGCCAAACAGCTCTCTGAAGTAACGGAAGGCCACTGGAGCGTACGTTTTGAAGCGGAAATCTGGGAAATGATGAGCTGGAGTCAGGTTGCTCCCTTCACTGCAAGAAAACAACATGCATTAAACTTCTGAATTACAAACATGAAACGGTTTTGACAAAGAGGTCTCCGCTGAAGATCTCCTTTTCATTGGACCCAAAACTGTTCTTTACTTCTGCCCAGAATTGGAAACGATTATTGATTTTTGTTTCAGTCATGAGTATTTTGTGATCTACTGTAACTAATTAGGGCTGAGTGGTGTGGGAAAAGAATGTATCACAGGTAGATTTGGATTGTGACTGTAATGGGAACTACAGTGCTGTACATAAAACTGGTTGCAGAGAGCAGAATGAATGAATGAATAATAATAATAATAATGAATAATGAATAATGAAAAGACATTATACAACCATTAAGGCAATGCACATATAGAAATAATGCTCAAGTACTTTTTTTAAATGTCTTCTTTAACGTAGCAACATGTAATATGTGCATGTCAAGTCGTCATTAAATGGCCCCAATATTTCAAAAGTCATTATTAAATCATGCTCTTTTTGAATACATCTTTAACTGATAACAGTAGTTCAGCCGAGATATTTGAATATCAAAAATAGTTTTACGACCCGTAAAAGTTGTTATTGTTTTCATTTCGATGTCCCACCCTTCACCGTTTCACCAGTCAGGAAGTCCGTGATCTGGTTGCCAGAACTCCCCGTGGCTAGCTAATCTCACTGGTAAAATAACATGTGGCCGCAGAACCTAAAAAGGTCTTGTTATGACTCTCAGATAATTAATGATAAAACAAAGACTAAAACAAGGATGTACTTCGGGACGCCTAAATTGAGACATAAAAACTTTTTGTGTGATGCTAAACATGCTGCTTTGACTACCTGCCTAGATTCCCACACCTGTTGTCTGCGATGGCGGTCTAATGGTTGAATCACAGCGCTAACACTCCAGCGACCTGGGGTCGAGTCTGGGTGAGATGTGTTTTGGATTAAACTATATAATATTATATTCTAAGACAGATCGCACAAAAACGGTAAAAGGTAAAAACAAGCCGTTATTTGCAGATTAAAGCTTAATCGTAATAAGAATCCTTTGAGACCACATGTACCCAATTAAAATAATGTTAGTTTCTTTTTGATGTGGGACTTGTATACACGTTGGCTGAGTGGATAGCACTCTCGCCTCTCAGCAAGAAGGTCCTGGGTTCGAATCCCGGTTGGACCAGGGCCTTTCTGAGTGGAGTTTGCATGTTCTCCCCGTGTCTGCGTAGGTTTCCTCCGGGTGCTCCGGTTTCCCCTACCTCTAAAAATATGTACAATAGGTCTGGCATGTGCCCCCTGTACTGGCACCCCCACTCCCAAAAATAACAATTGTAAACCGCTTTGAGACTCCGACGTGCAGTGAAAAGGCGGTATATAAATAAAGATTACTACTACATGCCTAAAAAATTGAAGGGTGATATCCTCTGGAGGAAACGCTGATGTTGATACGCTGAAGAAATATGCTCCAAATTCCATTCTTCCCACTCTTTTGGACATCAATTGCGTATCTATTTTGTATAATCTATTAGGGGTGGGCGATATGGCCTAAAATTCATATTGCGGTATAATTTGGGACACAGACGGTAGACGGTATATATTGCGGTATAATTTGGTGTGAATTTCAATATAGGTCTAGCAGGTTCTTGCATAAAATAGTAAAGATTGTTACTTATTTATATATTAGAATCTAATATATATATTTTTTTAGTTATTCAGTGAGACGAATAAAGAGACAAATGTTGTAACATACATTATTTATGTATGTTACAGTAAATACCGTTCACTGTAAAAGCAATTTTTAAAAAGAAAAACATATGCATTCATTTAGAATATAAAAAACTCACAAATGTTGAAATCAAAGCCTGCAGCAGTTAGATATGGTCATTATTTATAGTGTCTGAGAGTTTTGTGCAGGTGCATGACTTCAGTAAAAGCTATTGTTCGTTTACAAAGCTGGTCTTGCCATTTGTTGACGCTCCCTAAGCGCTTTTCTCTGCGCTTGCAGTGAACTGGATGATTCAATGGATTTATGTTCATTAAAACAGCGCATTGGATTTGAACAATTGATGTAAATGATCATTTTGTTTAACAAAGTAGCTTTCGTGAGATATTGACCGCGGAGGTCCGAATCTGACGCTAACTTTCGCAAACTTCTGCTGTGATGCTGCGGATACGGCACACGCATGGATCTATTTTGGCTCACACTGGCGCTTCGAGCCTACGCCCCTTTGACACTGATTGGCCAAAAGGTAGACGCTTAAACTGTGATTACTGTGTGTGTATTTACCTCTGCTGGGGCCGCTGTGACAACAATACATAGACAGAAACACGGTGTTAATGCCGTGCTGTTGTTCGTTGTTTCCAGTGGTGTCTGCTAGGCTAATAGTGCTAGGCTAATAGTGCTAGGCTAATGCTGCTGAATGCCGGTTTGTTTTGGTCCTTTCTGCTGGCGTCAAAGCCTGCGCAATTTGTAAGGGATAATGTATAGCCTACAGGTCATTAGGAAGCAGACCCCTCCGCTGCGCGTCGGGGTCCGCTTCGCCCTGTCGGTACTTATTTTCCGATAATGACCTGTAGGCTATACATTATCCCGCTTATTATACTGCTTTGTACCAACTTAACACACAAAATAAACTTCAGATCACTTTTATGAATGCCAAAAGTTTATTTAATGACAACAAATAAAGTAGTCCCAAAAAGTTTTCCCGTTGCTCGGCAACCGCGGGCAACAGTTAGGCTGGCAACTTCCAAATTAGAACTCTCTGGAACTGCATGAAAACTGAACAAAGAATTCTGAACATCAGCGGTGAGTGACCCATACATAAACCTAACCTAAATCCATAATTCGATCCTCTGCAAATGTGTCCGAAAATGTGCCGGTATCTTAAAATGTGCCGGTATCTACTTCCGGGTTTTTCGGGATCGCCTTTTCTCGCATTACATCAGTGTTTTTGTCATGAAAACGTAAACGTAAAATTCTGAAAACTTCCGTGCACTTGTATTAAGACTGGATATGTATAAATTACTCTCCGATTAACATTTCATTGCGTTGATTGATTGGCATTTGCGTTTATTGAGCGGCCAGAACTACTTCCGGGTTTTTCACGATCGCTTTTTGACGCAGAGAAATAGTATTTTTGTCATGAAGACAAGACCAGAAAATTCTGAAAACTTCCGTGCACGTGTGTGAAGAATGTATATGTATAAGTATTCTCCGATTAACATTTAAGTGTGTTGATTGAGCGTGGCTAGCTCCGGAGTGGCCGGAACTACTTATGCGTGGAGTTATCCACGCATTTGAAAGACAAGCAGAGAGTGCGTTGCCATGGGCAGCGGTCATTATTGTTTTGAGAGGTCCGTTATAGAAAATAATGACCGGTAGAACGTTTTGAAATTACATTCAAATCAATGGAGCGTTCTACTGCTGCTGTGAGGAGCCGTATAATAAGATGACATAATGACCTATCGCAATATGCCGGTATAACAAAAATCTCTACCGTGGGCCAAATTTATATCGCATACCGCTTATACCGTTTATATCGCCCAGCCCTATAATCTATGTATAATTACATTGCTTTTTTTGTTTATCTCATCTCAAATGTCCAAATAAAAAAAGACATTCATTCAAAACATTCATTCAACATTAGCATGGCTATCATGGCAATGTGAATGGAGACAGACAAACAAATGATAAAATAATTCCTTGTGTTTACTGCTGGATTTGGTGCATATCTGGCAACCTGAGTCAGGGAGAGTGGGAGAGGACTACAAAATATTGACTGTGACTGCAGTACCACTTTTGGCCAGATTTGTACATACTGGTCCTTTAAATGAATGGATGTCTCCAAAGGAACGTATGCTTTTTTCACACCAGGGTTTAAAATGAAAATGTTTAGTAGGACATACCTGGGAAAGAAAATGCTCTCCACAACATAAAAGTCTTGCATTAGAACGTCTCGCTCTGGTTTGGAGCTTAGGTTGCCCACTGTGTAACCGATGCCGAGCTGGATGGCACCTTTCAAGGCAGACGACGTAGTCTGTGTAAAGGACATAAGAGGAGTCCATGAAAAGGCCATGTTTGAGGAATAAATGTCAGCATAATCCACATAATCTAAAGAACCCAGGTAACTAACCTTTTTGTAGGTCGTCTCTCCTGAGGCATCGACTCCTCTGTGGCCAATCTTCTTGCCCTGGCCTGGTTGTCCTGACGATGAGGGCATCTGCGCAAGATAAATTAAGCTTTGTTTTAAATGTAGTGTAGTAGTTTAGATGTTAGTGGACATGCCTTATGAAGCACATTGGTCTATTTTGATGAAAACTGATTGCTTGGCATTAGATAAGATGATACACAAATATGGAATAACACAGACCACTCCATTTGTTTCTATTACAATTAAAGGCATTTTCACATGCCTGGTTCTTGTTCTTCAGCATATTGTGCCATGTACATAGGTCATGTGACATTCCACCAATGTCTGTGTGAGAGACGTAGTGAGTCCTTTCAGGCCGCAAACCGAGCGGGCCCTGCGTAGCCAGCTTCAGACCCCGTTATAAACGGCACTGCTCACTTCGAGAGAGTGAAAACGTCCATGTGAAAACACCTTTAATGTATTCTACCTTTAGAGCTTGCTTTTGTTAAGGTCACCAAACAGCTTTGGGTAGAGTCTTACCTCTGTGATGAAGGCTTTCTTGGCTGCATCTGTAAGACACAAGAGACAAAGGTGTTGGTTTCTTATATTCAACAATCACTTTGCTCCATTAGCACTGAACTCTGACACAAAGACGAAACCCTCAGGAGAACAAAGCAGTCCAACAAGTTGCAATAACACTGTCAAATACATGACGAAGACCAGGAAAGCTACAATGGCCGCGCATTTCTGTTTTTCATTGCACTATACAACCACTAAATAATATCAAATATGACTTTTTTCCCACTAACAATTACTTGATTTTCTGATTCCTACACAGGAACACACACGTTCAAAATAAATGAATAAATAAAAATGATAGGGTTTAAAATAAAACATGCTTTTATTAAATGTGATAAAAAATTCATTTGGAACAAATACTAGACTGCTTTATCCCTAGAATGTTGAGACTCTCACTATGGCGTAATAACAGTTGGTCAAGCAGAGAATGGATTGCACGAGAAAAGCCTGAAATAGAGCCATAATTACAGAGGTATAAAATGCATAATAATGGACGAAGGGCAACGGGGAAAAGAGGAAGAGAAGATGAGAGCATGTGGTGTGTGTATGTGATGAAAACTCAGTCCTGGTGGTTTATAAGGTTATATTTATTCGTATAATTTACATGTTCAAACATAGGTTGAAAAGCACACTTATGTTTATTATTGCTAAACTGTGATTCTGGCTGGTCAACAAAGTTGATACCTAAACTCACCTGCAGCAACCATTAAAGCTAGTGAGTGATTGAGCTTTCACATAGAACAACTTCATAATATAAACTAGAATAACAAACACATTTTTTGTTAGTACAAATAAAACTGAAACAAATGTAGTATGAACACAGATCTTTTTATGACCCTTGGGTCAAATTGAACCAAATTTTAAAAAAATCAAGCTGAATTTGGATGACTTCTCATATCTTGACCAGCCCTGGATCATTTAGACCCTAATTTAGAGTATTTTTCTTCTACTTTTTGATTAATTGATTGATTGTTATTTATTTGAGCATTTTACAAACGTATTTTTCATTGTTACAAGGTTACACTGTTATAAAGTGGCTCAAAAGGGGTAGGCTGAAGCAAGAAAGCTTATTAGTGCCCAGCCCCTGTTCCTCCACTTTTAATCATCTGTGGCGGGCCACAGGTAGCACAGACATGGAGATCATGTGATCTCCTATGTTGTCTCATGAACTACAGTTACAATTGTAATCCAGGATCTCTTTAGATAGTGAAAGAAAGTCACAGATAAAGAGTGCCAACCACACTGTTGTACAAGTTATTTTGCTTTTTACTGTGGTTAATGACAAAACGATAACACCTTATTTATTCATGTACACTGAATGCACTACAGAGATATTCAGAATTCAGAAAACAAGCCAAGTGCAGTGGAGATTTTTGAGACAGAGGAGTTTAGTTTCCTGGTCTAAAAAGGATCACGATTACCAAAGAAGCAGGTTTATATTTAACATGCTCCAGTGTGCCCTTGGAAACCACTGAGCAATGTCAAATGGTAAGGTAACTCGCAGACTAATCGCTAACCCAGGATCATGCAGGGATGATCCAGCATCAGTTTGTGGCTCATGTACTTTCACAGCTAAATAGATGTCCACTCCTATACCGGTCTTTTTTTTTTTGCCCTGTTCTCCCTTTTTTCTTTCCAATTTTCATCTCTTTTCCTCAACCCTCTCCCTCTCTTCTGCCCTGCCAGCCGCTCGTGCGTGTCCATGTGACTGAGCAGAACTGTTACCCCCTCCTTATTCACCCTGTATCTCTCCCTCTGTCGCACACATTTTCTCCAAGCTGAAGCAAAACAATTCTCAACGACTCTTCAAACTGTAAATAGAAGAGGAATGCAGATGATTTGAGATACAATATAGTACAATATATATACAATATAAGTGCATATTTAAAACCGCATGACTGTAGTTCTGTGTGCATAATGTGACAACACCTCATCCTTTTTGCATGTCTGAACGTGCTCTGGCTGTGAAGGTATGCACGTGAAGACAGAAAATAAGCGTGAGAAGGGCTATGTAGGTCCAGGCAAACATTCTGCTTCATCCAGCCATCTTTATGTCAGCCTCACCAACAACAATGACAACTGACACACAGCACAGGGCAAAACACAATTAGAAATATGTCTGTGAAATCCCAGAGATGATTTGAGTGTATTGTTACTTTGTAAAATAAGATTAACCACTATTATTTAGCAAAAAGAAAGATGACAAGCAATTTCTCACAACAAAGAATACAAATTTACAACACAGTTTTAAACAGGGCTAAACTTGCTCGTTCCATTATTCTTTTTAACAACTCTCATTAAAAAGAAAAAAACATTACTGGTATAACATCTTGTTCACAGAGTGAGTGAAGGAAGGAGCTAGAATTTGACAGACAGATCGGTGCAGTGAGTTTGTGTTTGTTGCTGTATTGGATGGACCGTTGTGGGAAAGAGTGAGATGAGTGGAAAGAAAAAGCTCAATTTACAAGTCGATCTACGTTCAGTTATGGTCACAAGCAAAAGGCTGAGATTGTGGATACAAGCGGCCCAAATGAGTTTACTCCAGAGTGGCTAAAAAAGTCTTATATAAGTAGCATTTGGTGAACAAATCAGACCTGGTTTTCTCTTTTTCACTGAAAAAGATTTAGGATTTACTTTGAAAGAAGCCTGGCCTTATCCATAAACTCCGATCAATTATCATTTCCCGACATGTACGTCTGGGTCTGATTCTAGTGGCTGCGGTTACCTCAGTTGAATCCCCTCCAAACATTCATTGAGCGGAGGCGGCGGGTGTTGCAGGGAGGTGTCACCTCAAACCAGCAAGTTTGCGCCAAATGTACAGGTTACAGTTTGGCAATGGCGGCGACTGCAATAATAAAGTAGATGGCAAAGGAGATGGCTAAAGCTAGGCTAAACGCCTCACTCACTTGGCACATTACATAAGTCACGGCAAACTCAGATCCAATCGTTTCAATCTGCAAAAGGAGTTAACCCGTCCCACCTAAACGGAGCTCAATGAAGCAAATCTAGACCATACTGGTTTGGTAAGACCAGGCTGACTTGAAAGTGAAGTGACACAATTTCTCAAGATACAAGAGAACCAAGACCACTATATGAAAAGGTAGGTAAGATCATAGAGCATTGGTCTTTGAACCTAATGGTCGTGGGTTCGATCCCCCCACAACCCATGTCATCGTCTCCCACTGATGTGTCCTACTGCTGTCATTGTGTCCCTGGGCCTGAAGGGACTGGTGCAGCTCTGATTGCCCATCATTTGGTTTTGTGCCTGAGTTCACCCAAAATAATCTATGTGAAAATGAGCACTAATAACACATCCCAAAGATGAGACAGTGCAATCATTGATGGTCAATAATTAATTATCTCCATTAACTGCAAATAGAATCCTTTATGCAAATTATGAATGTACCTTAACTTAACGTTAAGTCTTCTCGACCGAGAGCCCCTGGTTTGTTATTTTATTGATTTGAATTAAGATTTACTTTTCACTTTAATTGGATTTCTTTAATTGAATCAGCCCTCTTTGCAGCATTTTAACATTATAAACATGACAGTATGACCTTGATATTCAAAGATGACACACCAATACAGAAACTAACTTAATTTTATGCTTTATGTTGGTGAGAAAAGTGCAATTTGACTTCCCCTCATGCTGCTGACTGAGCATGTCCTCAAGAACACACGATAATCACCACAAATTGTCTAATAACTCCAACGACACACTTGCTCAAATCCTATACAGTATATGCTCCAGTAATAAAGCTGTAAAGATGAAGTGATTAATAACTATTAATTGAGTTTTATTCAAATAAAAGTAAACTACTTTAATAATCAATTATTTTGGGATTCTGCTCAAGGCTCAACCTATTTTCTGAGCGGTTTTTGTCAGACTATTTTTCATCAACCATAGACATGAACCAGTAAGTTCCATCACAGTTTATCAAGTCAGTTTGGCAGTCAGCTAGCAGAGCTGCTGGACCCTGACATTTAAGTAAATAATTGGCTTGCCTTTTACACTAAATACTGGCCCTGGTGAGAAACAGGTGTCGTTAGTATAGACTCCAAAGGTGTGGACTAAATGTGATTAAAATTCAAAGAAATTGCTGATTGGTATAAAAATAGAAATCTATCTCTGCTTTAGTGATTCCACATTATTTCTTGAATTAGGCTGAGAGCATGAGTGCACTCTATATAAAGCTCTAAGAAAAAAGGCTAAGGTCATCTTTTCATTAGAACAAGTCATCCATTATAATAAATTGGTTAAGAAAAGGACTTCAAACATTGCCTCCAGCTGGTTCTAAAAATGTCCAATTGTAGAACAGCGTCTTCATGCAAATGTTTGGACATATTTAGTAGAGCCATGGACAATACAATACTAGCTCAACTAAAGAAGAGTCCTATGTAGTTCTTGACAAAAAGAACATCCAATAGTTAAACCCATAAGTAACTAACATACACTGTATTGTGTCAGAATCAAGTCCATGTAGAATGTTTGTGGGTTAGTTGGTCAGACAGTAATCAGTCACGGTCACTGTTACTTTACTCTAATCTCATGCTGACATCCTGTGATGCCCGACTGGATTAGGCTAAAATGGCACCAAGGACAGGTGAAGGGAGAGACGCAGTGCTGTCCCTATAGTGTCTTAATGTGGAAAGTATGTTTTCAGCCGCAGTTGTATTGGTGACCAGTAAAAAAAAAAAGTATGTTAGATTAAATCACAAAAAAAGGATCAAAACAAAACCCAAATGCTAAACCATTAAGTGTGATTGTTGGTAGCTGTCGATGGAACAACTAAAATTAAAAGTTCTTTGTTTTATGCATACAGAGAACCTTTTCTCCGTTTATGTGCACCTCAAGCAGGCCTGTGTCTAAGAATGGAATGCTGCGTCAGACGAGGTGTTTCTCACAGCCCAGAGGGAGGTCTTTCACTCCAAACATGGGTCTGAGGGGGACAGTGTTAAAAAGTCCTCTCCAGGATTAATCACCATAAAC